AGCCAAGGTTGCCAGAGAGGGCAAAGGCCGTGTACGCTTGGAATGCTCGGTGTCCGATACTGGAATTGGTATTCCAGATGAGCAAAAGGCGCGACTTTTCCGACCCTTCTCCCAAGCTGATCCTTCCACCGAACGATCATACGGTGGCAGTGGACTTGGTCTGAGCATTTGCAAGGCTATTATCGAAGACGTTCTTGGCGGTGCCATCTGGTTAGATTCAACCTTGGGAGTTGGAACGACTGTAACATTCCATCTTGTTTTCAACAAGGCACCAAAGAAGACGGCCGTGAAGGCACCGTGGTCTCAGGACCTTAATAATGCAGAAGCCAAGGAACCTCCCCGCGCCAAGACACGCGATCTCTCTCAAATTCCACGCGACCAGATCCGAGTGTGTATCGCTGAAGACAATCCCATCAATCAGAAGATCGCGGTCAAGTTCGTCACTAGCCTTGGCCTTCAATGCGAGGCTTACAGTGATGGAAAGCAAGCCGTGGATGCATTGCGTGCAAAATCCAAAGAAGGCAACCCGTTCCACGTGGTCCTGATGGATGTCATGATGCCCACTCTCGATGGTTACAACGCCACGCGCGAACTTCGGCGAGACCCAGACCCCAATGTCAACGAAGTGCTCGTCATCGCCATGACTGCCAGCGCCATTGAGGGCGACCGAGAAAAATGTCTCGAAGCTGGCATGAACAACTACCTTCCCAAACCAGTGCGATCCCCAATCCTGAGCGAATTGCTCGATAAGTACCTCGCACCGGTCCCATCACACCCGCGCACTCGCTTGGCGATTCGCGAAAAGAGCTCCAGAGGCAGCATTAGTTTTGATGCGGCCACACCTACCAGTTTCTCCTCATCGGGATCGGATGAAGCTCAGAAGCATTTGCTACCGCCACCGTCGGAGCAAAAATGATATCACGCACTTACAAATGATACCCTGCATAGTTACACCAAGATAGAGGCGATGAGGCGTTTGGCAATTGTTCTTCGTGTTTTACTCTTCTTCTCGTTTTCTTTCTACTGTCTTTTTGGTTGATTTGTTTTACGATCTATGAGTTCGCAGGCATCAAGTGCACTGTTTGACTTTGTTATTTGAGGCTTTGTGATATCAATCTTAGATGACTTTTTGGCGCTTTACCTCGATACGGCTTGATGATTTGACTGGATCTGTCTCATGTGTTGGGTCGTGGGAAGTGCGATCATTGTCTAGGATTAGGAATATACAGCTGGATTGCCGTCTTCTCTCTATAAATTGATAAGCGCCTTCTCTGTGCATGCTCCGGATTTGACCTGGGGCCTTCTACGAGGTTTTCAGAGTTTGGTGCGGAGCGTTAGGAGAAACGAACTCCAAAAATAGGCTGGGCAGCTTCGACTCTCAACGAGGGACAGTGGCTTTGCTACCTAATGCTAACTACACTCTTGATTGCCATCGCAGTAAAGAAGACCTGTTCTATGCCAGCTGGCCGAATGCGATATGCTCCACCGTGACTACTTCATCCCCCTTCGGTGGTACAGAGTGGCGCATTTCAATCAATTCCTTCAGAGAGTATCATTCACCGGCTAGGATTTAGGCATTCGGCTCAGAAATTCGTTACAAAGGGGGAGCTGAATTCGGCCGTTTCTGATGGGACACCATGAATGTCTCCATTTGTTTGATGCTCGACGATTGAGATGAAGTATGGAGTGTCATTTACGTTACTGTTACATTATTGACCGAATAGCTTGGCTGTTTGTGTAACGTAATGCCTCTCGAGTCTTGCTATGGCCGTTGCCACTGCTCATTGATCATATGTACGGGGTTTTCCCTATCAGCCAGGGAGTAGTAGATTTGTAGAATATCCTGGAAGGGTTTGCCCTTACTTTCATTTGCAATTTCCTACGTCGGAGCAAGAGCGTTACTCGAAAAAAACAAGAGCATGAAATGTGACTATAGGGATGTAAGAGAGAATAAGTACATGATTCTAAGATCAACCCATGAATGGGATTCAGACAAATAATAGAATTGTTCATCGAATCACACGAGGAGTGCCCAGTCATTGATTGACCTTGGGTCGATTTATCGGATCTAAATAAACGCCATTAATGCTTCCGCCTCGTACGATGGCCGCAGTGATGCATATAGGAAACGAGAAGAAAGCACTTTTCCCAATGTTCTAACCGGGAGTAGTCTTGGTCGCGGTTTTCTCCAGATGCTTATACCTCCACTCGTATTGTGCCAATTGCCTTTGGTCGGTCGGCGAAAGGCTCTTTCCCTTTTCCGCGAGCTCCTTCTCAAGTTGTTTGAGCATCTCCCATCGTTTGAGTAATTTAGCCTGGGCTTCTGAGATCGACGCTAGATTGCTATCCTTGGAAGCCATGCGCTCGTCAATGGTGGAATGGTATGACAGCTTGGCGTGGAAGAGGGCCATTTCGGATTCGTCATACTTGAGTCCTTGTGCCTCGGGCACCGTAGGAGTATCTTGTGATGCTTTATCTTGAGCTGCTTTAGGAAGCATTGTGTATTGATTGAGCGCTCAAAAGATCAATGATAGTGTTGTTCCCTGACACCCAGCACCGAGTCTTGCGTGTGGGGATTTTGGGCTTCGTGGACGTGGCAAGTAAGTAAAATCGGACAAAGAATGGGCGATATGCTCTATTGAATCTTGCAAAAAGTTATTTTTGATACTCCCGAGCAAATGTGATGAAGAGACTGATTCACGCGAACGATGACTTTTCTTGGTGCAAACATTGAAGACCGTGACCCGGGAGAACAACATCAAGGATGCATAGGGAAAGACAGAAGACGAAGAGGTTATAATAGAAGATGTGAAAGACACGATGCTCCATACCCTCTTATTATATCACAATCAGTAACGAGTTAACCTTTATTGCTTCTCTCGAAAGAGCTGGCCCTCTAGTGCCCAACAAGCCCCTCAGTAGGGTGATACCAAGGGGTAGGAGAAGGCGGCCACAGAATCACCCCATTGCGGCTATGGACAGAACTAAGATGTTCTGAAAAATTAATTGGACAGAGGGTAAAGGCACTAAATCGATGAGGTTTGTTCATCCGATTGTCCATTTCTAGTCCATTGTTTTGTTCGGAACTCGAGGCACCTTCAGCACGTTAGGAACGCTGGCGTCCCGTTTACCTCTTCAGAGAATTAAAGAGCTTGAACTTGTCTCGTGATGACGATCATTGAAACCAACTGACACCTGACAGCCCTCTATTGGTTGTTCATTGGCAGTGCGAGGGTGACACAATTCTCCTCCACCATCCGCCCAGCCGGACATGCATTGCAAAAAGAATCTGTTAGAATCAGAGGCATGGACGATCCAACAATCTCCTCTCGGTCTACTGAGGCCGTGCGCACATATCGGGTCTGTGTGTATCAGTGTTAAAGTCACCAAGCATAGGGACCGTTCTGCAAATCTGAGCAAGTTGTCTCGGATAATAGAAGGGGCATCCGCATGACTCATGTCTGAATTCTACTTTCGAAAGAGATAGAAAGACAGCTGAAACAACAAGGCCCTAGGTGTACCTAACTATTCATTGCCACGAGGAGGACAAAGAGTATAGCTGTCGCTACTCAAAGATAAAGGTGTTAACGGCGACCCTATGAACTTAGCTAGCATAGAGTTGATGTAGCCTGCCAATCATCAATTCTATGTGCCGTCTCTTGTCGCTTTTAACGATGGGAAAATGAAATTGTAAAGTGGCCTACTGCCTACTATGACGTTGAGAAGCTTCGATATCTGCATGTCTGCATAGAAGCTTGAGATGGAAGGAGCAATCCACGATGACTTGTTAATGTTCCGATGTGGGATCCTCTACAACGTCACAGATGCAATCTAATGCTGTGTCGCCCCAAAGAGAGGTAGGTCGACTCCATCAATTTGAGAGCTTCCTTCCCCTCAGGATCCAAAAGGTGTTAAGGGTAACAGAGGGTGTATACAGAAATCTGAAAATGGTATGAGCCTTCCTCCCGTCAAAGCTTCTCTTTCTGAGCACCATTATCATGAGTTTGCGGTGCGGAGTCCTATGCCAATTGTATCACCCTCGCATACCATTTGTCGGTTGAGCTCAATCCTCTCCGAACCCTATATGATCTTGGCGAATGCTTTCGAAAAGTTTCGGTAATTTAAGCTAGAGTTTTTGGCTCTGTTGATGATTATGGAGTCTGGCATAAGATGATCATCAGAAAGAGTCATTTAGGAGGGGGAATGGCATCCTAATTCGGTACCTGATTTGTACTACGCGGTCTGCCGACATGGAGGGGAACTCTAAGATTTCTATTCGAATCCAGACTAGTCAGAACGATTCTCGGAGAAAAAGGTCTATCTAGATAAAACTTTAGTGCGAAACAGTGGGCTGAGGATTATACCTGAAACTTGCATCCGTTCTTGAAAATTGAGGATTAATGTAGGGCTATTGAACAATTTTCGGCGATTGAGAATCGTTTGATCCTTTCTCTCTCCCAGCCTGAATAGTAGGAGCAACGGAAGGCGGAAAAGGTACCACAGAACATGCACTCCTCCCGACGGATAGGTGCAGCTTCGTCGGATTCAATTTTGTTTCATCCATCGCACCCGGTCATTTGACCTCGGAAGATGTGTGGCATCGAAGAAGCCGGGGGATCTTACACTTAGGGTGGCCAAGATAATGCAGAAAGAGCATAGATTCCATCGGGAAAGTGCTCCATACATAGGCCGATTGCACGATGGGAACTCGTCGATCGGATAGATGCAGATCGTTAAATTGCAAAAAAGCGATGCGCGATGGTATGCGTGGACATTTGACGGCGCGCGTGAGCCCTAGGCCCAAAGTGAAGAAACTGAGAGTAAATAAAAGAAGGAGAAGGGGAGATTCAATCAATTGGGCTATCTGGAAGAAAAGAGAAAGCCAACCAAGGAAAAAGACAAAACCTATCGCGAGGTAACTCTTTGAATAATCACGTGGCCACTCTGATATCCATGTGCAACTGAAGCAATACTCGGCTAATTCTCAATGAGGCTTAGTATCACTACCTAGATCTGGCTTCCTCATCCCTCGCTGCTGCGAGTCTCTCCTTCTTTGCCTTTTGAATATCCAGCGACATCTTGACAGGTGGAACCCCAGGCGTTTCAAACACAGTGTCGATCTCCTCCAAACTCAAACCACCTGTTTCCGGGAAGATGAAATATGACAAGATAAGTTGGACGGTGTTGTAAACAATATAAACCACCCAAATTTTGTACCCAACTTTGGCGATGCCGACGCTAATGCCATAAGTTTGGACTGCACTGGCACCACCCTGGATTAAACTGTACAGACCCATGCCTTTCGCTCGAAGGGCCAGAGACAAGATCTCGACAGGATACAGATTATGCATCGTCGCAACAAATGTAGCTGAAAATGCCTGATAGAGGAATATCCAGAGCAGTGTAAGAGCGGCGGCAGCGTGAGTCGCATTCAGGCTGTATTGCCAAGATGTGATAGTTGTTGCGGTCTGGAAGATGACCATACTGATTAATCCCGTAAATATGAGAGTTCGTCTCCTGAATTTATCGACGAGCAGAGAACCGAAGGCGGTAAAAACAAAGTAGACTACTGTTGTGCCGATATTGATACCCAGTTGTTGCTTGGTACCTGTAATTCCGACAGTCTTCAGTGCATCAACCATCTGCCGAAGGATTTGTATTAGCATTTCAAAGAAATTGAATAAATGATGTCAAGAACCTAGAAACGTACATAATACGTGAGAATTGACCCGCCATTCCACTGCTGGAATAAAGAATACAATGTCAAGACCAGGAGACGATAACGAGCCATCTTTGTGAAGAACACTCGGTAATCCCAGAATGCCCTGAATCCAGTTTGGTCATTCTCAAGAGATTCCTCCATTTGGGATACCACAATCTCAACCACAGGCTGGTTGATATCTCCGCTGGTCGTGTGATACTTGGCCACAATCTCCTTGGCCTTCTGACGGTTGCCTCTCATGACATAGTAGCGAGGCGACTCGGGGGTCAAGAAGTAGATGGTCAGGCAGACAATCGCTGGAAAAATGGCTTCGAGAATGAGAGGTATCCTCCAACAATTGTTCCCGGGCAGATTTGATAGACCAATCATGGCCCCCAACATTGTGAGACTTCCAATCTGGAAGCAGGCCCCGAAGAAGCCCACCATACGACCACGAAGGTGAATGGGGGAAATTTCGCCAATATACTGAGAACTGGACATGAGAGCAGTACCAAATCCCATGAAGAATCGACCAGCCATGAAGGCCTTTAGATTTGGCGCACAGCCTTGAAGCACAGCGGCGAAAATGACGATTGCGTTTCCTGCGAAGTTGATTCCACGACGACCAATGATATCGGCGAAGCCCATGAATGGAGCACCACAGACAGTGCCGATACTCATAAGCGCATTGATCAGACCATATGTACTCCCACTAGTGCCAAAGCCGAAGTATGTGTGCCAAGCGTCGAGGGAGTTGATACCGCTGATAACGCCCCAATCGATGCCGAAGCCGGCTTGATTGCAGCCATGCACAAACATAATGAGGGCTAGACGGAATCCAGTCCATGACCAGACGGTCAGTGACTCTTGAGATAGCTTCCATAGATCCTCTTCGGTTAAGCGTGCCAGCACCACTTCTTCAACGTGCTCTTGACCCTTCTCCTTCAGTACTTCGGCCTCGCCGATGCCTAGGGTATTCATCCTCGCCATTGTGTCGAGGTGTAAGCAACCAATTTCGCTAATTGATGTGCTGAGCGTGAGACAAATAAAGGAGAAGTAGGTCGAGGGCGGTGGGCCAAGAAGATGCCCTCTCTGTCGGGCCTAGTAAGAAGCAAGGGCGGGGGGGCATCTCATGGTATTTCTGCTCCAGCAGCAATTTGAAGCCTGACCAAACCGAGGAAGCTATTCAATAAAATGGTCAGCCTCATGATCACCCCAGCCAATTCTGTCACGGATATGCAACTAAGCCGAGTCAAAAAAGGAAGCGCGCGAGCTTGATGATCAGGTTCGGTTGACTCGCCATCACTCGACCTACCAAGAACAAATATCCGTTGGCATTCAATTGCCGCGGTGGAACCCTGGCGCGAGTCACGCTGGTCTTCTTCCGAGGTGGACTTTGTTCAGCGCTCGTATTGATTGGCCTTTTCGTCCTTGCTGGCGGCGCAAAGCTTTGAGTGCTAGAAGTGGCCTGACAGGTCCTTGGGCTGTTAGTGGCCAACAGCGAATGCAAAAGATTCTCCACCACTTGAGAGCAAGTGCGGGGAACCTAGTCAAGTTTGGTGGAAAAACCGGGATACATGCGGAGTATTAAGTTGATTGGTTACTGTGGCTGATATTTCACTAGTCACGCCAGTCTCCAGGCCAATTTGCGATTCGGAAAATCCGGGGGGCTGGCAAAGATTTAGCCGATACATATCCGAGAGGCTGTCAATTGGTCAAGTCAAATTTAGGCATGATAGACCGCGGAGTGTAATTTTCCTATTACCCTAGAGCACTCTTAGCCTACATAGATTCCGCCTTGCATCTTGTTAGGCTGATCTGACTCGTGTTAAGAGTTAGCTCACGATGTCCCAGGTAAAAAAAGCACTTCATGATTGGGATAATGCCGCTGGAACATTATCTTAGAACGCCCCAGATTTCAGAAAAGTCATACCATGAGCAAGCTTTGGTACACACGGCCTGCAAGCGACTGGAACGAGGCGCTACCAGTGGGTAATGGGCGACTCGGGGCGATGGTGTATGGCCGCACCGACCAGGAACTTCTTGCATTGAATGAGGACTCGGTATGGTATGGTGGTCCTCAAGACAGGACTCCTCGAGATGCTTTCAATTATCTTCCACAATTGAGGGAAGCTATCCGGTCAGAAAATCATACCGAAGCAGAAAGATTGGCAAAAGTTGCGTTCTTCGCCAACCCAATCAGCCAACGACACTATGAGCCCCTCGGGACAGTTTTCATGGATTTCGGCCACACATCCGATCGCGTAACAAATTATCACCGCGAACTCGATCTCGAAAATGCTTCGGTGAATGTGAAGTACAACTACTGCGGAGCTGAATATCGAAGAGATGTTATAGCAAGCTATCCTGATGATGTTCTAGCAATTCGAATTCTCGGTCCGCCCGAGAACGAATATGTGGTACGATTGACCCGACTGAGCGAGCTAGAATTCGAGACAAACGAGTACCTGGATGATGTCGTCGCTTCCAATGATTCCATCACGATGCATGTTACACCGGGAGGCCGAGGTAGTAACCACGCTTGCTGCATTCTCCACGTTCAATGCTGCCACGAGGGTTCAATCACCAGAGTTGGTGACAACCTGGTAGTCAAGGCCTCGGAATCTCTCATTCGGATTACTACCCAGACAACATTTCGACGTGAGGACCCCAACCAGGGAGCATCTGAAGACCTTGCAAAGGCGCTTGGCTTTGACGCGGGACAGCTATGGGTTAGGCACATCAAGGACTACCAGTCACTGTACAACCGGATGAATTTACAATTATGGTCTGATGCGCCAGACCTTCCCACAGACAAGAGGTTACTGACCTCCCGAGACCCCGAACTGATCGCAACATATCACAATTATAGTCGATATTTGATGATATCCTCCAGTCGAAATGGAAACAAACCTTTGCCTGCAAACTTGCAAGGAATCTGGAATCCCTCTTTCCACCCAGCATGGGGGGCCAAGTTTACTATCAATGTCAACCTGCAAATGAACTACTGGCCAGCCAATTTGTGCAACCTTTCAGAGTGCGAGATGCCGCTATTTGACCTCCTTGAGCGGATGGCAGAATCTGGAAAGAAGACCGCTCAAGTCATGTACGGATGCCGAGGCTGGACTGCACATTCATGTACAGATCTGTGGGCCGATACTGATCCTGTTGACCGGTGGATGCCGGCAACCATCTGGCCTCTTGGAGGGGCCTGGTTATGCTACCACATCTGGGAGCACTTCGAATTCACTCAAGACCGCACATTCCTATTGAGAATGTTTCCTGTTCTGCAGGGATGTGTAGAATTCCTGCTAGACTTTTTGATTGAAGATGCCTCTGGCAGATATCTCATCACAAACCCTTCCGTATCGCCCGAAAACTCATTCTTCGACCTGAAGGGCCGCAAAGGGGTGCTTTGCGAGGGCTCTACCGTCGACATCCAGATCGTTCAGGCTATAATCAATGCTTTCGAGTCCTGTGCAGATCAACTCGGTGTTTCAAATTCGCTTTTGCCAGCCGCCCGTGAGGCACGAACTCGACTGCCCCCAATGCAAATTAGCGACTCCGGGCTTCTTCAGGAATGGGCTATTGACTACGCCGAGGTTGAACCGGGCCATCGACACACCTCACACTTATGGGCATTGTATCCTGGCAACGCTATAAATCCAGCAAAGGAGCCCGGCTTAGCCCAAGCTTGTAAAGCGGTACTTCGTCGGCGAGCTGAAAATGGTGGTGGCCATACAGGCTGGAGCCGGGCTTGGCTCATCAATTTGCATGCTCGTTTATTCGACGCAGAGGAGTGCAGTAAAAATTTGGATCTGCTGTTGTCTCATTCTACTTTGCCCAATCTGCTGGATAGTCATCCACCATTCCAAATTGATGGCAACTTTGGCGGGGGTGCAGGAATTATCGAGATGCTGGTTCAGTCTCATGAGCCATCGCTGATTCGACTACTTCCAGCTTGTCCTAAGAATTGGAAAGGGTCCATCCGGGGAGTTCGGGCTCGTGGAGGCGTGGAACTGGCTTTCAGTTGGGATAATTTGACTATCCTCGCATTGACCGTTATATTGTCTGACTCGGGTGGAAAGGTTTCCATTTGTCTGCCTGATGGCAATGAGACCCGAGTGCGAGAAGTGGAAAGACCTGGTCGCCATGTTATTATTGAAGCATAGACTCGTATTTTCAGGATAGAAAACAGATGGTCATTTTTGCGCCGACAGCATTTTGCTTTCGTTCTTGCCCTATCGTAGGACCTTAGGGAGAGTTACAGGTAAGCCTATAACCCTGACTTAGTACCTGGACAGGGACGGCCCTGCCATATCATTTCCTTGGCACAGTAATCATAAGTTGATCCATCCTCCCATCCCTCGAGCTGTCATCACGACAAATATTGATCTTCGAGCTTTCTACTGCCGCCCGCTCGGACTCTGAGTCTACCAGAATTTACAATTTTTTCTGTATCACCCACTATAGTCCATCGCGACTATGGTACCCAGACACAGGACTGCATGGAGTTTATATGGAGTTGTTCGGCCATAACTCGACATATTTGAACATTGATTCTGTAGCAGCTATCAAAGAGAGCAGTATTTACCGCAATTATCTGGGGTTTCTTGTCAACATCTCAATAAGTATCTTTTGAAGCAGTCACCATAATGTTCAATTGTGACCCCCGCATCTATCCCTCTGCCCCACCTAATCCTTGCTCGCTCAGCCTTTCCCAAATTGCCACGGAGCAATTGTCCGTTTGCTGCGAGTCCTGGGTAAAAGGGGGGTGGATCCATGAATCTGTAAACTTAGCCGTACAGTAACCAGCATTTGGCATTGGTTTAAACTCATAAGACCTTGAAGAGAGTCAATAGCATCCATTACGCCACTTTAAATCACGATCTAGGCTACTATTCTAAGCACAAACATGGACTTGAAATCAGTTGAAGATCTCAAAGGAGTTCTCCGGCCTGACTTCTTTCATGGTTATGCCACTGCCGCGGCACAGATTGAAGGCGCTTGGGACAAGGACGGCAAGGGAGTTTCGATCTGGGATACTTTCGGCCATACCCCCGGTAAAGTCTCGGACGGGAGCACGGCTGACGATGCCGTTCGAGCGTACGACTTTTACCGTGAAGATGTGGCTTTGATGAAGTCCTATGGTGTAAACGCCTACCGATTCTCCCTTGCCTGGTCGCGCATCATCCCATTAGGTGGTCGCGACGACCCCGTGAATGAACAAGGTATCCAATACTATTCCGATCTTATCGACGAGCTCATCCGAAATGGGATCACTCCATTTGTCACTCTTTTTCACTGGGATACCCCTCAGACTCTGGAAGATCGGTATGGAGGCATGTTGAACCAAGAGGCTTACACCCCGGATTTCGTGCGCTACGCACGAGTCTGTTTCGAGCGGTTCGGTGATCGTGTTAAGCACTGGATCACTTACAATGAGCCTGGAGTCTATACACTCGCTGGTTATGCCGCTGGCGTACATGCCCCGGCACGCTCCTCATTTCGCGATCGCAATGCCGAAGGCGACTCGTCAACAGAGCCTTTTATTGTCGCTCACACGGAGCTTGTGTCCCATGGTCATGTCTCTCGGATGTACCGCGAAGAGTTCCAGCCACACCAGAAAGGCACAATTGGAATCACTCTTCACGGCAACTGGTCCGAGCCATGGGATGAAGATGATCCATTGGATCAGGCCGCTGCTGAGCGGGCTCGCGAGTTCGAAATTTCTTGGTTTGCGGACCCTTTGTATAAGACAGGCGATTATCCCGCATCAATGCGTGCACAACTGGGCGATCGTTTACCACGTTTCACGGCCGAGGAATCCAAACTTGTGCTCGGCAGCTCGGATTTCTATGGCATGAACAGCTATACGACATTTTTCGTGAAACACAAAACCACGCCCGCTGATATCAATGACCATAAGGGCAACGTGGAAAGCCACGATGAGAATAAACACGGTGTCTCGCGAGGCGAAGAAAGCGACACACCTTGGCTTCGCGCTGCGCCCGGTGGTTTCAGGAAGCTTTTGAACTGGATCTACAAGAGATACCAGATGCCGATCTATGTCACAGAAAACGGCACGACTGCGAAAGGAGAGGTTGCTCCTACACCGGAGGTTCTCAACGACACCTTCCGCATCAAATTCTTCGAAGGCTATGTTGGTAATGCATTGGCTCGAGCTGTTAAAGAAGATGGGGTAGACATTCGGTCTTATTTCGCATGGACCTTTACGGATAATTGGGGTAAGTCATTATCCTCTGCTTCTCTCATAGGTAAAGCCTGGATCGTCTGACTGAATTTTGTAACAGAATGGGCCGCTGGATATTCAGATCGATTTGGGTGTACATTTATTGACTACGAGTCGGAGGAGAAGAAGCGCTACCCTAAACAGTCTGCTTACTACCTGGACAAGGTGTTCAAGCATTTGATTCAGCAGGCATAGAGGCTTGGTTTAGGTGTCTTCTTTGCTTGAACTGGCAAAGTTCTTGCTATTTCTTATAGTAGAAGAACGAGAAGAATGATATGCTACTTGTACGGAAAATGACTTTGAGACAGAGTTAAACCAGCTCGACAGAGACTCAGACGACCTTAATATGACATCGTAAGCCAGAGGGCTAGAACCGTTTCGGGAGCATCTAAATCCACAAACGGCCCATTCTCTCGCTTACAGATAAACCTTTCATGGTATTTATTCAAAAGGAACCATTGACCATCTAAAGAGCCATCATAATGAAACAGATTGTCAGTCCAGCAACAGCTACCAAGTAGGATCGGAAAATATAAGACCGTGGTCTTTTCTTATTTAGGCAGAAAATTGATGCAATTCTGTAGACTTAAGGAGGTATCAATATCTCAAGGGTTCTCACTGGATCTTAAGGGATTTCTCCTCGTATCGTTCATATATTTCATGAAAATATGCTAAAGCTCATTCTTCCCGGAGAAAATTCTCTCTCCTCTGCCATGAATCGAAATCTCGACCTCCCGTTCTCTTTATACTTGCCCAATATGCTTCATCACCACCCCTGCGGAAGTACATGACTCGGAGGCTGGCCCGGGCCTAACCGGACATCGTTCGTCCTTCTTTACCCCTCTTAAAGTATTTTTCTTCTAAAAAAAAAAAAAATTATCTATATTAGCTCTTTTATAAGTACTATATTAGATAATATATTTATAAAAAGAAGAAGTACCGGTTCACCTTACTCGCATCCCGCCCGCCCACACTCCCCGCCTAGGGACATGCCCGGTAACCCGTGGAGATCGGGCCTCGACACGGGAGACCGGTACTGTGATTTCCCCTCATGGGGCACACCCAAATGGTCCATCCACTGAAGGTATGTCCAACTAGGCCATGTGAGGGGGGAGAGTGATTGGAAGAACTGGAAGTTGGTGATAAACTTTAAGACGCTCAACTAGAGGGCCTTATCCATGTCAACTGCCAGTCCAATATACCCTCAACATGCTTGCATTAGTCTACTTCTTGAACACCATAATTATCTCTCTAGTCTATTATTCGCAAAATCAACATCAAATCTCCTCGGATTTTCCGCCTTTATATGCCACCGACTTCGATTCAAGAGATGATTTGTTGACATCTCAAGTCAATTCCAGTCGTCCTTTATTTACTCATGTTGCTGACTTGGGAGATGAGGCACCGGCTATCAATATGGACGACCTCATGGCTCGAGCTAGGATTGCCACTCAACAAGGTCGTGCAGACATGTCACCCTTTGTGGTTAAAAGGACGTGTTCATCTCAATATTAATATATGGGAGAAAGACCTTATTGTCTCTCAGGAGAATGGTATCTAAGACTGTACGAGTTTTTGCTCGCTACGCTGCTGATGGCTTTACCGTTAGCTATCTAAGCGCGCACTGGAGACAATACGCGCTCCAATGTGTACCCAAAAACGCCAACCTGGCTCCACTCCCTCACATTCCTACTTACTATCCAGGAATCCGAAAGTCCACAGCATGATTTCATCATGACAAACAAAGAAAGTACGAAAGTGATGCGCTTTCAATAAGAAAAGAGGGTTTAGGAAGAAAAATACAACTCTTGGCTACGACTGACTGACTTTTTCTTCATTTGTAACTAGAGATCTTCCTTGTGACTGCTGGCCATCCCCGTCAATGCCCTTGTTCCAGCCGCCGGAAACGCCTTATGTATCATGGAAATATCTTTCCTTACGTTCATGGGAACAGGATAAATAAGTGTCCGAGGCAGAGCAGACGGTTCGACATGCTTTTTTCAGGGTTTGATCCTATTTGAAGAAAGAAGGCTTGCCCCACCCCCGATTTTATAGCTCAAATCGTGATACCTTGGGTCGAAAGCGGGTTCCTGCCATTTATCTAGCCACTCCAATACCCTTGACTCCGCCGTTGGTATTCCTCGAGTGTGAGCTGAACAACGAATTATTACGGAAGACTGAGATACCAAAAATATGAACATCCATGTGAAGAGAACCTTCAAACATCACTGGAAAAAGAAAGTCAAAGCATAGCCTGTTGGACTGTTCCAGCGAGCCAATCATCAATCGGGAGTGGTGCTGCGATATGGAGTTGGGGTCTCTCCCGAGACATCATTTGCGGGAATAGCTCGTTGGGGTAGGTCGTTGCGATGGCTCTATCGGCTAGCCCCCGCACGACTCCAACGATGAGAAGCTCGGCTCGGCTATCAAATAAGCGGTGTCGCCGACGATAAATGGCGAATCCCTCGAAGAGAAGAGATTGTCTTCTTGAAAGTAGCTAAAGTAGCTCTACGACACCAAGAGCTCCAAGCCTAGGAGAGATAGAGCTATTGTGATAATGTCTGACGGAGAGCCAATCAAACTTGCATTGAGGGGTAGCCCTCGAGAGGTAAGGACCATTGTTTTGCATTAACAACGGGCCAACTGATTTCTGGCTCGATGACTGCAACTGCTAACCTTTCTGTATCTTGTGTCCAGATCGGTGTGAAGCATGGCCGGTCATTGAAAGACCAGATCCGCGATCAAATGCGCATCTACGAAAGCATGTTCGAGTACACCTCGAAGCTATCCTGGCACGAAGTTCGAGAAGTCGCCAAAGAATTCGCACCTACGATTCAACGCCTAACTCCCCACATATTTGCCGAGATGGAAGGCATCGCGGAGGGGGCGGAGGTCGACATTCTCGATATTGTGGCACTGAACTGTCGAAGCGAAATCGCCCTGGGCAAGTTTTCTGATGGATGCACGACACTTTGCTGGAAGACGAACGACAATGTCCGTGTACTATCGCAGAACTGGGACTGGACTGCAACTGTGAAGAAGAATCTGGCCATGGTCTCTATCGAGCAGCCTGGAAAGCCTAGCATATACATGATCACCGAGGTAAGACATGACGTTCTCCCGAAAGTTGTATCTGTGATAACGGATTTTCATTTCCTCAATCTTCTAGGCTGGAATCGTTGGTAAGATCGGTTTCAATTCCGCCGCAGTGGGAACATGCCTCAATGCCATTCGTGCGAAACCGATGATCAGCAGCAAGCTGCCAATCCACGTAGCACTCAGACTATGCCTTGAGAGCACCTCTGTGACCGAGGCTGTTGAGACACTTGAGAAACTCGGCGGTGTTGCCTCTGCTCAGCACATCTTGGTGGCAGACAGCACAACAGCCCTGGGACTCGAAGTATCCCCCGTGGGCAACAAATATATCCCCGAGGATGCCTCCGGATTGATTGGTCATACCAATCATTTCATTGAGAATCGATATGTGGAGGAGCCCCCTTGGCTGTCTGGGTCACCCATTCGCCTCAAGCGGTTAGAGGATCTTACTACAGAACTGATCTCTAGCGGGGTGCATGGTGATGCCGTTTCTCCTACTTTGTTGCGAGAGCGGATCTTCTCGGATACTTACAATGCTCCGCAGGCCATCGCCTGCCAGGAAGACGAGTCTCGCGATGTCTCCACGCGAAGCAGTTCGTTATTCAACATTATCATGAATTTGGATCCACGGAATCTGGGTGCCGAGGTAGTCTGGGGTCGTCCCGGCTCGGGAGAGGAGGGAGCTGTCCTTAAGATGCCTTGGTGAAACAGCGCCAATTATAGTTGGTAGAAATTCCATAATTATTTTTTAATACTACCTCAACTGGTACAAAAGACTAGAATATAGCTCTTAAACCTTGTAAATACATGCGCAAGCTCTTTCCTGCCCCTGAGATTGAGTCTGGGGCTTGAGAATATGGCAGCTCTTGCAAAAGCCTATAGTCGGCTTTGCTGAGCCTTCCTCATATAATAATCATACGTTGACTTTCCGGCTTGGCTCGAGTAGCCACTTCGTGAGGCATGTTTCTATGAATTGGATACTGCATCTTAGATTCTTTACTGATATTGATCCCAGACTCCGGGATGTGGTAGAATGTCGTCAAACGAACTTGTATACCTCTTGGAAAGAGGAAGATGATCGAATTAACCTTCATTGCCAAACGCAAAGTCTAAACAAATACACAGAAAGTCCATGCGAAGTACCATCTGGAGACACAGAACCAAATAACGCTAGTACTAGTCTAGTCTAGACTTGGTGGGTCCATGGGGAATGACAGCTCGAGGGGCTTAGCGTCACGGCACATTCCACCTCGTCTCCAGCTGCGCTTCTGGAAATCATACAAGACCTCCTCTGGTTTAAAGAACCTCTTTGAAGGGCCTAAGTAGGTCACAGAGCCTGAGAGATAGGCACTGCTTGATGAATTGTAGTCTCCAAGGAAGTCCCTCATGGCGACACGAGGGACTGCACGTTGAAGAGTACGCGGAAGCGTTATATGAAAGAGGCTAGTTCGATCATTGCGGCTTTCATCTCTCTCGTTGTTTGCTCGAGGTAGATGAAAGCTGCTTCGTGGATTTTAGACTGTGAGCATTCGTTTCAGCATCTGGTTGATTTACAGAATCAGAATCATCCTAATTGACCTGAACCTCGGCCTTTCTTCCATCTCCCTTCTACCCATGATAGATGCGGCGAGCTCTCGTGTAGTGTTCTCAATTTGCCATGCATCTATATCGCTCAGAGGTTAGGCCTTGTTCGGAAATCAAGCAACTCGTCAAAACGGTGAAGGTGGGCGGAAACACCCCGAGTTTTAGAATCGAGGCCTTCTTGTCGTCATCGCGACTTACTCTGTGGTGGCCGTATTCTCGGCCCAATCAGATTGTGTATCAGATTTACGAACAGATGTAGCCTGCTTCGTACACACCCATTTCTTTGTTTATCATCGGATGTCGATCGACCATTCGCAATCCATGGGAATCAAATCGTGGTCAGCGGCCTCCACTTACTAAGGGATTAGCGCGGGAGGTCGTCATTCAAGCGAGCGATCACGCCAAATCAAGGCACCTCGATCGATGGTTCCGCATGTAGAAGTGAAGATGACCATGGTTATGATCGTGTATGATTGGTGATCAGGCTGTGTTGTGCATTCTGTCGTGCACCCGAGTGATCACCATACATGCATAGTTGTGATCATCAAGGACGGAATCTTTCCCTAGCCGATTTGATTCTTAATCAAGATCGATCGATTCGACCATATAAAACAGTAGTGGGTTCCCTTCCGGGGAAAGAACCCAGAATAATTCCATTCTAGCCCCTCCTGCTTCAGCTCGAATCGTCGATTAGGACAAAACAACTTTGACCTCGAAGATGGTATCGGTCGCGGACGAGTCACGAGAACAGGAGCCCCTGTTGGGCTCGCCCGGCTTTACGACGCAGAAGCCGGAGGCTCACATTGCGCGCAATCTAATCACCGGTTCGGATTGACCACATGGCTATATCCGTTGGCTCTTGATTACTGACGTGGATGGTCCAATAGGTACTGCCAGTGTTGCACAGGCGGGGATCTGGATTGTAGGTGTCCTTCAACACTCATCCAAGACTCGAAAACTAACCAATAACCAGCTGGCTGCTCTGGTCTGGTCCAACGTCTTAGCTTTACCCTTTGCGCTCTTCACGGGACACCCCGTAAGTGGCCCGACATCTTGTCATTCTCATTTCTTGCATATTTCGGTCTCTAACCAATCCACCTCCAGCTACTGGCCAGCACGGCCCTCTTGCTCCAAGTCCAGGCAGCGCTGATTCTCCAACCAACCGCCACGCCCGACCAAAAACTGCTGGGCACCCGCATCCACTACATCATCCAACTGCTCAGTATCTTGTCCTTCCTGAGTGCATTCGTCGTCATCGAATTCAACAAGGGTGACCACCCTCATTTCGTTTCCCCCCACGGTATTCTCGGTCTGATCACTATCATCCTCGTGGTCCTCCAAGCCTCATTCGGCGTAATCCAGTTCTTCTTCCCCGTCACGGTTCTCGGCAGTGTCGACGCGGGCAAGCGAGTGTACAAATATCATCGCTGGGCTGGATATGTTTTGCTACTGTTGGAGGTTTCGACTGTCCTGGCGGCGACCCAGACACCGTACAACCTGAATGCCATCCATATTCCTACAGGGGGAGTTGTCGCCGCGGTCATTTTGACTTTGCTGGGTGTGGGAGCTCGGGTCAAGAAAGCGAAATTGGGACTGAACGATGCGTAAATCGGGAGACTGAGATAAACACTGGGGATATACGACATTTTGATTTGCTAGCGATGCCATTTCACTTCTGCGATGCATACACGAGAATTAACGATTTATGATTGTTTCTATATCTTTGCAATCAATAAAACATCACTTGTCTACAAATATTATCAAGATGTATTGACTCGATCATTGTCACAATGAATCGTAAGTTGGAGATTCAACCTCCATAGCTCTCGGCCATTGATGGCTCCACCCAGCAAACCCGCCCGACGATCTCCACTTCTTCGCTTTCTCCAACTGCTTCACTCTTCCAACCGCCTCGCCAATGGCGCCCTCCCCCTCCCCCTATATCTGCTTCAATTGCAGACTGGCACCTCGAAATACATTGCCTCGACTCCAGCCATACCGCTCATTCGCGACGACCCGCCGTCACCAGCAGATCCTGCGTCCCGCGACAGCACCCAAGCCCACGCCAGATGTGAAGCACATCCGCCAGAATGCCGAGCTCTACGCGCAGAATTGTATAGTCAGGAATTATGCCGGCCATGCAGAGTACCCATCCAAAATTCAGGCTTTGTCCGATGAAGCCAGACAACTTGAGCACGGTCTCAAGGCGCCGCGCTCGCAGATCAAGCAGCTGGAAAAGACTATAGCGAAGCTGTCCATTGCGGCGCGACATGCTTCAACCAACGCCACAGAGGGCAATGAACAAGGATCGGCTACGAAAAAAGAATTGGGGGATCTGAAATTAGAAGCGCAGCGTTTAAAGGACGAGTCGCATGCCATGACGGTCCGCCAGTCTGCTTGCACGGACGAAATTAACCGTCTGGCCCTGTCCCTCCCGAACCTCTCGTCCCCCGAAACTCCCATCGGCGACGACCCCCGTCTCGTTCACTACCTCCATTTCGATCCCCAATCACCACCCGCCTGGACTCGCCAGTCCCCCGCAGAGCTCCCAGCTCGGTCGCACGTCACCATCGGCACCAAACTCGGTCTTCTCGACTTTACAAGCTCGGCCACCACGACGGGATGGGGCTGGTACTTCCTCGTCAACGAGGGCGCCATGCTCGAGCAAGCGCTCGTCCAATATGCCTTGAGCGTTGCACGCCGCCGCGGCTGGAAAACGGTCTCCCCGCCCTCGATCGTCTACTCCTACATCGCCGAGGCATGCGGCTTCCAACCGCGCGACCAGCACAACGAGCAGCAAATCTGGTCAATCGAGCAGAACGAGCGCGACCGCGATACCAAACCCCCCCGCTCGCTCACTGGAACCGCGGAAATCCCACTCGCGGCAATGTACGCTGGCCGCGACATCAACGCCTCCGAACTCCCCATCAAGCTCGTGGGCGCGAGCCGATGTTACCGTGCCGAAGCAGGCTCCCGCGGCGTCGACACGAAGGGCCTCTACCGCGTCCACGAGTTCACCAAAGTCGAGCTCTTTGCGTGGACGGATAACCTGCCCTCCGACGCAGCCGCAGCCGCAGCCAAGCCCACATCGGACACCCTCTTCGCCGAACTCCTCGACATCCAAACCGAGATCCTAACATCCCTCCACCTCCCCTGCCGCGTCCTCGAAATGCCCACCGGCGATCTCGGAGCAAGCGCAACCCGCAAGCGTGATATCGAGGCTCTCTTCCCCTCACGATTCCGCCCTACGCCCGACTCAACGAGTCGCATCGACCCTGCCGTCTCGGGACTGGAGTCTGCTTGGGGTGAGGTCACCTCTGCTTCTATTTGCACTGACTACCAGAGCCGCCGACTGGCGACGCGCGTACGTGGTAGTGCGCCCAAGGAATCGCGGTTCCCGCACACCGTGAACGGAACTGCGATGGCCGTTCCGCGTGTGTTGGCTGCTATTTTGGAGAACGGGTGGGATGCGGAGCGTGGTGTTGTCGTTGTGCCGGAGGTATTGAGGCCGTGGATGGATGGGATGGAGACGATTGGTCGGCGGGAGTAGAATGGTTGACTGTCGGGAGTTGAAGATTTTCCATTCTAAATGTATATTATTGTAGTTTAAACTGCGTGTCATGGTTGTATACTAACTCGGATGATGGGCGCTCTATACCAAGGCACTCAGAATGATGGCATCGAGTCCCTTCGTTGCAGTAGAAAGGGTTCTCCGGTATAGCGTCAGAGAACATAGGATCTCAAGCTCCACATCTGGAGAAAGTAGGGGGAAAATCTCAGAGAAATGGGTATTTTCAATTGACGCGGACAGGCTGAAGCCAAAACAATGACGGAGCCAGCTTCCACTTGGTATTGTTATTGTACACGAACATAGTGATGAATATCGAAGTGAATACAAGCGAGGTGGGTATGACCAGTGCACCATAACCAACCCCGAGCGCAGAGAAAGGAAAAGAAAACAAAATAATACAATGCACGGGTAGAGACATCCATATAAATCCCACTTAAGTGGCTATCATTCTGGCCAAGGGTATCATGGCCGATGGAAAGTAAATGGAGAAAGCCCCTTGATATCATTAGAAAGTGAGCAATAAGCCCACTGCACATGAAACAGGTGTGAAAGTAGCCATTAGAGCTATGACGAAGAAAAGGGCTGAACGAGAGGGAAGGAGTTTAGGGAAGGAAGGAAGGAATGGAAGAAGGTTATGTATGTCGAAAACAAGTTCTACATAACGGGGAATCTACCTACGATCAAGCAGTAGTCCCATTAGTCATGGGAATACTTGCTTGATCTTGCTGGCTGGCGCTGGCCTCACCATCAGGCATGTTGGCGTCGTCCATTGCTTTCATATCCGAAATAAGATCTTTCGAATCGCCCGCGTCCATCTGTTCCGCGTCCCCCTCATTAAAGCTCGGCATCTCGAGCGCCACGCCACTGTTCTTCTTCGCCTTTTTCTTGCTCGGCTCGGACGGGCCGGCCTTGGCGATGGCGGCGTTGGGTGGTGCCGGGCGTTTCTGTGGGCTCGAGGTGCTTCCGTGGACACCAGCCGGGGGAGGGATCTTGCCAGATGCGGGCAGACGGGTCTTGGCAGGCATGTGTCGCTGCTTGAGAGGCAGCTCCAGATCTTCCACAAGTGGTTCGTCACTATTTGCATCCAGCTTGCCCTTGAGGAATTGCTGGACCAGCCCGATCTGGTTCACGACGTTTTCAGTGGTGATTCGAGCGTAGGGAGGCGGCGGCGGGAAGGAGTCCTCGGTCTGGATCGCCGTGGTGTTCTGCGCTTGTGCTGCGTTGAACATGCGGCTCGGCAGCAAGTGCAGCGGCACGCTATTGAAGGCAATACCAAACTCCACATCCAGACCGAGTTCCTTGAAACCAAGGAAATCGTCATTGATGTCATCCGCGAAGGTTCCAGTGACGAACTGGTCGCTGCCATCGGCAAAGGCCTTGGAACCGTCCTCGCCAACATCCGTAAGAGCCGGGCGCAGAAGCTCGGTGAAGAGGTACTTGAGGCGATCATGAGCAGACGTGAGCTTAGTTCCGAGCCGTTCAACGTCGTCCTTGATGTAAAGCTCCAGCTCCTCAATGTCCATACCGACGGCAGAAAGTGTATGAAGGACGACCTCGGGTTCACTGTATGCAGACTTCCATTCGGCAGACGACGAAGCATCCTCGGATTCAGTGACAGGAACCTTTGGAGTTTCCATGTAAGACTTGATGGTCTGACCAATCTTGTGGAAGTAGTCAGCGGCCATATCAGTCGCGACGTCGATGGCTGAGGGTTGGTACTCCTCGAAGCCAGCATGATAGAAAATCTTGGCAACCGATCGCTGCAGCGCCGCACGGCACACTCCTGTAGTCATGACGGGGCCGTTATCGTTCATAACGTGAGCTGGGATGTCCTGTTCGACGAAGGGCTCAGGATTATACTTTTGGAATTGGTTCGCGTACATCTACCATCTCTGTTAGCTCATATCTCAACTTCAACCTGGGGAATCTTATGTGTTCCAAATGCATACCTGAGCCTGAAGCTGCATCTGCTTCACGATGCCAATCTTCGAACAAATCTTGCGCGTATCCTGCATCTGCCGCATGTTGGAATCTATCTTGCGTGACAGTTTGCTATCGGGCTGCGTGAAACTTCCCGCAGGAAGAACCCGGAGAAACTCCTCAGAGGTGTCGACGACGTTTCCCTCGGCATCTTCCTTCCAGGCAAGGCGAGACGGGAGATCCGGTACGCCGTGCATGACGTCGTAGTAATAGGGAATCATCTTGTCTTCCTCAACCTCGATACCCTCCGCAAGCGATGCGCCAGCAGCTTCGGGCTCCATCGCCTGAGAGCCAGCGTCCTGAGTCTTCTCGCCCTCGTTAGCAGCTTGCTTCTCATGACGAAGCCAGCGGCGCATGCCAGCCTTGGTACGAATCAAAGCCGGCTCATCAGCGTTAAGCTTGTCGCCCTTGAAGAGGCGATGTCTCTCGGCGGCAATCAGAGCTCGATCTTTCTTGGTGACTTGCTTCCACACCTTGTACTCAGGGTCTTCGGCTTCAAGACCAGGCATTGACAGGGCACTCAGAGCGGTGATGTCGGCTGTCGGGCCATCGATTTCCATAGCGTCACCCAACTGGCTCGCTGCAACACCAGCACCAGCCCCCGCTGGGTCGGAGGGGGTATTAGAACCGGGAGGAGGGGTTGAGAAGCCGTTCTGGCTCGCTTCCATGGCCGTATCTGAGTCAGCCCGAACGGGACCTGGGGGCTGACTGGAAGATGCACCGGCAGGGCCTTCAGAGCCACTGGGGGTGCTACGGGAAGGAGCCGTGCCCTTCTGGGAGGTTTTGCCGGGGGCCTTTCGTCCTCGAGAGGACATGATCGGTTCATCGTCACTTTCCTCACCTCCATCTTCGAGGTCAGCAAGTTGCTGACGACGTTCTTCAGCTTCAACTTCCGCTCGGTCCCTAACAACAATGTCCGGGATCAAAGGCACAAGCTTGTCGGTTTCTTTGCGCATGATCACGGCCTTTCTGCGCAAGGGATGATTTGGATCGGTGTTATACTTGAGACAATTCGCCCAAATGAGATTAATATCATCCACAAAATCTTGCTTCGACCGATAGCTAAAAGCCTTGAGCTTCTTGGTCATCGTTCCGAGGTCCATTGGGTGCCGAATAACTATAACACGGGAGGATCAGCAGTTGATATAGTAGGGTTGAGAATAATAGCACTTACTCAGGTGATAATCAGGCACGTCACGCTTGTTAACCTTGTTCAAAAATGGACCCGAATTCTCGGTCATGGCCTTGAGTTCGTTAAGAACCTTCTCCGCAGCGTCGTAAAGCTCCTCTTGGCCGATGCGTTCCTCGTTGTACCACTTGCTTCGGTTCTTGCGGACCTCGCGAATCAGGCTACGAAGCTCGGCGTCAGATGCCTCCACCATGTCGCGCTTCTGATCGATCCGAGCAAGTAGATTCTTCAATGTCAGGCTTGAGGCGCCAAGGTTCGTCTGGCTGAGTGTACCATGACCACTGGAACCACCAGAGGTGTTGTTAGCACCACTGTTTTGGCCAGCAATTTCGGCATCGACCTGGCGTTCAGACTCCTCGAGCCGCTGTTGGTCCAGCATTGCATAGCGGTCATCCTCAAGGGTGTAGAACATGGTATGGAAGCTATGCTTAACAGCTTCTTCGGTAGCCTTTTTGTCTTCTTCGAGCTTCTTGCGAATATCCTCCGCCGTCTCTTTCTTTTGTTCCTTTGCCCCTTCAACATTTGTGGAAGCTGCGGTGCCAGGACGTAGCGACGGAAGCGCGGTGACGGTGGAATCTTGCGACGCTGGGATGGACTTTGCTTTCAGAGGGGACTCCGTTGAATCAGGCATATCCGCGTCTTCATCGTCATCGTCGTAGTCATCATAGTCGTCGTCGAGTTTGCGGGCAGGCTTGGTAGGTGCCTTCGAAGGGGGTGCCGGCGCATCGACGCGTTCGGATTGATTATCAGGCTGATCGGAGTCCGCAATGGCGGCGCCGGCCACCTGTTCCTGGGCATAGCCCTCTGAAAAGAGCGCGCTAATTTTCGCCTCACTCAGGCGATACAATTCGCGAAATTGGGCAACGCGTGGGTCTTCCTCGGCTGCGATATCAGGGTCCGATGTCATACTACCGGGGTTTGGTCCATCGGCGCTGATAGAGCCGCGTGTTTGAGGGGTTCGCGAGCCAGATAGAGTTTTGACCAAGCCATTGACTGATCGCGGGGAGTCTTGGTGCTCATCCGGAGGGCGAATATTGCCCGGAGGCCAGGCGTGGTGACCGAGCGACATGCTCGCTCCAAAACCCCGGCTCTGGGGGCGGGCGAGACTCGATTCTCCACGCTTCGGATGGCAAGCCGAGAAATCGCAACAACAGGGTAAGATGAGATAAAAAGGTATGGAATTGTAAGTAAGAGATAGCAAAATCACCAGGCAATGTCAGAAGCCCCGACAGTGATGGTACAAGGGAGAGGTTTGATGAAGAAGGTAACAGCTTCAGTAAGGAAGATCTTCTGGATGGGGATGGACGACGCCAGCCGCAAGCCGCAAAGGCGGCGAGTCGCGGCAGATCGCAGAAACGGCATATCATGGGAGCCTTAACAGTAGTACCTCCAACCACCATTTTCTCTAGAGCTATTGAGCGATTGGCTGATTCTTACCTTCTATACGATCAGTGGGATACATACAAGTTCTCGGGATCTTCATATCAAACCCATCAACTCGGCCATTCAAACCCACATATGACGCACTGGCACCAGCCCGGGCCAACCGATCGTCGTCATCCGTTAAAACACTACCCGTCTTGCGCTGCGTAGCTGAGAGCTGCACTGGGATACAACTGATTGGAGAGTGTGTGATAAGAAACAAATATTCGAAGCTTGTCATTGTTAAAATCTACCATTATGCGGATCCGCTACCCTTTCGCAGGTATGTTTCAAGCTGTCGCAGAGCTAGTACAATCATCCTCCACCGGTTCACCCCAGCTAATATGCAAACGCAGGAGCTTTCGCTTTCCTCCTAGTCCTGTCTGGATACATGGGTCTGCTGTCCCATAGTACCTCCTCATCAATTCCTACGAATCTCCAACCAAATGACAAGTTCCTGCACCTCGTCACCTTCTTCCTCTTGACCGTCACCTTCTACTGGATCTTGGACACCACGAGGCGGCGCACTCTACATATAACTTTACTGGTCTGCACACTCGGCATGAGTATAGGCTCAGAGATTGTCCAAGGTCTGCTTCCCATTGACCGAGCCTTTGACCCATTCGATGTCGTTGCCAATGTCGTCGGCAGCCTCGGCGCAGTGGGCCTGTGCGGCTGGTACCACCGCCGCATGCTGGATCGTCGCCGCAAGAGCCGCTTTGGTGTCGTGGACGGTGGAGAGGAGGATGTTGAGCTTGGCGTTGGGGTTGGTGGCTCCCGGGAGGAGGAAGGACTAGGACCGCAAGAGTCTGGTGTGATGAACCTGGAGCAAGAGGTGGATAACTGGGATGAGAATGCTGTCGATAATTGGGATACTGAGGATGGTCTGGATGCGGCGCATCAAGCTACACCTCCAAGTTACGATGACAGCCAACTAGCTGGAGAGGGCTCTACGAAACGCAGCGACTGATACAGTTAGTTCGGGTCGAGCTCCTTGAGTTACAGTTTCACGTACAGCCCACGTTGATACTGGCAGGAGCATCTCCCGTTTGATGATGGTTATGGACTGATGCATTGATCGATCTCACGTTGGCATGATACCAGTCGTTTAGTTCTGATGTATTTTTCGCAGCGATCAATTTCTTTTTTGCTGTCATTTTTGCTTGGGTTTGAAGCTTGCGACAGGCTTGCATGAAGCCTGTTGGAGGGAAATGAAAGATACTATTCTATCTTGCTTGAAACTGCAACACTCATGGGTCCTTTCAAGGCCTTTCAAGGATTGCCCCCCCCCCCTCCCCCATAAGAATTGTACAGCCAAAATTCTTCGCAAACAAGGTTACACCCTCTGGTCCACAGATTATATCGCCGTCTTTCGTATGTAGTGGGAACCCCATTTTCAGCACGTCTAGACCAGAATGACTATAGAAGGGACGCGAATAGCCATTCGGAAGCGGAAGTTAGAGCCGCAAATAGTATAAGAAGCACCTCATCCTTGGGACGAGGTACCTCACAGAGTTCTACAGCATCGGCAAATCAAGCTTGGAGCGAGAAGTTGGCTTAAGTCGATACAGGCATAGTAGACACAACTCGACAAACCGCTAATATACAGCAACTCTAATGCAAAGACTAGGTCTTCAGTCATCGGGCATAGAACTACAGAAGAGTGCAAGGAAATTCATAACAAGTGGCAATGTAGACTGGGGGTATTCAGAAAAAGGCAAGAAGATACAGGAAGGGTCCTTTGGGCAAATGGGGGAAAAAAAAGGTAATAGGAAGACAAGAAAAGTAAACAAGACAAGTACAGAAGTATGTAAGACAAGGGGACCATGGGACAATAAAGCAGCAAGTACAGAAACACCGGATGCCATGATATGATGCAAGAGAACAAATGAAATCGGAAATTCAGGGGCTCATGATCAATCGTGACGAGTAAACACAAAGAGTAGAATAGGAAGACGAAGCGAACCACCTCTCGTGGCCAGATAGGAATCTGGCCTCTGGGTGAAAGAGATGTCTGGTGAAACAAGCAATGTAATGAACAATGTCGGCACTCGTTACTCATGGTGAGAGGACTCGGGTGTTTCAGTCGGAGTTGCAACTTGGTCTGAAACAGCCTCTAATTCAGGCTTCGATGCAGGCAGATAATCAGGCTCATCGCTCAGTTTGGCGAGCTTGGCAGACCGTGGCTCATCCGTTTGGCTCCCAGGCGACGCGTTGTTCTGTCCTAGCATTTTACCCAATTTGATATCCGTTTGTTCTCGGAGCACCTCGTAGATAAATTGCATTTGCATCTCGTTGTAAACCATCATCATTCGCTGTTCGCGCATCTGGTTGACCGTCTCAAACACGGGGTCGGTCTCGGCATCGGCTACCTGCAGCAGGTGGCCCGATTCGAGCTCCTGAAGGAGATGGTCCAAGGCGATGAAAGTTCCCGTGCGGCCCACGCCTGCACTGCAATGGACCACACGTGGATTTTCAGGCCCTCCAGCTTTGGAGGCCGATAATTTGATCAACTCAAGGAGTGCCTCGCGGTCGTTACCTTCGGGCTTGGAATAATCGGCCCAGCCCGCAAAAAGGAAATGCCAGACGATCTTCGACTCCGAGCCGATTGTTAACTCGAGCTTGCGAATTTCCGAGCGTGACTTGGCATCGAACGTCGACTCTAGCAAGGTCACCTTGCCAATGATTTCGGGGGGTTCCTCCTGGCTACTCTCATCGGCCACGAAGGGATCCGACTCCTCTTCCGAGAGAATCATCGAAGCCTGACTCGAGTCCAATGGGAAATATTGTGCGCATTTTTCTCGACCAGCCTCGAAGGTTTGGGTCAACATGACGATGACAGCCACATCCTTGCTTTCATGGAAGACCATGTGCCAAAAATGAGAGAGATGACCAAGCTTGGGTCCCTGCCGATCGGGACAAAGATCGTTAGTACTCAGACTCTTTTGAATTATGACTAGAGCAAGGTTTGGCAACATACCTGGGTCGCAATGTAGGTCCTCTCCTCCTCCGTGACCGAGTCCTTCAGTATGATCGGCGAGGCGTTGATAAAATCACACTCACCCTCGGGCACCCGCAGATGGATGCGGCAGTTGGCCCATGCCTGCACGTTAACATATCGATTTCGAGCCTTGACTTGGGGGTCGCCTTCGAGGGCAAAAGGGTGGGCAGGGTCGTTGGACAACATGGCCTCGGCCAGTCGCGTCCGCTGCATCCATTCGAGGTCTTCAAATTTGTCGTGGATCTCTATAGATATATATCAAAAGCGGTCAGTTCACTGGCTCCCCACGTGTGTAAGGCGCACTTCTCGATCTTTTCTATCCCTTCCTTCACTCTATTCTCCGATAGGGCGTATGCACCCCGCTTCGCTCACTTACCCGAGACTGATTGGCACAAGAACGGCGGGACATCGTCCGTATTGCCAGCGTCCAACCGGGGATTCCCCTGTTCACCAGGCACGTCGAGACCATCGCCGTCGGGAGGTAAGCCGCGCTTCCCCGTCTGGACGTTGGTATCGATCTTGATGGAAGGATGCGCCATCTTGGCGGCTGCGATCTTCTGGAATGCGCGAACCTTGCCGATCACGCCGCGGGCTTTTCGGGAGACGGCCTGACTTTTCGAACGTTTTTTGGCGCTGCGCGGGGCAGTGGAGGAGGGGTCGGGGGAGGGTGAGCGCGAAGCTTCTGGGTCGGTGCTGACTTCGAGTTGATCGAGACCGTATGCGGCAGCCGAGACCTTAGATATCTGCAACGAGGACAGATCGGGACAGCTATAGAAGCTGTCCCGGGAATGTGTGTCCAGGGCCAGGGTTTTTTGGGGGGGAAATATCACGCGGGGGCCTTGCTTGGGCGTCGAAGGAGGGGACAGTGAAAGGGAAACTCGGGAATCGAGTAATCAGCGCCACGCTACCTGAGCCGTATTTGCGCCACAACTTCGCGGTGAGACGTTGCGCTATCTTTAAATCCTTCTTACCTCTGATCACAGAGGCTGAAGCTACTAAGTCCTATAGCGAGCTTGTTAATGAAATAAAGGGGATCACTAAATTGACTCCCCCCATATTTTGGTTCCCCCTCTGCCTAAAAATACTCGATTGATCAGGGTTTCTTCAGGTACTCAGGCAATCAACCCATATCACGTAATCGTAGATTTTCCAATTTCGTAGCCCTCTTCCACCGCTCTCGCCATGCTGTCCACCAGGACCTATGCACTGCCAGGACCTCTTGTTAAACAACTGTCTCGCCACCAATTAAGATAGATGTGACGGGCGCGCTTGTCTTCGCGCGGCTGGCTCAAGGCGGTCTCGAGGGTTCCGTGCTCGTGGAGGGACCAGAACAAGTATGAGGGTAGTCAGGCAGGCATGGGCATGGGCATGGCCAAGCTTCGTATGCTGAGAATTTGATGGAGGCTCCGGCCAGCGAGGATATCCAGACTGACTCACCAGAGGGCATGGAGTCGAAATTTGTTGAAATTCAATTATTTCAATGTCTTTGAAAATACTAAAGTTTCTTCTATCAACCAGAACGGTAGCCCATATCTAAACTACAGAGATATAGAACAGATTAGCTGAAAGGGATAGTACTCTGAGAAATCAGGCATTTTCAGGCAGACAGAGAGTCAAGTTAGTACTCCCTTATAAACACCTATAGTCTATTTTTGATAGAGAAATCTAATCTATAATGCTCGTGCAATGGAGGGAATACATGAATTTACACGAAGAGAGTCCGAAGCTAGGACGGCCGGAATGTACCTGCCATCGACGGATTGGTAAGTTGGTCAGTGGTTTCCCGCGTGGCGAAACCAAAACATCCCGCTCCTTTCGACAACCCTGAAACAACCCGCACGGCAAACACCGGTGGCCTAGGACTCTAAGAAACCTCGGACTGCCCTCGCGCATGTCGCCCGACGCGAGCGCTCCAGGGTGTTGATCGCCTCGTCTCTCTTTCCTCATTACATGGACCGATGACCACTATTTAACGTGGGCGCCCTCATGGAAATGGTCTCCTCCGCGCAACTCCTCGATCGCATGCCCCTCCAAAGCACCCTCTCCGTTGTGTCGCGGCCCTCGCAGTCTAGTCGCCGACATCATCGCTCGGGGCGCTCACACCATGGCGGTTCCATGCAGTCTTCCTCGAACGATTTCCCCATCTTCACCTATACCGGCGATGTCGAGGTCGTGATTCGCGCCGGCGCGCAGGAACGTCGCTATCTTCTCCACCGTCTGATTCTGGCGCAATGTTCGGGCTTCTTCATGGCCAGCACAAGTGAAGTCTGGTCGGGCCAGACGCAAGTTCCGACAAAGGGAGAGGGCTCTTTATCGCGCGTGAGCGAGGATTCCTTGTCCAATGGGTCAACCCTGGTCCAAGGTGATCATGGTAAAGTTACGGCGCGCGGGGGAGACAAACGGAGGTGGGGATTTGAGCTTGATTGGGAGACCCGTGGGGAGGACGAGGAACCAATTCTGGTTCAAAAGGTATCATAAAGAATGCCATGCACTACCCCGAATGGTGTATGGCCATCGAAGTCTGTATGGTATAGATGGCTAACATCTACACTCGCACAGGAACCCTCTCATACTCCAACATTTGGCGGCGATCAACCCTCTTTTTCCTCGACAGCAACGAAACCGTCGAGCGCACAGGCAGGCTACTTCCGGTCCATGGCGAATTTGGCCGGAATGCAATCGGTAGTGCACCTACCACAGATGGCCAGTGGTAACCATGGCACCGTGGACCCGTTGATACGCGACTACGACAACCTCTTCCGCGTGTTCTACAATCACCCACCAACCCTAAACAGTGTCAACATTGCCTCGGCCTATACGGAGTGCAAGTCTCTCCTCGCATTAGCAGACATGTACGATGCACTTCCGGTCACTGGCCCACGAGTCGACCACCATTTACTAGGATTCGGGTCCCGCCTGTTTAAGCAAATCGCCAAATACCCACCCAGCTACCTCAAGCTAGGATATCTGGCCCGTAGCCGTGTCATTTTCTCGGAGGCGTTGATCCACGTCGTGGGACAATGGCCGGCGGCCCTGCCGAACCTACGCAACGGCTCCTATGCCCCGTTACCCAACTCTGTTCTCGATCTTATAGAGGACAAGTACGAGGATCTGGAGGACCTCAAAGCCCGCGTTGACTCTAAGCTCTTCCGTCTTTCCCTGACAACCTCGCGCGGCGAACGCGTCGGGCCATCCAACGCATACCTGGACTGGCTCGCCGTCTCCCTCTTCCGCCAGTGGCTTATCGAAAACACCAATCCCCCGCCCGCGCCAATTCTCAAGAACCCATCCAGCACCTCCAGCACCGCTCCCCCACCACCTGCTATTGCGGGCTCCCAGACAACTTCCACCAAACCTACCGCGCCGCCTGACCCAACTGCTCGTGTATACCGGTTGATTGGATCCCCATCATCACAGGCATACCTCGCCCACGACGAAGTCAAGCGCTTCCTCAAACTCCATCCGACACCTTCCTCCGACGCGCTGTACACGCGCGACACCCTGAAACGCTTCGAGCGCAAGATGGATGAGATCAAGCGGCTGGCCCGCGAGATCGTCAAGCCGCTGATGCGGAATTTCCTCGAGCTCGAGCTGAAGGGCAGCGCCGAGCAGGCTGGTGGCAGCGCCGGCTCTCACGACAGCGGTCCACCTACTGGACTCCCATATCTAACCTGCACGCGTGTAGAAGAGGCTGATCTACCTTGGGACATTTGACCTTTGATTTACTTTGAACAATGTGGCGTCTTGAAAACGTGGCGTACATGACATGATTGTTTTGGTCATATATCTTACTTGATATGCTTTGCATTTGCAACTACCATTGGTGTTGTACTTGTACCAACCCTGGCGTCTTTTGAAGATCTTATTTTCTTTATCTCCCTCTCGGACTGCTGGTTTTGTCCAGGGAGAGGTAGTTTAGGAACTGGATGGCTGTACTCCACCTATTTTCTGCGATGAAGTGATGTGTATTTGATTGATGGCTGCGTCTTCTATCTGCTCTACTAGTTAATGTGTTTACGATATCATGAATGACTTTTACACTGCTTATTCCTTCATATGAGAGAGTAGATGGTTGAAATCGACGTGCTCGAGGGGAGTAGAGCTTTGGCTACCACTTTGCTGGCTGTTCTCTCTCGGTAGTCAGTAGAGTTGACATCGATAAAGCGTACTCAGCATTACGAGGATAGTTAAAGCTGTACCGCACCTGCGGATTGAATCAAGGTCGAAGAAAATATGTTTTTATATTTTTCAATTTCTGGAAGAACTTCAATAACTACTACTTCGCAGACGTAACATGACTGCAATGGGCATCCCTATGATACTCGATTGTCAAGGCCAATGCGTCGGCAGGGAAGACGGCAGTGCCAAATATCCGGACAGATCACGCTCAACAACAATGAGAGAGAGGACTACAGATATTCTGAGGTCCAGGGATTTGAGATGCACGAGTGAAACGGGTTATGGGTCAAACTCAACATCGTCTCGGCGTTTGTAACTTCAAAGTTGATCCCGAGGCAAATTATCATCAGGGGGCGTCGCTGTTGGCCTTTCCAGGGATGATTCATTTGACAAACCACATCCGCAATGGCAGATTGTTGTCGTTACTGTCATTCATAGTTATCAATGGAATATCGGCACGAGCAGACTCCTTGGGGTCAAAGTATCCATTTGCGCTGGCGGGCACAACCTTTCTGATCTTGAATGTTTTGTTCGGGCTGGGACACTTGACCAGCAGACTCTGAAGCAATTTGCCGAGTTCAAGATGCGACCTAGACTACTCAATCAGTCGGGTCTAATATAAGGTCCTTGAAAAGGCATGCGAAGCTTGGGCACGTGGTCTTGATATATGTCTTCCAGGGGCCCTATCATACTCCAATAAGACCTATGCGGGACAAGAAGACGCCGTATGCAGTGTCGAAATTAAGCATCACACCGTGCTGATAATAGCTCGATTGGATCAGGATCTCAAATCTCAATGAAAGGCTTAAAGTCCTTACCGAGCAAGCTCTGATTGTCTGCAATGCTCCTCAGTAAACAGTTGCGCCATATCCCAGATCGAAATGGATGTTGTGTGCCAAATCTAGAAAAAAACCTTGCCCAGCTTGTCAATCTCATCAAGAAGAGACTTAAGTATGGACAGATATAATTAGAGCTTATACAATGGCAGGATCGGTCGAGGGCGTACTGATATAGTCATTGTAGCTCGTACGACTGCAAAGGCTTTACGTTCTGGAACTCATGGCGAGTCGGTAAGTCTAGAGAAACCGCAAGATTGGGAATGCTAAAGACTACCCAAGATTAGAATTCGTCCTACATGTAAGTCAACCTCTACGTTAAACAAGGAAAACTTAAAATTTTAGAGACTGCATATGGTCAGGATATCTGCACTATGGGCTTCGAATGTACAGATGCGGTATCAAGCAGAAACGCCGCCGTCGAAAAGATGCTCATCACACGGTGGCCAATGCCCAAGAGAAAAGAAAGAGACAAAGCCAACCAGACCGACGCCGGCAGATGCAACGGATTCTGAGACGATCGAAAAGATACCCCGCCACATTCTTGAGGAATGATGAAGCTTCCGCTTCATCCAAACGTGCATGGAATGTCATCAGGCTGGGGAGCACGCCTCGCAGATTATGAGGATTAGTTTTGTTGGAAGGGGCGAGAAATATGGACAAATGAGTTCCAGCAGCCGTCAGCTGGGGAGGGAAGGAAACAGCTCAGCGATATGATCCTGTTGAAGATTTGATGTTAGTCAATTTGAGGTACGATACCGATGGACGGAACCTGGGTTTCGATGGCAACTTACCACCATACTGGTTCGAACCAGAGCTCTGAGCAGCTCCGAGCCCCCGCACATTGGCCGGGAGTGGAATTTGATCGGTACTGGCAGGAATCTCGACGTGGCGGAGAAGGTCGACCATCTTCTCCGGCAACAGACGCGCAATGTGGTAGGAAGATGCGGGAGGCATGATACTGAGCAGATGAACGACGTCTCGGGGAAGCGGGGCCGGGGATCCCTGAGGCTTGTAGGAGGACGTAGTCTGACCATTCAACTGGGAGACTCTCTTTTGCACTTCAAGACGGCGGCCCTGGGCGCCCTTTAGTGGAGACTCCGCACGGGCAAACTTGCGCGGGCGGTCAGAATCATAGTCATAGTCATCCGTAGGAAAAGCTCGTTTGGGTGAATTCAAGGACGTATCCTGGTATGGCGCGGGAGAAACCCGAGTCTCTGGTACAACGGCATGATGCAGTGTCCTAGGCCGGGTTTGCGAAGGCGAAAGGATGAGTTGAACAGTCATTGGATCAAAAGTCGGTGTGGCGTAACGGTGCGAGAATTGCTTTAGCGAGGGATCTTCGGGGTAAAGCTCGCGCATCCGATTCTCAAGGTTGATCACTTGGACCAAGTCACCGTAGCGCGACTCGTATTCATGAAGGAAAGTAAAGATAGGCTTCGCCTTGTGGACGTTCTCGGGACTGGCTGCCAATCTGCGTACCGTCGTCTCGAAGACGGCCCGGGCATCTAGGGTAGAGGTTAGTAACCCACGATGTGACTTGTGTATAATGGATTCAACTTACTGATGATATCATTAATGTCAATTAGATGTTTCAAATACTCCAGGGCAAAGTTCTCATCTTCTGGGAAAAGCTTTGCGCCTCGCTCAAAGATCTTGGTTGCGGCAGGATCCTTGTAGCAATGGTACTCCATGAGGGCACTCGCAATATAGACATCACTGGTGATACGGCCGCGCTTGCGCGCTTCGGCAAAGACCTGGCGAGAACCGGCTAGTTCTCCAGGCTTGCCCTTGCCCTGAAGCCGGCGCATCGCACGCATTAGCGCGATCCAAGCGAAGGAGATCGTCTTGGACAGGATGTTGATCTGGATGGAGTGGGCTTTTCGGACGGCATCAATTTGTGCCTGCTTTGCGGCCTCCTTCTCCTTTGCCTCACTTGGAACTCCGTCATCATCCTCGTCCTGGATGGCCTGAGCATCCGGGTTCTGTTGGGCAAAGGCCTCCTCAATCCGGGTCACGTCCTGGGACTCTTGGTTTCGGGCCTTGTTGATCAGCTCGTAAAGGGAATCGAGCAGCTTATCGTAGGGTTCCCTGACTTTGGCAGCGCGCTTGGACGAATCCTGCTCAGAGTCTGAGGTGACTTCGAGTCGATCCGCCAGCTTGAAGGAAAGTAAGCAGCTTTGCGGGTTAGCCTCGATACCCTGTTTCAACATATCGGTACCATCGGTTTCCATGTCGTTCAAGAAGCAGAACTCGGCAGCTTCAAACCAGATCTCCGGTACGAATCTCAGGGCCATGAGTGCCTGTTTGTAAACATAAAGGACACGGGCCTTGAATGCAGCAGGATCGTCCTCTTTCAGAACTAGTGGGTCTTCTATCTCCCAGGCGATCCAGTTCTTCCAAATGCCGACTTGATGAGCAAATTCGACGTCGCCTTCGGAGCCAGGAACCGGAGGCAGTCGAGGCAGCGATGTGCGAACTAGATCGCGAGTGATGTTTTGGAGTTCGGTGTAGGAGCTACGAGCGGTCATGTACGACGGCGACTGCTCTTGCAAGAACTTCCGACCCTAGATATGGGAGTTAGCAAATCTGAATGCACCGTCACAGGCAATTCAAGGGTCTGTACCGTAAGCTTGTTGAGGCCCATCTCGAACTGATCATATTCCTTCCACAGGGCATTGACTGCCTGTGTGGGTACGCAGATGGCTTTCTGGTAGGCCTTTCGGAGCAGGTCCATCTTCTGCTGGTCCTGCCAGCCTGCACCCCCGACAGTACCAGGCCCAGAGCGAATGAATTCCACGTAGTCAGTCCAAATATTGCCGCTGTCTTTGTCCATTCCCACATATTGAATTGCGAGATCATAAGCTGACGAGATCGTCCGTCTTGCCTGTCCACTGCTATCCGTAGACAAAGGGTTCCGGCGACGGACATAGTCCAGGTAGACGGACCAAAGCTGAACACTAGGGACAGTAAGGAGTGTTCGATTGAAAATTTGTTCCAAACGGAAGAGTTCATTGAGCTCTGACTCCATAGTGGCGTACGCCACCCATTGATCGGCCTATTGGTCAATGTTAGTGTTTTCCAAATCCGACTGGCCAGGTCCAGACTTACCGCCATGGGGAACTCCTTAAGGAATCGTTCATAAACTTCACGCGCACTGTCCAACCGGTTACGAGCTCTGTGCTCTGCAATCAACTCCAACCAAGCCGAGAGATCCCCGCGAGGATCCTCGTCAACCCTGTCCTGCAGGATGCCCATGCGGTCATGCGCCATGCGGCCTTTCAAAGAAGGGGAGTCAGGTACAGGAGTAGGAACGGTACTGTTCTGCATGCTCGGGTCATGCGCCCACTGAAGGGAACCAGAAGCCGAAGGATCAATATTGGAAACAGGAGCAGGAGAATAAGAGCTATTAGCAACATCTAGCCCGGAGGCAGAGGGCTGCACCAGGTGCGATGATACATCAGGGGAAGTGGTATGATTTTGATTTCCTGAACTTGGGTTTTCAGACATGGTCATAGGCATGGCATCCGAGTCATCCACCCCCAGTACCGCCGGCGGCTCATAGTCCGCCTCTTCATTGTCATCCTCGCCCTCGTCCTCATCGTCCTCAATGTCAAATCCCCCGATCGTTCTTGTCTGGGGCTGTGCCGATACACCCGCAGGTGGGACCGGTGTGGATTTCTGAGACTCGTCACGAGAGGGATTCTGAGCAGGATCGGGCGCATCACTAGCAATACCAGTGTCCATGTCTGATGAGGCAGTGGGGTTGGGGGCCGTCACTTCTGATTCTGGTTCATCTTCATCTTCATCTTCATCTTCATCTTGCTGCTGTTGTTGCTGTTGCTGGTCTTCATCTTCTAGAGCCTCTTCGGTCTGCTGAGGGCCTTGCTCGGAGCTTTGGTATTGGTCATCAAAGGTTCTGGAGGGGTCGTATTCTTCTTCTTCGTCAAAGTTATCCGCAGCTGATTCATCGGTATCAGCGGCCACTGCAGAATCTGAGCCCATGGCCTGCGCCTTGAAAAAGGCTTCTTCAGATTCATTGTCCGCCATTACGGGCGAGAACAATGATACTGGTGGATGGGATGTGAGAACCTGCGAACGGAGCTTCCTCAAAGGAGAATTGCGACACGAGACTATGGGAGTAGTAAGGTTAGAGATAGATGATCAAATGAACAAAGCGTCCCACTAAGGGAATCGGCTCGGGACCCCGAAGTCAGGTCAAAGCGATTAGGAGGAACGGGTGATAGTGATGGTGGAGATTGGGGGAAGCTCATTACTGAATCCGTGAATTCATCCCGCTGAGACTGCAGCCAAGCTGTCTGGATCACGTGGGCGGTCAGCGCGCAAGGGACGCGAAGGCGCGTCGAGTGATGTTCTCCTCGCATATGCCCTCGTTGCCCTCGTTGCAGTCTCTCAGACTTCCCTTTGCATTCCTTGCGGTGAAACTATTTGTTTGCCTTTCTCCCACCCCATATCCCCCCACATTTGCTTCTTCCATAAATTTGGGTCCCTTTCCTCACAAACCCTTTCAAGTCCCACTTCCGTACATAGTTGCATCTCTCTCACTCTTCACACTCCACCATGTCCGTCGTTTCGCTACTTGGGGTTAAAATCCTCAACAACCCGGCCCCCTTCACAGCCTCCTATCAATTTGAGATCACCTTTGAGTGTTTGGAGCAGTTGCAGAAAGGTGAGCAGCTCACATCATCATGTTCAGTCATGTTCAGATCATCTAATCAGTCTCGTCCTAGATCTCGAGTGGAAACTGACTTATGTCGGTTCCGCCACTTCGTAAATCCACCCTCTCACCGCGTCCATCTGCCCCTCACTAACCAACACATCTTTGATAGCTCCGAATATGACCAAGAACTCGACTCCCTCTTGGTCGGCCCGATCCCCGTCGGTGTGAACAAGTTCATTTTCGAGGCAGATGCGCCCGATTTGCAGCGCATTCCTTCCTCTGAGATCCTCGGTGTCACTGTGATCCTCCTGACTTGCAGCTACGACGGCCGTGAATTTGTCCGTGTTGGCTACTATGTCAACAATGAGTACGACTCTGAGGAGCTGGCGACAGAGCCCCCATCCAAACCCGTCATTGAGCGCATTCGCCGCAATGTCCTTGCTGAGAAGCCCCGTGTGACTCGGTTCGCCATCAAGTGGTATGTTTTTTTTTCTATGATTTCTCTGATGAGTTGCCCCCGCAACCACACATGACTGACAATAATTTGATTCAAGGGATTCCGAGGAGTCTGCGCCCGCAGAGTACCCGCCTGACCAGCCCGAGGCCGATCGATTGGACGACGACAGCAATGCCTACGGTGCCGAGGAGGCCGAGCTTGAGGCTGCTCTGGTTAAGGAGCTCGAGGAAGCCAACAAGCAGGGCGACGACCAGGAGATGGAAGGTGGTGAGGTCACTGCCGGTAACGAGGATGACGACGTCTCGGACGCTGGCAGTGAGGACCTCGAGGAGGAGAGTGAGGACGATGACGATGAGCTTGACGAGGATGAGGCTGGTGACGGCGATGAGGACATTGAGATGGGTGACGACTCCGAGCAGAAGGACGAGTCTGGCAAGCCCGCCCACCAGCCCCAGCCGGAGGTTATGGTGCACTAAAAGCTCGATGTCAACACGTTCCTCTCACCCTCTAGCCCTTTCCCCCCTTCCCTTCCTCCTTTTTCTCTCTCCATGCTCTTTGATGACCGTCAGTATGCTATGTTTATGACACCTTGGCCAATCCCTCTTTACTCTTACGCTCTCCTCATTTACCACCCCAGCCTGCTCTTGGTTCAACATCGGCGTTGAACAGGGTCTACGAAATAGAACTTATCGTGATTTTTAAGGAGATTCGCACTTGCGCACCCATTTTGGCTCTCAACTAGGATTGAATCTACTCCGATAGGCATGTAGGGGAGTTTTTAGCGTTCGTTGCCATGGTTATCTTCAACAGACCAGGTACTCAAGGTAATGGATCAACGTTGAAAGTGGAATGTTAGCGTCAGTGGTTCATCGCTCTCGCTTGGTCTGTTTGGCAGTAAAATATATCCATACATTGCTCATCCTCAAAGGTTGCAAGCTCGAAGACTGAGGTATGGATTGGCAAGGAGCGAGATTTTCGAGAAATGCATATCGGAGTGAAGCGTGAGCATATTCTATATCGAGACGGAAGACCAACCGCAGGGACAATCCAATCCCTATACCAAACCAACAAACTATACCCAAAGTAAACACAACTTTATTATGAAGATCATATTCTACACCGTGTCGTGCAACGAAATAGTCCGCTTAAGCGAAAACCTAGAACCCAAACTTGGACCCGAGCGCTTTCAAAAGGTTGTCGGTCAGTCTCATGTACCTAATGACGCAAGGGATATAAACTTGACAAGGGTGTCACCGAGATCAACTTACCGCCAAAGACAGCCTTCCGTTTCTGATTTTGGATATATTTTCCGACGTCGGTCGCGAAGTTGCTGCTATTCTCTTCTAGCCGGTCCATCGAGTCGCCGACGATCCCAAGACGCTCGGTTCGTTCCTGGACTTGGCGGGACATGTATGCTAGGTAGCCCTCCTGACTGCCTTGGGGTTCGGAGGGCGGTGCGCGACCTTCTCGAAGTGCTTGACGGCGTTCTTGCTCGTCGTGTCTCATTTGTTCGATCATGCGCTTAGAGGGTGGGCGATCAGGGCCGCCGACTGATGCTTGTTGTCAGAGAGGGTGATTCGGACATAGTGATTAGAATGGTAATCGGAAAGGGATCACGTACTAAGCAAGTCCATATCCGCTGGTGAGACATATTGAGTGCCAGAGATCCACTGGATGTTAGTAATGGTAGGACGGGCAGGGACCACTTTTTCAGGATCGTAGAGACGATCTTGCGAGGGGCTCCTGTGAGAGTCATTAGCTTTGCCCTGTCTTGGAGATAAGAGTGAGCAACGTACAATTTGTGTCCAGACCCCCACACATTGAACAATCCGACCTCAGAAGGACCAACCCACGTCATAACATTACCACTAGGTGTGATAGATGCCTCCGAGAGCCGTCGCAGATCGGCAATGTAGTCGATTCTCGCACAACCAATTTCTTTGAGCGCAGGAATAGAGAAAGCTCGCGCGTTTCCATCTCCGAAGAGACCGACCAAGCTGTAGCCGCGACCTTCGACCCTGACAACCGCTGCTGAATCGCAAAGGTAATCGTCCCAGGTTTTGTGAGCACCTTTGGAGATCGGAGGCTTGAAGATCCGGCAGCTTGATTGGGTGACTGCAATTACGACACCGTTGATCTTCGCACCAGTTCTCAATCCGCCGACAGCGTTGGGGGTAGCGAGAGCCTGGCCACCAGAGTCTGCATCAATAGGAATAATATTGATGACCTTGTCTTCGACAGCCGAAAACCCAACAAAAGCGGCAGAATAAGTACCATTGGATGCCGGGAGAATCTTGAAAGTAGCTACATTGCCTCGGTTGGTTCCAACAAAACAGCAAATGCTCGAGTAGTCTGTAGTCGAAAGAAATAACGAGATTAGCGGGGGACACTCAATTATCCACAGTCACGAGTCCCTACCTTCTCCTTCTAGAGTCATCACGCCGAATTCGATACTCGTAGGCCACTCTGCAGGAACTTCCTCTGTACCACGCGTCTTGCGGAAGCTGCTCCGCTTTGGAGCCTTGAGGAATTCGGACAGATGCGTAGTATGGATGATTGCAGGACCACGCAGGTCAATGATAACCAAACTACCACCCTCAAATCCAGCTGCAACAAAGCCAACTTGACTATGCTTTAGAGCCGTCACCGGCCCTTGCTGCATGTTCAAAAGGGTCAATGGAAGCATACCCGTCTTCAAACCAGGATCCGCCCGGGTGTTGATTGGAGTTAGTGTACCGGGATCCAAGTTGGTACCAGGAGCTTGTTCGTTGCCATATGATGTGTTGTTACCCCATCTGAACACAACGACCTCACCACTGCGGAGACCAACCGATAGCTCGCCAGTCGTGCTCGCGAGGGACATCTCGGTCACCTCCACATTACCAACTCGCCCGACGGCCCGCGCCAGGTCTACCTGAACTACCTCACCATTCTCAATCTCATCGTCATGACCAGCATCCCAGAGACGGATGGTACCATCAGCATGCGCAGTAGAAAGAATATTCCGGTTCTCGAAACGCTTGAGCGGGTTCTTCGCTTCCGCACCCCCAAGTATAAATTTGGGTCCTTGCGCTCGGCGCTCTTTCAAGCCTAACCAGGCACTTCGGTCAACTGGGGTGAGTGTAACTTTGTTCACGAATGGGTGGACAAAAGATAAATATGGATGTATCATGTTGGTCGGTGTAATGGCATGGCCACTCGGGAAGCTCATTGTGACCAGCTCGCCCGAGGAAAGCACAACGATGATTGCAATCGGGTCATGAGCACCGGCAAAATAGGGCGTGGAGCGAGGAATGAGGCAAAAGTTGATGGCATGGGCAGCAGGTGGAATAGGAAGGTTGAGACTGCGGCGAGTTCTCTCAAAGTATCCGGACAGCACTTGCCAGGATGATGTAGCGTAGTTGGGAGTTGGACCCATATCCAAGAAAGTGAGGCCCTTATTTGGATCGCCCGCTGGTTTTCCGCCAGCTACTAGAAGACCAGTATCATCGGGGTTATCTTTGGCGCACCATGCAACCTTTGTGATGGGCTCCTTGGGGCCAGGAGGCCCGCTTGCCGAGCCGGGCCTGCTAGAAGACCCTGGCTGATCAACATTGGGGGACTGAACAGTTCTGGCATGAAGCTTTCGCCCGTCCTTAGAATCCCAAAGAACAAGACTTGTATCTTCATGAACTGTCAACACAAAGATGCCGTTAGGATGCCAGATCGCATTGGTCAGTCTAGGTCGGCGCACGCCAGCAGCTGACAACTCGGTATCTCCACCCGGGGCCCCAACCGGAACCTCGTAGATAAAGAACTTTTGGGTAATATTTTGCTTGAAGGAAAAGGTGACAGCACCCTCCGGATATCCGATGAGGATCTTTCCAATGTCGCGAGTGGAGAATGCTAATGAAATGACCGGGTTTAGTCGTGATCGGGGGTTGCGTTCCAGCCACAAGTTCGGAATTTTGAATGGCGTCAAGGTCTGTCGATCGAGATCGTATGCAATAGTTTCACCTAATTTGCTGTCAATTGCCAATCCACGAGAGCATAAGTGCGGAAACCAGACAGACCATTCGACAAGCCAATGAAGGCGTATTCCAGGCTTGGGTCAGTAGCGAGGGCAGTGGGTTGACCCGGCGGCGCATAGGACGTCACCAGGCTCTTGGACTCTAGCGAGAATATACAAATCTCATTCTTAGAGTCCACACTGATGAGCTTGTCGGCGCAGAATTGGAGATGCTTTGCCGAGGCCTTGCGCGGGAAGTCAAAGACGACCAAGACGCGCCGTTGCCCAAAGACATAGATCTGCCCACTTCCAAACGAGGTATCACTGGTGCCGACGGCGAGAAGGGATTGGACGGGATCGTATGCGATCACGCTGATCTGTGAGTTCACTCCGCATCGTGAAAACTGCAAGGAAAATTGCTCTGTCAGTGTTGCAACGATCGCAAAAGAGGATGCCTGGAGCGCCAAGAAACATACGTCGTCGATGCCGAAGAGGTCCGGGGACAGGCCCTCGGACAGGTCTTTCTGAATACCCGCTTGCTTGCCTCTGAGTAAATGAGCCATCTCTATGGCAAGTGAGTGGTGGTAGGTATCTTGAGAGGGAAGAGGTGAAAGGGGAAAAAGTGGTGGAGCTGTCTGGCGGAATGTGTTACAGGCTGACGACATGGCGGAGAGTCTAAATGGATCTGCCCCGCTCCCGCCCTACCGGCGCCCTCCCCGGCCCATGCACCCAAGTCAGATGTACCAGGCCAATCTTCGACGCAGAGATCAGGGGGTGAATAATGAGAAAATTGTTGTTTTTGCTTTATAGAATATCTATTTTCTAGCTAGGTCTTTGACAAAGTCACAGCCTGTAGATGCTGCGCAATATAATGATGGCGGTATGAATATGACAGGAACCTCCCCCCAAGAATCGCGCCCCCCGAGCATCACATGCCGAACTATACGGAGCTCCACACCAGAATGATCTCTTCTGCACAACTTCGGTCCTCGACACTCAACAATGCATGCAAATCGGGCTAATCTATAGATCCGATATTCAAAGGGTATCTTCAATATGAACTTCTCGTCTCGCACATGCAAAGGTCGTTTCTATAATGATCCTTATGCCGATTCGACAGCGGCCATGTTGGCAATAGCGGCGGTCAGTCGCCTGCGGGCATCAAACTCCTTCGGTTCATCACGGTTCCGATAATATTGTAAGGTTATTTGGCAAACCAGTCGGTAACATGAGTACCTAGCCGAATGCAGCATGTTAGTAAGGAAATGGTTCCATGTACCGGGGGGCCAAAGAAGTATCAGTCGGATCATCACCTACATCAAGACTCGAATATTCTCTCTCTTCGTTCTGATCAAGGGTAATCCTGCCCCTTCTACCAAGGCAAGTGATGGAGTCTCGAAAATCTCTGCCATCAGCATGTCACCCCAAAAGGCGCTGCTAAAGTCCACTATGCCGGATAGTTGTTTTGATTCCTCATCCAGTAGGACATGTGTCGACCGACCGAATCCGACGACGGTCAGACGGGGCAAGGTCACCTCGTCGAGGGCAGAAGCTAAGCGGACCAGCTCATGTCGAAGCTCCGCGTAGGGTAGATGAATGAACATGTCTTCGGCATCCCGGAGCACGCTTTCCAACAACGCACAAAAGGCCTCTCGCCAGGATCGTTTGCCAGCTCCGATGGCTACTTGCTGCAACGAGCCAAACCCGGGAGCCACATTATGCCCAATAGTGGTAGCCAGAAATCCGAGATGCCGGTCAATATCGTTGCGTTCTCGAACGGTCAGTCGGCTTTCCATATCGGCGAGGCTGGACCCCTTCACATACTGCCGTAGCAGAAAGGCTGATCCGAAGAAGCTGCCACGCGGATCATAGTGATAGAGCTGAGGGATGCAAGGATTTGCACTTTGGCCCAGCAAAGCTAGAACTCGGGCTTCGGTTTCTAGATAGAAGCGCTCTTGCCGTAGCAGCGGGGTGCCGGGATAAGGGGAGCTTTTCAGTAATAGACGGAGTCCATTGGAGAGTGTGAGACGGCGTAACGAATGGACATGACCGGTGATAGTCTGCGATCGTTGCACCCGAACGGTGGAGGGGAACAATAATGACAAGACGGCATCTAATCGTCTGTATTCATCATATTCGGCTGCCGGGAGATCATGATGAAGAGAGGGCATATTAGATCCCTTTAGGGAAATACGTGCAGAGCGAGTCGTCACATCGGAATGATGCATGCTGATATTGTATAGGATTTTGGTGGGAAGCCCATTCGACGGGAAGAGGTTGATAAAATAGACCCCGGTTCAGTTCAGGGAAACCGATCGTCGTAATCAGGAACCAACGAATGCCGGCCTAGCGCCCTCTTCCTCCGAGGAGATTATTTGAATACAGGACACGCAACACATCCTTCGATCTCGGGGCTTGTTCGGCACTAAGCGACTCGGCGAGGCTGGCAGGTATGAAATAAAAAGGGAAATCAAATCAAATCCAAATAAAAGACTCCACGGTAGTACCCAAGAGAGGGAGTGGCCTCGCATCCAACGACTAGGGGCCGGGCCACCAGACCGCCATCGTGGCACACGTAACCCTCAAAACGTTCAGCAAGGGAAAGTGGCCACGGGCCCCAAGGCGCGCCATAACATGGACCTACAGACTACAGTAGGTTTAGCTACGCGAGATACGGGGGCCGGTGGAGGCGTGACCGGGGCTTGTCCCTGAGAAGATCGTGGTCATGTAGTAGGCCAACTCTGGGTCCCGGCTTTTTCATGGCGTTCATGGTCTCCGGGGACTTCTCAAGTCATCGACCAACCTGGACATTGGTCCAGACAAGGAAATTCGCATGGTCACCGTGATCGTGTCATTGGTAGGCACCAGTGTATGATCGTCGTATTAGCCGAAGATAACGTAAACCGCATGGAAAGAAAGTCTGGAACAGGCGCTAGAACCTCGAACCTCGGGAGCTAGAAGTGTAAGAAAGTATGACAGAGGTTGAGAACCACCAATGGAGAGACAATCACGAAAGCGCGAGGAATAGGAATGTCAGGGTCAGCGAGGCCCGTCTCGCCTAAGGATCCCGCTTGAAGACAACGCGGGCATCCGAGCCCCCGGCCCCGGACCAATCAAAAGCAACCCTTGCCGAATCTTGTCTCCTCCCGGTGGATCGACTTTCTCCAACCACCCCCGAGTCCCATCGGACTAAGGGACCCTAAAGACCACTCCAAACACTGCATTGGGAAATAATTAAACAACGCCAAGGGTTGGGCGCGGACACTGACCGAGAGAGCTGCAAGCCCTTTGTATAGTTCCCAGTGTTCCAGATGTTCCATGCGTAGCCCGTCCCACTCTATCCATCATACAATACGGAGGAGTACATCCATCCATGGTCTTCACCCTGTTCTCGGGCTTGCATGGTATCATCCGAGATTGCTTTTCGCTTCCGTTTGCTGGAAACCCACGGATGGCGTCAGCCAAAACATCCCCACAAAGCCAATGAACCCTTTGACGGGTCCCGAACATGGTACAATATGCAAGCAAGCCTGGCACGGGCTTTGCAAGTGGAGTACCACAAGCGACAGAGATATTAATATGCACTGACAATTGGCATCACCGTTCATGTGCTGTATTTCTACCCGTGAATGCCTGCTCGTTGCTTTCAAGGCTCTTCCTCTCCGGGATAGACTCCGTGTCCTTGGAATTGACTCCATCATTGATCGACAAGCGACGCAAGGCCCCCTCGGTTCGTGTTCAGGAGAACCCTGAAACGTTTTTGACATTGTCGTATTGCGGTAAAAGCCACCTCGGATTCCTTCGTCTATGGGGGGGGGAAGAGGAGAGCTTGTTCTGGTACGGCTTATCGTAGTGGATATGAACAGACACTGAATTTCCGAACGGGAGAGGAATTGTGGCTGCATAAAACTCGTCCAGTCTTGGAGAAAGTTGATAGATGGAGGCAGCGGCTCGACCCGCACATTCATTATGCAAGGCTACTGCATGGAGTATATCATCTCGGTTCCGTAGGTACGAAGTATTTATTCTTTCTGGAGAGATCCTGCGTCGAAGCGACCACACTTAGTGGTGATTGGCCACGTATAGATGGGCCATGGTGTGCCTATGACTTGGTCTCTGCAGCCCCCTCCTTCGAGCCTTCTGTTGGGCCTTCCTTGGCCTCTGGCTTCGGAGCTGGATCATAAATCTCTGCCAGATTGAACCGTTTAAGCTGATCGTAATCACTGTCCACAACACTCATTCCAATGATGTTCTATTCGCATTGTCAGCGTTTCATTGCAATAACGCACTAGTGTCTTAGAACGAAATGAACCCACCTGGCAGACATCAACCAGAATCATCTTGTCGTAGTTTTTCAAATTCACGGGATGCTCTTTACCAACGATATCGGCGACGGTCTTGATAATGGAGTCTCGATGAAACTTATTGTTTCCCCGTACTGAAGGGCGAATGGCGTACTGTGAACCAAACCACCCCCCCCCCAAAGTGGCATTAGCAACGGTTTCCCGAAACGTTTTCAATCTTACCCCCTCATGACCCCGTCAAGATGCAGGTTCGGGGGATATGCCCACAACGGAACCGAGTCCGAAGCAGGGCTAGGAAATTAAATGGAGACTGGGAGTAATCCTCACTTACCTTCTTCGGTGGCCCTCCCGAGTGGAAGTGTGGCTTGAGTATCTCACAAGCAAAGGCTTCCAGATCCACGCTAAGAGTCTTTCGGACCTCAGTGACCGGGGTCATGCGCTTAACGTATCGGCTCTTTTTCGTCTCTGGATTGGCCTGTGCTTCAGCACATAGACGGTGGACCAGCTCGACAGGATCGACGGTCTTTTCGAGTCGCACAAATATCACTTTTTGGAGAAATTAGCAGGGTGGCAAGGCAGGTTGCTTCGTGAACCGAGCGCCGACACACGAAGGGCGCCAATTGAACGCACCACAGGGCATTTCTAAGCGAATTGCTTGAAAGGGGCGCTTTTTGTCCTTGTTGGGCTTCAAGCCCGCCAACTCCTTTTGAATCTGGGCCTCGATATCGCCCTCATCCTCATCCTCATCGTCATCGACATCATCCCCTTTGAGCTGCCCAGAGGACTCTAGGGCCTGGACCATGAAGAGAACGTGAATCAGTGGCTGCTTAGCTGACAATAGATATCTGATCGAGCACTATCATGCAATGCAGGACGCGTAACCCAGGATGGACTAACCTGGGAGAATATGTCCATCGTCTCAGCGATGCACTTTCCTTCTCTGCCCATGTCGCAGGTCACAATCACACCCACGTCGCCAGTCTCAATGTTGACTTTGCGTGCGGACCCCTGCCATCCTGGCTTCCCACCCTATGCGATCATTCAGCTTCTTGATTGATCTTCTACTCCCATCTCCATCAGCGGCCCGAAACAGGCACTGAGTGGGAACGTACCTTCTGGCCCTTCTGGCGCTTGGCCGACTGATTGGCGTTACCTGGCATACTACGCTTCTCTCCAGCCATGAGTGGAATGAAGAGTCTTGAATCGGGGTGGTTCTCTCCCAAAGATGAGGCAGGCTAATTTTCCGCGATAAACTGATTGGCGGAGGAGTGGGGTTGGATGAGTCCCGAAGTTGCTTTTGTGTGGTCCCCTGGTCGTTGATCAATCGGGTTTAGCGTGCGGATCGACTCGAGTCGGTCTTTGGGGAAAGCTTATTGCCTGTTTACATTTTTTGACTTCAGTTTCACGAGGGCTAACTCAGTGTATGGTTGAATGTTCAATCGGGTTAAATTGAACATACAATCGGATCGGTCAATCCAACAAATCATGCCAACGGTTCACCATCCCCGTGGGACGATAGCGGTCATACAATCCGGTGGTAGCGTGGCATGACATCAACGGTCCGATCATGACGTAGTCCTGCTGCTTCTAAGCATCGTTCAAGCTTATCAGAAGTCCAAAGGCCCATTCTAAGAATGATCCGGCAAGCCGGGTGCCTTGTTTTCCTGTTTCAAGTGTTCCGATTGCTCCGTATCATCTTGATGTAAAAAAGGTACGCTGCTGACCCCGCCTAAGGTTAAGCTGATCATCCACCTTTCTTCTTTTAATCTTCTTCCCCTCCTCCCCTCCACCCTCCAATTTCTCCCCTCACCGTTACCCAGTCCATCATGGCGTCCAATGATATTGCTACGCGGGAGCTGGAGAATCCCATCGACCTCACTGAATACCTGTTTCGACGTTTGCACGAGGTCGGCATTCGCGCGGTTCACGGTGTTCCCGGCGACTACAATCTCGCGGCTCTCGATTACCTTCCCAAGTGCGGGCTCGACTGGGTCGGAAACTGCAACGAGCTCAACGCTGGTATGTAATGATCGAACGCGGCAGAGGAAATAGGGTACTCGATTCTAACAACGCTTGCGGATTGTAGGCTACGCGGCCGATGGCTACGCACGTGTGAAGGGTATCAGTGCTCTGATCACCACCTTTGGTGTCGGTGAACTCTCGGCTCTGAACGCCATTGCTGGCGCATACTCTGAGTTCGTTCCGATCGTCCACATCGTGGGTCAGCCAACCACCCAATCGCAAAGGGATGGGATGTTGCTGCATCACACTCTTGGAAATGGCGATTTCAACGTATTCAATAAGATGAGCGCGTCAATCTCTTGCTACGTTGCCCACCTGAATGACCCTCGTGATGCGGCGACTCTAGTCGATAGCGCGATCCGCGAGTGCTGGATTCGCAGTCGCCCAGTCTACGTCACTCTCCCCACCGATATGATTGCCGCCAAGGTCAACGGAAACCGCCTGAAGCAGCCTATTGACCTGTCTCTACCCAAAAACGACCCCGAGAAGGAGGACTATGTGGTTGACGTGGTCCTCAAGTATCTCCACGCGGCCAAGAATCCAGTTATCTTGGTGGACGCTTGTACTATCCGTCACCGTGCCCTGGAAGAGGTACAACGGCTGGTTGAGGCTTCTGGCCTACCTACTTTTGTCGCTCCCATGGGTAAGGGTGCAGTCAATGAGTCCCTCAAGAATTTCGGCGGTGTCTATGCTGGAAATGGCTCTAACCCCGGCGTGAGGGAGGTGGTCGAGTCTTCAGACCTCATTTTGAGCATCGGTGCCATCAAGTCTGACTTTAACACGACGGGATTCACCTATCGCATTGGTCAGCTGAACACGATCGACTTCCACAGCAATTATGTGCGCGTGCGGTATTCCGAGTACCCGGATATCAACATGAAAGGCGTTCTTCGCAAGGTCGTTGATCGCATGGGCAAGCTAAACCTCTCTCCCATTCCGCAAATCGCCAACAAGGTTCCTGCGAGCGAGCAGAATTCAAGCCAGACCATCAATCATGCCTGGCTGTGGCCAACCGTTGGTCAGTGGCTCAAGGAGAAGGACATTGTTATCACGGAGACAGGTACTGCCAACTTTGGTATCTGGGACACTCGGTTCCCCGCCCATGTCACGGCAATCAGCCAGGTGCTTTGGGGAAGTATTGGGTATTCAATGGGCGCTTGCCAGGGTGCCGCGCTGGCCGCCAAGGAACAGAATAACCGCCGTACCATCCTTTTCATTGGAGATGGAAGCACCCAGCTGACAGTTCAAGAGCTCAGCACGATGCTCCGGAATAAGTTGAATCCTACTGTGTAAGTGCAAGCCTATGGAAAACAAATTGGACGATGGCCTTAGGCAAATACTGATGATAAGCCATCCTCAGATTCGTTATTTGTAACGAAGGCTACACTATTGAGCGATACATTCATGGATGGGATGAGGGCTACAATGATATCCAGCCCTGGGATTATGCCAATATTCCCAAGGTTTTCGGAGCTCAGGAGGATTACAAGAGCTACCGCATCAAGACCAGAGACGAATTGAAGAACTTGTTCGCCGATAAAGACTTCAGCAATCCAAGCAGTCTTCAGGTAAGTTGTGTTTGCGGGTCAAATTGTTTCACCGATGAAAGTCCGAGAAAGACTAACCTGTTGAACAGCTGGTTGAGCTGTACATGCCTCGCGATGATGCTCCGGCTGCCTTGAAGTTGACCGCCGAGGCCGCGGCCGCGCGCAACAAATAAGCAAATTTTGTCGCGAAGCAGCGTCGCAAGCCGCCACTAAATTATAATAAGCATTTTCCCATGCTGTCTGATGTGCTTTGCCAGCATTGTGCATCACCCTAGCTGCACCGTTATCTTCTCAGCAAATTGCTTCCAAAGGGTCTGTGCATACACGAGTGCAACTCTCCATATGGTTGGGATCATGATTTACGTCCCCATAGTCGTTTTTAATTCGAACTTCTCATCTCCATTTCATCGATAAGAAAATCGCAAAGTATTTGAGTCTAGATCGCTGTATTTCCCGCAAGAGCCCTTCTGGAGCTCGAGGTAGTATTGGGCACTAAGACAAGAGGGCACAAGGTGAATCACTTTGATTAGCTAGCGCAGTACAGGGTAACTAGTTACCATCGCCCATTAATACTCCGTGCAGTGCACGGAATAGTTCCGGGCATATTGGCGTACTGACCGCTAGACGCTCCCTGGCCACTTTAACAGTGTAATCGCCGCGACACGGGGACTGGTTCGATTGTTGGCGGTTTCAAACTAAGCCAAAACGGGGCCAGGGCTGCCAGTGCGATCATGACACCGGCTGGAGCTAACCAGGGTATCGAGCAGGGGGTCGAACCCCTAGCTGGCGCCTGGGAGACAGCCAGATAGGGGGAAACACCTCAGCAGCGTAAAGACTCCTGCAGATCTACTGTCAAATATATCGGCTTGATGTGTAGCTTCTCCCAGGCTAAACCGTAACCAGCTCGCTCGTGACGCCTTGGTCGCTGTGTACTTTGGACTTGATCCAAACAAAACAATCAAAAACCCAAAAAAACCCGCGACTCCACCCTTAAACGGCGGGCCCCACGTGACGATCCCAGGCGTTCCAATCTTGAGGCATCAAAGCTCTTCTCGAGTCTCTTTGTCTCCCAAACAATATCTTGTTCTCCTCGAATTTCGCTTCGGTAAGTGACTATGTATGCGTGGGAGTGACCGTCCATTCCTTCGGGATGAGTTCTCCGACGCAAGGAGCTCGTGATTGGAATGCGCTGCCATCGCTTGAAGTTGCTCCGAGTTTACGATCGGAGGGGATCGCCCTCGCCTTTTCCTGCCTTCAGATTTGCTGACGATAAGGCTTTTTTCGAGCAGCACCAGAACCCAGCACTCTTCCAGCTGTGATTTACTTCCGTCGCGCACCTTCGGCATATCTTTCGACCTCACGACTCGAGTGCACGACTCGAGTCCTGGCGTTTAATCACAGCCAGGGCTTCGCCGGTAGGAGCCTCGGAGACGCCGATACCGATCATGTCGACGAAAGGCCTCGCTTCCTGATATTATATACCAATGTGATGCGGAGAACTTGGCGACGGAACCCCGAGACTCCTATTCTTTAACGGTGGGCTATTGCTCACTGATCAAGATAACGCGCTCGGTGGACACAGTCCGCTATGGACGGTCAACGACAATATATCCCGGGGCCACCACCCACCCAGCATCCCATTAACCTACCTCCGCCTCCTCCACGACACCCCCACCAACATCAGCCAGTTCAGCTTCAAACCGGGGTACCACCACCACCCCCTGGGCCCCCTCCAGGGACGGGGTACGGAGCACCCACCGGATGGCAACAAAGCTGGGGGAGACAGGCGTTGCCTGCTGGCTTTCCACCTCCACCCCCTCCACCACTACCACAAAATCAACATATCGCAGCATACCGTCCTCCTGCTCCGCTCTCGATCGTGCCCTCGCACGATAGCCAGCCTCTCACTTCAGCAACTTATATACCCGGAAATGACACCATTGGTGTTGGCATCCCGCCCTTGTTCGAGAACAATGGGCAAACATACGATCCCTACTCTCAACAACGGCAGACAAGTAGCCAGACATATCACCCTGGCACTGATGGGATCTTTAACCCGCAGACTCCAGGGACGCGGGTTACTCCTCCGTTCGCACTGCACAACAATGTCCATGAATTGGTGACCAATGACAACTCGTCGCAAAACCCAACTCCTCAAAACATGGATCTCACAAAATCGCCGAGTCATCGGCATCAGATCAGCGGTGCATCATTGGGTGGAATGTCCCATAGCGAGGCTGCCATTCAATGGCCCCTCGACCGAGTTCTCCTGTGGCTTGCGAGAAACGGATTTTCCAAGGATTGGCAAGAAACTTTCAAGTCCCTGGAGCTACAGGGGGCTGACTTCCTTGAGCTTGGCTTAGCATCTGGTGGACGTGGAAATCTTGGGAAGATACACAAGGTTGTGTATCCTCAATTGGCCAAGGAATGTGCTCGGAGCGGCACCGGATGGGATTCGACTAGAGAGCGAGAGGAGGGCCTGCGCATGCGCAAGCTGATCCGCCAAATCCATGATAATGAGTCAGATTCATCAATCTCAACCCCGATGCGCGCTGAGCCACCATCCTGGGCTAGTACAGCGGCTGAAAGTGGATCTGGTTTCCATTCAGGTCAATTGACTGAACCTCGTTCGGCTGGCCCGACGCCCGGTGTCAATGATATTACTCCAGAACAACTATCAAGCGTTCAAGGCGCGACTGCTTCCCAAAAGCCCCCGCAAATGCGCTCTGTCACCTTGCCAATTCCCTCGGGTCATGATTCGCCAATGTACGAATCTCCTTCGCGTGAATCTCCCTCTTTATTGCGCTCTGATTATTCCAGAAGTGCTCTTGCGACAGCCAATGATCATAGACGGCAAAGCCCCTCTATTTCCAGCGAGAACGGTGCTATACCGCCATCATTGCGGGCTCAGGATAGCCCGAAGAGTGGCAGCCCGGCTACTCAATATGTGACACCTTCATACGGAGGCTTAACATCTTCGTCGACCGGAGATTTGACGTTGAAGTATGAGCATTCTCGGGTGAACAGCACAGAGTCCATCCCGGGTGCCGGAAGGGGCTCTGCTACGATGGGCCGGTACTACGACAGCCGTAGACAAGGCCAAGACATCCCTCGTCCATCGCCCCAGGACGCAAGTAAGCCGTTTGGTGGAGAAACGTCGTCATCCTACTCCAGGGACCATGGCAAAAGCATCTTGAATCTCTTTACAAGGAAAAAGGGCCACAAGACCGACCTCTCAAGTCATCCGTCCCCGGAGGATTTGGAGTCTCCTCCGAGTCCCGAGGCTCGTTCGAACGGCTACCTCCCGTATCAGGCTGCCTTCAATTCAAGTGATATGTCTTTGGGCGAGCGGCCATCCTCGGCCACCGCGGTCAAAACAAAGAAATGGATTTTCGCGACCATGGATGGTGTCAACTATCGCCTGATTGATATTACTGAGTGGGACTCTGCGGAGGCCCTACGCGCTGGAATATGCCAGAACTTGGGGATCTCCGATTGGATTAGTGCCCAAATTTTCCTCACACAGCCCGGACAGACTGAGCACGAGGATCCCATGAGCGACTCGATCTTAGCAGTTAGCCGCAGAACCAAATCCGACCCGTATGGCTCTTTGAAGGTGTTTGTGAAGGGTGCCCCTACTCACGTCCCGGTGAACCATCTTCCCCGGTTCGATGGCCTTGGGGTTTCCATTCCCACTGACAAAGCGGCTCAATCTCCCACGGCGGCTCATGCCCCCATTCATCGGAAACCGCTAGAGGAAGGAGCTTTCAATAGATTGTCGCCGCAAGCTCAGACTAAGCCCAACTCCGACGTTCTAGGGTCCCGCCAAAATACACTGAAGGCCTCAACGGGAAAGACGTTACCAGATGGTTCCCCAGACCCAAGCCAGACACTGGATGCCGAAAAGTCAGATCTGCTTGCACGCCATGAGGCACACATGCGCGAAGTTGAGCGTAAGCAAAAAGAACACCGTATTTCTCGAGTTCCGCCGCCCATAACGCAACAACCGCGGAAGGATACCTACGGTGAGACTGGGTACAGGCGGGAAGGTGTGATTGATTTCGATTCGCCGCGCATCTCGCCGTACGAAGAGAAGAAGTCTGAAAAGGCTGAAATCCTAGTGCCTCTCCGAAAACCACCAGTCGCGCCGATTGAATCCAACACCCTTACCAAGGTCAATTCGTTGAGGAAGGCTCCAGGTGAGCGAGCAGATCGTCACCGACCCCAGCCGCAATCTGCAGGGCAAACTCATGGCCTTGGAGCTGTGTTGGCAAGCGTTGGTCGAATGACCAGTGCCATAGGTACACCATCTCCTTCGGTCCCGGTCCCCTCGACACCTTCATCCAACAATCGAGACAGCGTCGGTTCTGACTCGGACCGGCCAAATACGCTGGATTCTGCCGCAACTGCTTCAAGCCGAACGACCCTAGGTAAGGCACATCATCGCGAGGAACTTCAAGCGGCTTCATTATTTGAAACCCTCGGTACTGACCCGCTGGCCAATCTAGATTCCGGGAAGACTGCTCCCAGCTTTGCCTCGGGGCAAGTTCAAAGGTCCCCGTCCTCGTTCGCTTCTCGCTCTGCCGCAAACACATCATCTCCCCAAAGTACAATCTCACAGAAGCCGACCTTGCAGTCTCGCAAGTCATTCGGTCCCGAGTTTGACTTTGAAGAGTCCCAAGTGTCCTTCTTACGAAGCCCGGGACAGTCAACGGGACAACCTGATGATGATGATGATGACGATGATGATTCTTCTGATGATGGACTCTTCGCAATTCGACCTTCAAGAAGCGAGCCCCAGAAGCCTGAGCCAGAGCCCGAAAAGAGACGGAAGCCGTCTCTCAGCCTAGATACGGACAATGCCAAGCCGCGTCGGGTTGTCAGCTTCATATCCCCCAATGCTACTTCAGGGAAGAGCTTCGCCACGCCGGCAGGAGATACTTCTGGTGGTGACACTTCCGAGTCGCCAGAGAAGTTTTCGGGCACCTTCTATGGAGCGGACTCCTCGGATGACGAACAGCCCCCGCGGAGAGACTCGTTTGCGAACGGAGACGTCTGGGCTAGCAGACCTGCTGTGGAGGGCGTTATCGATAACCTCGATAGCTTCTTCCCGGATGTCGACCTCGATGCGCCTTATCTAGAGGAGCCTCCGTCCCCTGGTAACGGTAAAAGTGATATTGATGGCGGGGCAACCATCAGAGGTAACAAGCAGGAGGCTTCGCCTGCACCGCAGCCCGTTGTCGATTTAAGCACTTTTACTCCGGATATATCGACGATGCGTCCCCCGCCGCCCCCACAAGGTGCATCGATCGTTGCCAGACGGAATGTGGATCGCAGTGGTGGGTTGTCACGCAAGAAATCCATTCGTGAAGTAGCAAGAGGTGCTGCGCACAGAACTAAGAGCATTGGGTCCGCCGGGCCTCAACAATCGAGCAACCTGCTTCGCCGCAAGAGCACGAAGATGTTCGGTGCCAAGATTATGCAAATAAGCCCCAAACCTGGCACTAGGCTGAGCCAACTTGATCCTATCCCTCAAAACACCCCCGCTCCAGGACCGAGTGGGTCTGTCCCACAACGCCAGCCCACGTTCCGCATCATTCGTGGTCAGCTTATTGGAAAGGGAACTTACGGCCGTGTGTATCTGGGCATGAACGCAGACAATGGAGAAGTCCTGGCGGTGAAGCAAGTTGAAATCAACGCTAGGATCGCGGGAACAGACCGAGATCGTATCAAGGAGATGGTGGCTGCTTTGGATCAGGAAATTGACACGATGCAACATCTCGAGCATCCCAATATCGTACAGTACCTGGGCTGTGAACGAGGTGAAATGTCAATCTCCATCTACCTTGAGTATATTTCTGGTGGTTCCGTTGGAAGTTGTCTCCGAAAACATGGCAAGTTTGAAGAGAGTGTGGTGAGATCTTTGACACGGCAAACTCTTGACGGTCTGGCCTATCTGCATGACATGGGTATTCTTCACCGTGATCTGAAAGCGGATAACATCTTGCTTGACCTTGATGGTACTTGCAAGATCTCTGACTTTGGTATCTCGAAGAAGACCGACGACATCTACGGCAATGATTCGACCAATTCCATGCAGGGCTCAGTCTTCTGGATGGCACCGGAGGTCATTCAGTCACAGGGCCAGGGATACAGTGCCAAGGTCGACATTTGGTCCCTTGGTTGCGTGGTGTTGGAGATGTTCGCTGGTCGTCGACCGTGGAGCAAGGAGGAAGCCATTGGAGCTATCTTCAAGCTGGGCAGTCTCAATCAGGCTCCACCTATTCCCGACGACGTGTCCATGAACATCAGTCCTGCAGCGCTTGCTTTTATGTACGACTGCTTCACTGTGTAAGTTCACCTAATTTTCGAACCAAGGTGTCGGTACCGTTACTGATCTATCACGCAGGGATTCTTCCGAACGTCCCACTGCTGGCACTCTGCTTACCCGCCACCCGTTCTGCGAGCCAGATCCCAAGTACAATTTCCTGGACACGGAACTTTATGCCAAGATCCGTCACGTTTTGTGAGAGGGTTCTTGTCTCACTACAAGCTAGTGAGAATAATGCTGTGCATTATTTCTGCGGCCTGTGGAGCTTATCAGCATGCGTTCTTTCTTGTTCAGACATATTGGATATACGTCTATACATACATACCCTTTTCTGACTTTCTGTTATCGTTCAAGCGAGAATTTGTCAGGCTAAAATGCTTCTTCTACTCGGTGTTTGTGAGCCGGTTTATTCTTGTTCATATCATCATTATTCCCGCAAATACCTAATGACTATGAATTGCGTCCTTCATGGAATGAAATCACAAAGCATGTGTCCCTTTCAGCTTCTCTGCCATCATATGCGCATTCTTCACGCTTCGTAGCATAACATCCTTATCCTCAAGTCCAACAGAGACCCGCACAATCGTCTCCCTCACACCATGGCCAGCTGCCCATTTCTTTTCCTTCTGCAGAACCATCTAGGGCCAATGTAAGATTTGCACCTATAGATGGGCCCTTCCGTGTGTCCAGACTATCGAAAAATGCCCTCGAGGCGTCTATCGTATCAAAGTCGACTATAAAGAGACACCCATATCTAGGCCTGAACTCGTCGGTTGCCTGACGCTTGCGACATCTGTAGCAATGCCCGGACTAGCATGTTTTGGGGTGATGGACCGCGCTGATAAAACTCCTAGGAACCCTTCCTCTACCGGCTCTACTAAGGGCCTCTCGTGATAATACTAGTCTGAGGATATCTGCACAAGTCAACTCTAAACTAGAATAGCTTACCCTAAGTAATCGTCCGCTAGAGAAGAACTATTTATTACTTAAGTGCCAAGTCTATTTTCTTACCCTTAAGCGTACGTATTAGAATCCTGTTCTGGTAACCTCATTTAGACCAAGTATTCCTTTTTATAATTATATTGCTCCTAGTAACCTAGGGGACCCTGGCCTATTCCGCTACGCTATAAGCTTTTTAGATTATCTACCTATATTTTTCTTGGCTTCTAGGATCTTGACCTATTTTACTACCCCTAAAGCAAGCCAAAAAAAAATAGATAATGTCAACTTAAAAGGTTTCCTACCCTTCAATTCCTACACAGAAAATCGACTAAGTCAAAAACGGTCGACGAGAAAAGTGGGACTATTTCCATTAGGCCAATAATGCTCTCAAGAGCGATATTCTAGCTTTATCTGGGACGCAAGAGCTAGTAAGATGTCGCCCTCCTGATGAGCCAATCTCTTCAAAGATCTAGAGCAGCTTAGTGACAAGGTTATTGGTTTCTTGGGTGGGCCAGAAACTACTTTACAGTTAACAGGCGGGTGAAACTAACGGTGCCACCACTTAGCAAGCCCCAACCTTAATTTCTTTTTTCCTCTCTCTCTCAACAACAACTGAAGTAACTATTGCCCTTTCAGCATTGACTCACGGTGATCAGCAGGGAACATTGAACAGTGTGCCCAAGGAGAGCCATCAATGTAGCTAACCGTTCTCTGTATCCGAGTATCATTGTTCCAGAGGTGGCCTTATTTCGCTGCCATACCCCGTAAGCAACAAATTAGGGCGCGAACCGGGGGCTACAGCTCCCGTAAGCTTCTGCACTCTGCACAGACCACCCGTTTACCAACAAAACATCCACGGATCACCGCCGCCACCGCCACTACCGGTCAGCAGGCCAGGTATACCCAGAGAAAAATCATACTTAAGGCACTTTAGGCGGTAAGCCATATGTTCGCCATATCTTCTCTACTTACTAGATACAGACAGTGAGTGACACTTTTATGCGTTATGGGTCATTCTCGTGGTGGAAGTTATAGTATCGTTTGATTCTACATGATATATATCTTGTCAAAAGACAGCAACAACGGTGTGGGATTGTACCGGAGGTGATGTTCTTGGGACCCATAGTTCTTGAACGACCCCATATCGAAGCTGTCCTCGGCAGCTCCTAGATCTACCAATCACACAGCAGATCACATAGCCGAGACCATTCTTCTAATGGACTATCCATGTCTGAGTGTCAAAAAGCAGCTGGTTCTCAAAGGCTAGATTATAACCCAACCTGTTTTAATTTGATTTTAACTATGTTTGATGTATACGAGACAAGCAAACCCATTTCTGGAACATGATCTTATACGGCCATGAGTAAGGACCGTGAATTATTTCCATCAAATCCTGTTGAGCAGACGAATTGAGGAAGTGGTAGCCTATCTCCATCGTAGATAAACGAGCCTCGACTCGATGCGATCCATAGATGAGGTCGTCCGTAAGGCCTGGCCTAGCGCCTCCATCCCTCTGCACCAGTCATAAGCTAGAGGCCAAAACTTTTGTCCACGTTTCTCGAAAAATATATGAAGGTCTTGCGAGTCTATCAACATTATGTATGACGCTTGCAGCCTTTTTGTGCTATCTATGATGCTTTTAGTGGCTATAACGGCTATAACATGGTTGGAAGTAGCTCCTCTCCCTATCTGAAAGTACATAAATACACCCTGTTTTCCACTATGGTATTTAGCGTATAAGAATCTTTACCTCCTTACATACGATACCATCAAAAACAATCATAATTTATCAAAGACTTAAAGGGCCTGCACAACTATCAACGAGAAAATGAAGCCAACACTCTGGTTACTAGGCCTTCTTGCTGCAACCAGCTCGACCGCCAGTGCAGCACTCATCAATATCCAGAGTGCATCTCTTACGAAGTCAAACCGCAACTGTGATGGCAGTCCTGCTGGACCGGCATTGACAGACAGCTTCGGCACAGTGTCAATTTCTCGAGTTGTTAATCAGCTTGTCGCTATTCCCATCGTATTGAAAGGGACACCGAATACTGTTTATGTTGTTCGCCTGGTTCAAACCAAGCCCGGAAACCCAGGTTACGTCACCGGGACCTGCCCGACCTGTCCAGCTGGGCAGGCGACATTCACGACGAACAGTCAGGGAGTCGGATATGTCAGTGTCCAGGAAACTTTGGCTGCAGGGGTAACAGGGGCGTGGGTTGCGGTCAACAAACAATCAAACTGCAACGATTTCTTCACAAGTCCCGTGGTGACACTTCCTTAAAGGTGGGATAGTATGACATTCTCTTGAAATACTTTGCAATGATTCACTTGTGGTTATTCGTACAAGATTCTCAAATTTCTGACTGAAAACTGCGGATGTATTCTGAATTGATCAGGTGGTGCTTGTCCATAGTCTCTCCTAATGTCAAAAGTTTTGCCCACTCCTTAGCTGCAAAGAAGTAGAGGGTTGAAAAATAGGGCGCTGCTTCGAGTTAGCCTGGGCGCAGCGGACTAGCATACTTAAATAAATACCTCTAATCGGTATCTTGAGTAATTAGTGGGCTAACTGATCACACTCACTGAGTGCCTCTGAGCGCCCTCATAAAAGCAGTGGCATCTCAGAAAGGAAAGCTCCACCAGGCTGAGGAAAACAGTCGGTAGAGTGACCTACCTAGGGATGAACATCAGCTACCGCCTGGCAGGCGAAGACAGTGAAATGAAGGACATGGCACTACACCCCTTGACATGGGTTTCGGTGTTTTACACTATTTGCTACAAAGCAACCTCGGCCGTGACGGGTCCAAATTGGGATCGGATCACGTTTCATTCCTATATATACAAAACAGCAGTATTTCACAAGGTATCTAGGCTCAAGATGCAAAGTTCAAGTAAAGACAAGAGGAATACATGACGTCTAGGAGCGATTGCTTAGTAGATCATCGACATCCTCAGCGAGGTCGTCTACCTGCTCAGACTGCACACCCGCGACGCCAACTCGGAAAATACCCTCACACCACACGGCAAACGTTTCCACATCCCAGACAGCATCGTCCCGACCCTTGCCAAATTTATTGATGGCATTGCCCTTTCCTTTCTCGGATGAAGTGTACTTATCAAAGAAATCCTCGTATATCTGAATCGTGCGATCTTGTACGGCACCAACGAGGGTTTCCTTCATTCGCGTGTCGTCAATGTACTCATTGAGGATCTTGCGTAGCGCGGGTACTTCCTTCTCGATAGTGCGACAGGTGGGATGAACGAGTTCCCCGTACTGCAGGTTACGGGTATCGATAAACTTTGTGGGAAGCGAAGCTGTCATGCGAGAGGCGAAAGCATTGATAAAGTCGTTGATGACGGTTCGAAGACGGCCGTCCAGTTCGACTTTAGCGTCAAGCATATTTTCTACCACGCGTGGAAGAAGTCCGTGACCAACAAGGCGCATCAGGTTGCGCGGGTTGAAGAGACCGCCTCGCTCGCGGAGTTCCCAGAATGTGCTTGTCACACCTGAGAAATCAAATGAAACTTCAGGGGCCACATATTCGATGTCAAAGGCAACGATCTGTTGCTTCAGGATGAGAAGATGGCTCATTAGGAAAAGTTGGCCGTCTGAAGGAGTGTATTTGCCGGAGATTATAGTGCTGGCGTTATGAAGGGACAGGGTGGTCTGATGGACGATTTGGTGGGCAAGATCGTCGAATACAGTGGACTAGAATGGTGGGTCAGCGAGGGGCGCAAATCAAGCTTCAGACAGAAGGCTTACATTGACGAGACGGTAGATCCGACTGAGAAGCCAAATAGCCTTTCGCAAGGTCGGATACCATCCCTTGAGTGCAGTTTGAGTTTCAAAGTCCCATTTGCCATCCTGCTCTGATGCAGCAGTGGTTTCATCGCCCTCCTGGGCAGTCTTGGTCATGTCGATCATCGTGTCCGCGGACGTGTCTTTCTTCCCAGAGATTTGAGTATCCGTCACGGTCAGTGATACTTGTTTACTGTGCATGGGATAGTCAACGTCTTCTGGGCGGGGTTTATATCTCTCGATTTCATCACGGAGCACTGCCTGGGCCCGGAAGACCAGCCGGGTCTGAACATCCTGCAAAGCAGGCTGGATCAGAATGGAAAAGTCGAGTTGGTTCGCATCCGTCTGCTCGGGCTCTTCCTCGGGGTCCAGGAAGTAACGAGTCTGTAGGAGCGTGCAGAGTTGACAGAGGTTGCGAATATCGGTCTCGTGGATGATTCGAGGGCGGAGGTGATCGTAGAGTGGCTCACAAATGGTCTCGAGGAAATCGTACAACCCTACCTGACCATGGAACCATTCACCCCACAAGTCATATTCGTCCAAGCATAGCCCACGAATGTAGCTGATACTCGCCCGAGCAAATGCGACTAGATCCTTCGATGAACTGGGAGTTTGCGTTATTTCGCTAAGTTTCTTGCGAGCCAGCGGTACAATGAGTCGTACGCGCGTCGCGGCATAATTGCTATGCAATTCATTCATCAGGCTCTGGTATTCTGCTTCGTTGTTCTGGTCTGGATTCAACGGTGGGACGGCTCTCTTTTGGATTTCCACTCCGATTTGTTTCAGCTCTGGAGCGCCAACTCTGAACTTGGCATAGAGAAGGGCTGACAGAGCTGTGTCGTTCAGTGATTGATCTGATATCTTTTTCGAAACACTTTGATAGATCTCCCGAAGCGACGATACGAAATTGCCTCGGATAAGCGTAAGAGCGCGGGTCAATAGCAGCCGATATCTGGACCGATAAACTTCCGCCTCCTTTTGCTCGGGCTTTGAAGAGCGTCAATACGGTGTGATATCGTTATAGAAGTCCTACAAAAACTCACATGCGTTTCCATGTAGTCCAAACAAACGTCGAGGCGGCGAAGCATGTCCGAGAATTCCTCGTCGCGAACCGTATTTCCAGCACCAGGGGCATTGAGACGCCGTGAGGCAGGATCCAAGAACTCATAATAGTGGAGATTTGTCTGTATACCATTTGCCAGCTTCGTATCCCGCTCCTGAGCAGCCAGGAGACCCTCGCACTGTTTCTCGAAATTGGAGGTTTGCGATTCGACGGAATTGAACTCTTTGGCCAGATGTGAAAGAGAGTCGAGGAGAGTCAAGGTATTCATCAAGATGTCATCAATATGCTCGCGTGATTGTCGCAGGTCGTCCAAGCAGTTTCTAGCATAGGTTCAAGCATCACATTAGCCATGAATTCAACATGCCACCCCGCCTTGACTGTACATACTGGTATTGGTCATAGCTCTCCTCAATCAGGTCATCTTTCATGCCATTGAACCATTCGGAAAATTCGAGCTCATTGTCGCATTTAGGAAAGCTAGACTTCAGAAGCGTATCTGGATGTTCCACCGGTGGTTCGAGTCTCGGCCGGGTTTCATTGGGTGTTGGCTTCCGCGGGGGACCAGATGGCGCGGTCTGGCGGCGTGCTCGCTGCTGTTTTATGGACGCCATGTTCAATTAAAGCCCAGAGTAGTACTGTGTCACCACTATCTGGGTCATGACTCGCACAAAGAGAAGGGGACGAGGCGAGCCGGGGTCTGGTGAACTTGAGGTCAAAAGCGCGATGTGTTAACTGTCGCGGCTTATTCTGCCGCGCAATCCCGCCCGATACTGACGTATTGACCTGGAGCTTCCCCGACCTCCTCTCAAAAAGCTCGCAGGGATGCACTGACGAAACTTGTACTTTTCATCGACAATCATGGCATCGCGAGTGCGGAGCTCCGCGTCCTCATCTGCTCGTATCCTCCTCCGCCCGACCGCTGTTCCAACCCGCTTGCCCTTTCAGACCCCATGGCGCAGACTAGCAAGCAATAACTCGCGGAAGTCTGGTACCTCACCTAACTGGATTGTCAACTCCCTCGGGGTGGCAGTCGCTGGTACTGCGGCATACCTTGGTTACTCTTACGTGAATGGTGACTTCAAGGGCGCATGGATCGAGAGTCAGACCGCACCAGAGAAGCAGGTCATCAATGTCAACGACCTTCGGGCCCAATTCATCCAGGAAAAACGAAGCTTGAAGAGCCCGGCTGTATACACCTGGGGCTCAAATATCTACAAGGTCGTGGATCCAGGATCGAAGGACACCGATGTTAAGACTCCCCGTCGCTTCAAATACTTCAACGGCCAGGTTTTGCGGGATTTCAAAGTTGACGAAAAGTCCGGCGCTGCGATCACTGAAGATGGTGACCTCGTCCAGTGGGGCAAAGGGTTTTCGGGGACAGAGTATAAACCAAGCAAAACTCTGACCGGCAAAAATCTGAAATCGCTCGCCATTTCCGAAGACCGCATCATTGCGCTATCTTCAGATGGTAGCGTGTACTCCCTCCCCATCTCAAAGGAGGAGCAGAAAACTGGTCCCAAGCGGCGGGAGAGCTCTTGGGTGCCCTTCTGGGGTAGCCAGTCTGGGCTGAGCTATCGTATCTTGAACCCAAATTTGGGACTTGGTGAAAAGGTTACCTCCATTTCAGCCGGCCAGGAGCATGTTGTGCTTCTGACCAGCTCCGGCCGTGTCTTTACGGCTGCCGCATCCACCGAGCACTATCCATCACTTGGCCAGCTCGGTGTACCCGGGTTAACTTGGTCTACCCGCCCCAAAGGCCCCGTCGATATATGCCACGAAGTAACGGCGTTCATTGGCTCTAAAGTCACTAAGATTAGCACGGGTGACTATCATTCGCTTGCGTTGACCAAGGATGGCCGCGTGTTTGCATGGGGTGACAACTCTTTTGGTCAATTGGGTGTGGACTATGAGCCCGAATTGCCCTACAAAGACGCACCCGTGTCCCTTCCTTTGCAAAAGCTCTATCGCCGAGGCTTATACACATTACAGGCCACCAACATCGCAGCTGGCGGTGCGGGGAGCTTCTTCATGGTTGACGCAAAACGAACTCTGGGCCCCGATGAGGATCCCCAGGCTGTTCGTGACTTGGGTAATTTGACTGCCGATACTTGGTCTTGCGGCAGGGGCATCTGGGGCACATTGGGCACGGGCAGGTGGGTTCACTTGCAAGATTCACCTACCAAGGTGAAGGACTTGAGTGGACTGGCCGAGTATGACGAAACTAAGAACAAAATGTCACCAATCCGCCTCCGCAATATGTCTGTCGGCACAACCCACGTTGCTGCGGTGATGGACAATAAAACGACTGTCAGCTCTAAACCTACAGATTCTTTGGATAAGTCACGCGACTTTGGCCTCGACGTGCTGTTCTGGGGAGGCAACGAACATTTCCAACTGGGCACTGGAAAGCGAACCAATTTACCCCGGCCCAGCTACATCAAGGCACCCTCCGAGTCTACGAAGAAGGATGAGCCAGAAGCACGTTTGCAAATCATGCCTCAACATAAGGGCAAGGTTGGCAACCGCTCAGTAAAGATGGAGCAGCGAGTCGAATGCGGGCGTCATGTTTCTGCGATTTACTCGTCGACTATCTAGGACAGGAGAACACAAAAGCAGTGTACATTATGTGTATTTTAAATTAATTAGTGCAAATTCATGACCCTCCCAATTCCCCACCTGCGATAGATGTTCTATGCAACTTCCATTTCGGGCTTGGCGGCTTGGGAAGTCACGCCAGCTAAGTGTATCGGCTGCAATCGCGTCTGCCTTATGGCTGAGTTGCTCTCAATCTCCCTCCACAATCAGGCCAAACACCCCTACCAATCATGCTCCAAGGGCAATAAATATTTCAATACCTCGGTTTTGCAATTTCAGAATGGCCGTACAATTGTGCCCCAGCCCCTTTGATTTCATCCAGGCCCTGAGAGGAGTTAACAACGCCTTTCTCACGGAAGAGCATGTACCTGGTGCCGATCTGACAGGAAAATGGATCATCATTTCCGGATCCAACCATGGCGTCGGTTTTGAAGCGGCGAAATCTCTTGCAGCAATGGGAGCAAATATGATTCTGGCCTGCCGCGATCCCCCGGCGTGGGAACTTCATCCGACCGCGGCTGTGAAGCAATGCCAGGCTCTCTCCGAGGGGCAGGGCCATTCATCAACCATTGAATGGTGGGAGGTTGACATGGCAGATATTGACAGCGTCGAGGCCTTTTGTCAAAGGTGGATAAAATGCGATCGCGCCTTGGATATACTGTGCAACAATGCTGGACTCGTGTCAGAATCGCAGAGCAGCATGACAAAAGACGGCTTTCAGTTGGTCCATCAGGTCTGTTCCCAGTCTTCTTGATAGACCGAAGCTCGAAGCTGTCTGAAACATAGCTACTGACTGATTCTGCAGGTCAATTTTCTATCCCACGTTCTGCTGACGCTTCGTCTGTTACCATCCTTGGCTCGTAGTGCAGAGCCCCGGATTATCTGTACAACTTCATGCATCCACCATCTCGGACTTTTTGATATCGATCATTTCAATGGCGGCCCAGATATGAGAGGCAACGATTATCAGAACAACAAGCTCTACTACCAGATGTGGGTTACCGAGCTGCAATCTCGATTTCTCAGGCATCCTGAATATCTCCACATCACAGTCAATGGAGTCCACCCCGGATTTGTTGCGTCGGGAATTTGGAAGCCCGTGATAGCCACCGAGAATATATTTACCAGAATCCTAAATCTACTCTTGCGGTTCGTGGCGGTTACACCGCAGCAAGGGAGCTTGGCCATTACCCATGCAGCCACTTGTCCGGAGTTTGGACCAGATCCCCAGAAGCAGGGTGTCGGTCACCCGAATGGACGGGGCGGAGGAAAATATGTCAATCGCATTTGGGAAGCGCCGCCAAAATTCTATTGCAATGATCCGGATGCTCGATCTAGACTGTGGACCAAACTAGACGATGAGCTTCATCTTCAAGAAAAGGGACTTCTCTCGATCCTTGGTGTTTAGCGACATACGCATCATACCCCAGAAATGTTGCAGTAATTTAATCAAATCCTCTAATGCTTATCGCCGATCCAGAATTGTTTGTTCGGAAATGGAGACTTCACAGTGAACATTCATCACGTCTAAAATTCGGCGATAGGAGATCGAAGACAGTGCTTAGCGGCTTGAATTCTGTTAGGATACGCGTTCTTGCACATCAAGACAAAGAGAAATGGTGGATCCAATCAAAATTCAGGCTGGACGGATGAAGTACCTTTGGTTGGGCTTCGATCAGGGGGATCAGGCCAATCAAATGGCACCAAAGGCGCGAAGTTGGGTGTTGCAAGGCTAGAGCCCCGTTCCCGTCAGCACTAGTAAGGAGCTGACACGAGCTGACCAGCCCTTTATTACTAACCAGCCATTTACTTTTGTCCCCTCTACGCAGCAAAAATATCTGGGATCCTTGCATACCTACTTGAGACTGTTTACTCGTCTTAGTTCATGATGGCTAAAAATGATATCTTGTTACAACGTCCCGCTTGTAAGGCTAACGAATCTCTGATCCCCCTTCTTAGCTGACTGAAAACACAACAGACCGATACCAGAAGGAATATTCTCTGTTCAACCATTTTGGTATACAATCGAATATCATTGTCGCTGCAACCTTCGCCAATACAGAGGATGGAAGCATCGTGCTTTCCAAAGACCTCATATATGCAGCCCTGAAGCAAACTGCTGCAAAATATCCCGAGCTTGGGATAACTCATTACTGTCTCCCATCAGAAACAAAGTCTGGGCAACACCGGTGCTGGACGGATTTCCGGCGGGTCATCAATCTCGATGAGCATGTGAAGTTCATTGATATCCCAGCAGAGGAGGAAGCAGCAGGACTGACAGCAACCCTTGAGAAGTACCATGGTCTTTGGTTTGATCCAACGGTAAGACCACCCTGGCAACTGGTGGTTGTCAACGAAAAACACATGCTGTTCGTGTATGATCACTACCTCACTGATGGACGCGGCGGTACATACATACTGGAGAGTATCTTGGAAGCCCTCAACTCCCCCGAGCAAGGTCTCGACAACTCTGCCAAGCAAGACATTATGGGCCTTCCATTCATCGAATTTACGACTGACATTAAGGGGTTTCCCGAGATCGATCCCATTAAACGGGCTCCGGCACCACTGTCCCTCATTACTGCTATCTTGAATTATCTCCGTTTCTACGTCATCTCGCTTCTATACAGAAAAAAAGACCTCTTTTTTCATGATGTCGTTCATGAAGATCGTCAGCTGGACTACAACAACCCTCAGAAAGAGGACAATCTCGTCAAAACAAGACTTCACAGTCTTCGCCTCGATGCGTCTACGATGCGAAAAGGCCTTCAAGCCTGCCGGTCCCATCAAACTTCGTTCACTAGTCTCCTGCACACCCTTATTAAGGTGACATTGGCAGCGGACTTCTACCCAAATGCCAAATTCAATCATTCTATGACAATCGTTGATATCCGATCGTTCCTGAAACCGCACGACAGGGAGCAGACCGTGGAGAATGCGGCTTCCATGGTGTCGAGCTTCGACTGGCTATCCAAGTTCCGCCAAGCAGGAGAGCAGATAGCCTCCAAAGAGAACTCCAAGTTTGAAGCGGATCTACTGTGGGAGCTAGCGCGCAAGCATCGAGCACATATCCTCAATGACATCAATCATAGAAAGTCATGCTTGAGCGCTTGGCAGTCGATCGATCTCATCGGAGAAGATGCAGAAGATTATATTAGCGGCTTTATACCCGGACTGAAGCTTGTGCAGCGCAATGCTTTCTCCGTCTCTAATCTGGGTGCTTTTCGCCCAAAACAATCGGTCGGCGAGGACGGGAGCAGCGGAGATTGGACCATCACCAATATGGAGTTCTCTGCTGGTGCTCTCCAAACTGGATTCGCGACCAATTTAGTGTTCAATGTAGCAGGAGTTCAAGATGGTCCAACTACTATCCATGTTTGTCATGAAGAAGGTGCCTTGAGGGATGAATTTGTCGAATCGGTTTTGGAGCGAGTCAAAATGCGGATGGATGCCATTATCTAGTGGATTGTATATATCAAAGAACTCTCCACTACAGGATTGAATCCGATATCTATAATTGACAAAATGTGTTCAGAAGGCGATATTCGAGCAACTTGATCAATGGTTTACAATATCAAGCTACCTCGATCATCGTTAGTTTGAACTGTTTAAATAGTGTATCGATAACTGGGCGATAAGGCGGTTGCAAACCAGACAAACAGCTACCGCGGAGACGCTTGGACCACTGCTTATCCAAAAAATTTCCCAGCGCAGCCTCGAGGCTTTCTCTACTTAATCACCATCGCCATGCCCCGTGAAAAGCAAAAGAGAGGCCGTCGGGCCGAGCAAAAGGCTCAAAAGGAGGAGTCGACCCGCGAGTACGACGATGCCCTCGAGGCTCCCTCCGCGAAGCGCATGAAGCCTTCCAATGACGCCGATGAGACTGCCGAACCTGCGTTTGCAGAAGGTGCAGACTACATCTCCCTCGACGTTGGAGATGAGCAGCAAAACGTAGAAGAGACCGGCGATGCGGCCAATGGCGATACCCCTTTCTATGGATTGCTCGATACCGAAGAGCAAGAATACTTTTCGCGCGCCAACGAAATGCTTGAAGCGAACCAATTCCACGATGCCGAAGAGCGAAACCTATTTGTGGAGAGTGTATACCAGGAGGCAAATGGAAAGGAGTTGAAGATTGCTTGCAGTCAGGGCTGTTCGCGGCTCATGGAAAAGTTGATCTCCGTGTCAGATGTCACGCAGATTCGTCGAATCTTTGGCAAATTCATCGGTCACTTCCTTCACCTTGTTCAACACCGATTTGCGAGTCACTGTTGCGAAACGCTGTTCATCCACGCTGCACCGGCTGTTATGCAAAAGACTCCCAAGGTGCAGACCAAAAAGTCAGAGGATGACGAAGACGCGTCGGACCTGTCGCTCGCCGATATGTTCATGATGGTGATTGAGGAGTTGAAGGACAACTGGGGATATCTCTTGACCGAGCGATTCGCCTCGCACACAATCCGAGTGCTGTTGCTAGTCCTTGCCGGAGAACCTGTGGACGTTACGTCGAAGGATTCAGTGGTCGCGAGTCGCAAGAAGGAAAGGCTGGGCCTCCCAGCTATTGGTGGGCAAGAAGATAAGGAGCCTACGCAAAAGCGAAGCGTACCGGAGTCTTTCGAGCCTGCATTGAAGAAGATCATGAGCGACATGGTTTCTGGGCTGGACGACACATATCTCCGGGCTCTGGCCACACAGCCCATTGGAAACCCCGTTCTCCAGGTGATGCTCTTCTTGGAGCTCTCTCACTTTGGAAAGTCTAGCGCCAAAGATCCTAAATCTATTCTTCGTCGACTCGTACCCGATGAGTCGTTCGAGGAGGGCACGGACAGTGCAACCTTTATTCGGGGGCTTCTATATGATCCCGTTGGTTCCCGCCTAGTGGAGACGATGGTACGATACATGCCCGGTAAGGTGTTCAAAAACCTCTACAAGAACAACATTCGCGATCGAATCGGATCTCTGGCTCGCAACACCACCGCCGGCTACGTCGTTTTGCGAACATTGGAAAGACTTGGAAAGGATGATCTGCAAAGTGCGATGGATCTTATTGTTCCCGAGGTCCCAGGCCTAATCGAGCGATCCCGTCTTGCTGTCCCCAAGGTGCTGATCGAACGTTGCGTGATCCGGAACGTCGACACAAAGCCTTTCGCTAAGGCGCTCCAGGAGGCGTACGATGCGGATCCCAGGATCCGTCTCCGCCAGATGCTCCGACTTGACGAGTCCACAGACCAAGCTGCGCAGGAATCAGAGGATGAAAAGATGGAAGATGCGGATGAGGACGGATATAGGCGACGCAAGGCCAAGGCGCCGGCCGCTGGTTCATCCACTTCCGCGGGGGAGAAGCTGCACGGCTCTCTTCTAACCCAAGCCATGCTCACCGTGCCGGGCCCTCTGAGCGACCTGGTATATTCCAGTCTTCTTGCACAATCATCCGAGACGATCGTTGAGCTTTCCAAGGAAGCCACTTCCTCTCGCGTTCTGCAACAAGCTTTGACTTTGCCCACCTCCACCGCCCAGTTCCGACGACAATTCATTCCCCGGTTCCAGGGCCATCTCGTCGAACTAGCGCAACACAACAGCGGATCTCACGTGGTGGACGCCCTTTGGCCCGCATCCAAGGATGTGTTCTTCGTTAAAGAGCGCATGGCCCAAGAGCTCGCACAGAACGAAATGACTCTTCGTGACTCTTTCTTGGGTCGTGCTGTATGGCGGAACTGGTCGATGGATCTCTACAAGCGCCGCCGCGGCGAGTGGACTGCTCGTGCCAAGGGAATTGAGCGAGACCCCGCGAGCTCTGGTGGCAGTGGAGAACGGCCCAAGTCGAAGTTGGAGTTGGCCCGCGAGCGGTTTGCCGCTAAAGAGGCTGAAGCTGCGGCGGCCGCTGCAAAGGCTTGAAAAGATTGGCGATGTATATAATATAATTTGATGACCCCGTTTCAACCATCTTTCCATCCTATTCTTAAATAGTCCGGTAGAACCAAGCTCTAAAGATGGCTGCAGGTACAGAGTTACACTGCAGGGAGACCTTATTTTAGTCCCTTGCACCGCCGTGCCTTCTTGATTGGCTAATCATTCAGATGTATATACTCCTCTTTTAGGCCCTATATACCTAGTACTTGCGACTTGTCAAAGCTGGGAGATAACCTTGCATGATATTTAGAGGGTCCTTGCGCATAAATATCGCTAGCATTGTAAACAATTGAAACGAGCGGTCAGAAAAGCTGGAGACAAATGGCGGAAAACGATTGAAGCGGAGTAGTTTTTAAAGCCGCCACCGCGTAGACTGCGATAAGATTGTCCACTGCGCGGGGCACTTTTGTTTGATAGCAGAAGAGGCCAAACCAAATCACATTGTGGCTATATTGGTCGACAGAGTTGTAATTGGTGCCGCAAATTTGAGTCACGAGAGATAGCTCAAGCCAAAGTTGTCAGTATCCTACCAATATATAGAGTTCACCTGGGTATTATTGCGTTCTCGCGAGGTCCTCGCCATCGGATGATGTCAGGCGTTCGGCGATTGTCGCCATCTCCGGCGAGATCGGATCTTCGAGAAACTTTTTTTTCGGCGGCTTTTACAGTGGATGCGCGAAACTCCATTTTCGATTTTCTACATTCCTTTTAGATCTTTCTATATATGCGCATATAGATTTGGCTTTATTGAGTTGCATTTCCAACCACGTCTCATAGACTGCGCTTTACATTCAGCACAATGTCCGAAATCTCTCCGTCTAGTCGCGCCGACGAGGTGCAGACGGTAAGTACTCTCCATCTCCCCCTCTGCTTTGTCTTCGATACTTTGCTAACCTGTGATAAACATCATAGCTCTTGAAGGCCGTCGAAGACCTTCTCATTCCCTTCATTCGATCCGCAGATGAGCACTCGGTCCCCGCGCACAAGACCCAGAACGGCGTCAACGGACATTCGGCCTCGGAAGGAACGTCTCTAGTCAACTACAAAAGGCCAGAGGAACTGAGAAATATTCTGCAATTAGAAATCCCCGAGCAAGGCCGCAAGCAGGAGGGCTTGATCGAAGTTTTGCAAAAGGTCCTCAAATACTCGGTCAACACTTGGCACCAGGGCTTCCTGGACAAGCTGTATGCCTCAACAAACGCCCCCGGTGTGGCAGCCGAACTCATTCTTGCCACCTTGAACACCAACGTGCACGTCTACCAAGTCTCGCCTGCCCTCACGGTCATTGAGAAATTCACCGGTCAGCGACTCGCAAACCTCTTCGGACTGGACGGTCCTCGAGCAGGAGGCATTTCAGTCCAGGGTGGCTCGGCTTCGAACACTACGTCCATCGTTATTGCTCGCAACAACCTCTACCCGGAAACCAAGGCGGACGGTAATGGTGGGTACAAGTTTGTTCTCTTCACCAGCGCCCATGGCCACTACAGTGTTGAGAAGGCCGCTCAAATGCTGGGATTCGGAAGCAAGGCCGTCTGGCCCGTGCCAATCGACAGGCAGGGGCGTATGATCCCCGCCGAATTGGAAAAGCTGGTGCAGAAAGCGCAGAGTGAAGGCCGAACGCCGTTCTACGTCAATGCCACGGCCGGTACCACGGTCATGGGCTCGTTTGACCCTTTCAACGAAATCGCCGCCATCTGCCAAAAGTATAACCTGTGGTTCCATATCGACGGATCCTGGGGCGGTTCCTTCATTTTCTCGCGCAAGCAGAGACACAAGCTGGCAGGTTCGGAGAAGGCAGACAGCATTGCGATCAACCCACACAAGATGCTCGGTGTACCGGTGACATGCTCGTATCTGCTAGCTGCGGACATTCGCCAATTCCATAGGGCCAACACTCTCCCTGCAGGCTATCTCTTCCACAACGAGGATACCGAACCAACTCAGAACGGAAACACGCACGAGTCCGAACTAGAGATCGATTCGCCCGAGGTGTGGGATCTCGCAGATCTAACCCTCCAATGCGGTCGTCGCGCAGACTCGCTCAAACTTTTCCTGGGATGGACATACTACGGCACTGAGGGATACGAGAAACAGATTGATAATGCATGCGAAGTTGCCGCACATCTCGCTACGCTCGTCTCACAAAACCCCAACTTTACCCTCGTCAGCGAGAACCCGCCTCCCTGTCTGCAGGTTTGCTTTTACTACGCACCTGGTAAGCAAATGGTGTACCCGCGTGGCGTCGTCTCGAACGAGACGCAGCGTGCGAAGAATAATAGCAAGGTGACCGAGCAGATTACGCATGCGATTGTGCGCAAGGGATTCATGGTCGACTTTGCTCCTCCCAGTGGCGATGACGACGAAGCTGGAAATGGCAAGTTCTTCCGTTGTGTGGTCAATGTGTCGACTAGCAAGGAGACGGTCGAAAGTCTTGTGCGCGCTATTGAGGAGGTTGGACCTGCTATTGTGGAGTCCTTGACGTCCGCTACCCCGGTTGTTCCATTGAAGCGACCTGGTGAGCACGGACACGGTCCCGTTGTCCATCATCGGTGATTGTGTCTTGGGTAATTTAGTTCTATTGTACATTGATACACATACTGTTGTATCGCATCATAGAGGTACTAGAAAGTTCATGAATACATATCACTTTCAAACGGGGGATGTTCAAAATTGTTGTGAAATGGATAATTTGTCTTGTTATGTATGTGTATGAGAGTACACTGCGCTACTACAGGAGGATAAATCCAGTCATGTATGTGAGCCCTGGGTCTCCCAGTGCAAAGTCGTGATACAGGCTACCTAATTACCAATTTCCACCCTCCTCTCCAAGACAGAGCGTCCCTCGGCTTCGGCGAGACCATCAATCTCCAGTTCAGCAAGCACAGCACGGGCACTCTCATTGTCCTTGAATAGCCTCTTCTCCACATCCCATAGTTCCAGTGCAGCGCCATCCCCTTCCGCATTCTCTGCACTTGGATCTGCGGCAGCACGCAGATTCAAAATACGCAAACCCTCGTTGAGCTTCTTGACAATCCGCGTCGAACCTCCAACATGACCCGCCAGACCTAGCGCGTTATCGACCACACTGCAAAGGTGATCGACATCGCTAGCCAGCTGTGCCGCACCTGTTTCGGAGAAATTGTTCCTCATCAAGATGTTGTCCCAAATGTAATTCTGGATGGAGAGAAGAAGCTGGCGAGAAACACGTCGGAGAGGCGCAACTCCCAGAGCTCGAGCGAGGAAATTGAGCTGAGTCGATAGAACGCGCATGGGATGGGCCAGGTCGGATGAAAGAGCCAGGGAAGAGGTCGTTGCGCCAGCTGAAGGGGTCGAGAGTGTTGCCCAGGTCGCCAAGCGGGAGTAAGGCCTCAAGGCTGTAGTAACATTCGAGGTCAGTGTCGATGTAAGAATAGATTCGGATTGCAGTCGGAGATGACGGTATGCAGAGGCAGTCTCGTCAAAGAGTGCCCCCTCGGACGTTTGAGCACTGGCAGGATCGTGATTGGCAACGGCCGGAGACGTGCGTGAGGCAACTTCCGCAACAGACATGGTACCAGCCACATTACGGCCACCGTCGCGGTTCTGCTTCACTCGATCTTGGAGCTCGGACCAAAGCTCCACGAAGAAAACATCATTGCTCCAATCCTCCATCTTTTTCTCGAGGTATTCGGCACTACCGAACACCCTGCAGAGCCTCTCAAGGCCCGCAACGCCTTCAACGCTAGCCTGCCCGTCAGCTCCCTGGACTGTACGGCCAAGAGCGGAGGTCATGGTCCGATAGGCATCCAAAGCCTCACGGAGGCGCTCGTGAAATTGATCGAATATGGTGATCTGGATGTCAATGAGGAATCGTAACTTCTGACTGAAGGAAGTCAATGGCTGGTATCTCTCGGTGATGGTTTCGAGCAAGTCGTTCACTCGAATTGCAGCCTTAGTAGGTTTGGTAGCAGTAATCTCAACACCGTCATAGTCAATTTCACCACTATCCGGCGTGTCAATGATATCTCTGTATCGAGCCAGAGCGAAGTCCTTCTCCACCTGAAGCCAGCGATCATACCACCCTTGCGTTGTGAGAACTTCCCAGGTCATTCCTTTCCAGTTGTCTTCGGCAAAGGGATCTGGCAAATAATTCCACGTTTCTCGCAGGTCGTTGTCAAAGTTCATTAGCTCGTGGACGAAATGGCTGAGCAATTGAGGGTGATTGACGATCTGGGGCATGAAGCTTTCGATCTTGTGCCTCAGCGTTGGAAGCAGGGCCGTGATAAAGGCATGCAAAGCATTATAGAAATTCCATTCGAGATCTGGGCCGGCTGAATGAGCCTTTTCATCGAGAATTGGCTGCAGATAGGATGTAAAGAACCCGCCAAATTGGCTGATTAGATCCATGATGTGCGCAAGGAAATATTCAGGCTAGTCAAATTTAGAATTAGAAACTGCGTAGTGCAAGAGAACAAATGTAGTCAGTCACCTTGTCAAGTCTGTTTGTGGGCTTGTCACCGCTAAAGTGATACTTGAACCGCAGGTCTAGAGGATGTACCATCACTTCCAATGGGAAAAGGACCGGCGGTTCAAGACTGCGACCAACATCCAAGACATCGCGAGATAGTAGTTCCCTACAGGCATTATTAGAGGATGTCCCAAGGGTGGGCACAGCGACGTCACGCTAATCCACGTACGGCATTTGTAAATCAATCAAGAGCTCAACGTCGTCTCTCCATTGAGCGAGCAGCTTTTCGGTAATATTCAACTCTCGCGTCGGCCATTTCAAAGCCTCCAATGTCTTTTGCAGTCGATCACCGAAGAATTTCTTTAGTTGTTGTCGCAAGGCGGACGCCAACTTCTCCGTGTAGTTGATGAGATGCGGGGCAGCTCCCTCGGCGGCAGGCTGAGCTTCCTTCAGAGACATGACGATACTGCGTAGTCGGGCATATGGCTTTAGGGCGGCTCGGGGATCGGAGGAAATGCTGGTAAGAGCTTCCTTGCTGTATAGTAGTCTTTAGTGCCCGTCCATTACAGTTGTCATCTCATCCGCGAATCTTACCTCAATTCTTCGGCCTCCCTCAGCAGCTGCACATATCCCTTAGATATTTCCAGAAGCCGGAATCTCTCCATGCTTTTTTCTAGCCGATGCACTGCTTCATCGCTCGTCTCCGATTGTGTAATGGCCTTCAGTCGGCGATCAATGTCCGCCTGCTCCGCCGCGAATGCCTCGGCACGTTTGCGTGTGGCCTCAGCATGGTCGTTGGAAGCTTTTGTCGCATTCGAGAGTGCTTCGTGTGCCTCTGCTAGCTGATTGGCCACTTTGTCAGTTGCTTGTGGCAGTGGAGAGCCGTCGTGAGAGACGGAGAGGGGTCGGGGAAAGGTACCTGCTTCCGCTGAAGCTCCTGTTGGGCACGGAGGCTGGACAGCAGTGAGTCGAGGCTCTCAAGATCGGCTGAGACCTGGATCTTATCGTTCAAGTAGTCCTCCACCCTTGTCCGCTCATGCGATGACAGGGACGTGGGGGGCGCCATGGTTGTGGAGGGAAATAATGGCGGGAGCGCAACGGTGTCGCGATTGATCGATCTCCGCCTTTGCGGACTGACGTACGTCTGGGGTTCCGCGTAGTAGCTCCAGACCCAACGTGCTTCATGCCCCCTTCTCTGGACACATCCACGCTATGAAATATGTCCAGTCCGGCAAAAAAGCGCAAGAGGAATGGCGCCGAATCCTCAGCACAGCAGACGCGCAGTATTGAGTCGTTCTTCAAAGGACAAGCGACCAAGATAGCGAAGCAGGCGGAGCCAGAACCAGGACCGGAGCCAGAGCCAGAGGTGACAGAACAGACATTATCTGACGAAGCTTTGGCGCGACAACTCCAGGCACAATGGAATGAAGAAGAAGGTGCAGCTTCCAATACATACACGAATCCACATATTGATAAAGACCCCGAACCAAAATCATTGCCATCAGCGCCCACGCTTCCGGTAGATGCAACTCTAGCAGCTCCATCAACACCAAAGAAGAATACGCTATCTCTGCAATCATCTGCGGGCACAGAAGACACAGTATCACTAGCTGTTCCATTTGATCAAAGTCCACAGACATTCGACGCGAGCAAATACGCCGCCGAACTACGGTCGCACTGGGCTGCTGAAGGTGGCGACGCCTCGTACGCGTTGCTGACGAGGGCATTCGTGCTTGCCAATGCGACCACCAGCAGGATCAAGATCGTTGATACATTGGTCAATTTTCTCCGGGTGTTGATCGAGGGAGACCCGTCCAGCCTGCTACCTGCGGTTTGGCTCGCAACCAACTCGATTACACCGCCATATGATGAAAAAGAGCTTGGGCTTGGAGGCTCTTCCATCTCCAAAGCCCTGAAGAAAATATACGGCCTTGACAATCAAGCTCTCAAAACTCTCTATAATAAACATGGTGATGCTGGCGATGTCGCATTCGAAGCTAAGAAAAGGCAGGCCTTTACATTGGCCAAGCCGAAGCCCCTCAGAATCAAAGGCGTGTATCAGTCACTACTGAAGATAGCTACCAGTAAAGGATCTGGGAGTCAAGAGGCCAAGCAGCGGATCGTTGAGAAATTACTGCAGGACACGCGAGGTGCCGAAGAGAGCCGATATATCGTGAGAACTTTGGTTCAGAACCTGCGAATCGGAGCTGTCAAGACCACCATGCTGATTGCCCTTGCCCGTGCATTCCTTTTCTCAAAGCCTGAGGGTGCTGAATATGTGATTCGGTCGCGAGATGAGTTGGCCCGGCTGAAGAAAGATGAGCTTGCCGAGATCTACAATAACGCGGAAGAACTTGTCAAAGCATCTTACGCAAGGCATCCAGACTACAACGACCTTGTACCATGCCTTCTAGAGACCGGTGTGACCGAAGAGCTTCTCGTTCGCTGCGGTTTGGGGCTCCATATTCCATTAAGGCCGATGCTGGGAAGCATCACACGCGACCTCGCGGATATGTTGACGAAGCTACAAGGGAGGGATTTCAGCTGCGAATACAAATACGACGGGCAACGCGCCCAAGTCCATTGCGACGAAACGGGCAAAGTCTCAATCTTTTCTCGACACCTCGAGCTCATGACCGAGAAATATCCAGACCTAGTGTCTTTGGTGCCCCAAATTCGTGGAGAAAGTGTGTCCAGCTTCATTCTCGAGGGCGAAGTCGTTGCCGTGGATAGCGAAACTGGGGATTTGAAGACGTTCCAAACGCTCACGAATCGCGCAAAGAAGAATGTTGAAATCGGAGCCATCAAAGTCAACGTGTGCCTATTCTCGTTCGACCTCATGTATCTCAACGGGGAACCATTGTTGAATCGACCATTCCGAGAGCGTCGCGAGCTACTCCGGAGTCTGTTCGTCGAGATCCCAAACAGATTCACATGGGTGAAAAGCCTGGATGCGACTTCCGCAGATTCCGAAACTGTACTGGAGTTCTTCAAGGGCGCCACCGATGCCAAATGCGAGGGAATCATGGTCAAAGTCCTGGATAACACCACCAGGACCAACGACACCATCCAAAGCACCGATGTGACAGATGCAACTGATATCGACGGCAATCCACCCGAACCACCAGAGATCAACAATGGATCCAAACCCTCAAAAGAAAAAGGAACGCGACGTAAAGCTCTCCTCTCCACCTACGAACCAGACAAACGCCTCGAATCTTGGCTCAAAGTCAAAAAAGACTACAGCGCCTCCTCAGAAACCCTCGACCTCATCCCCATCGCAGGCTGGCACGGCAACGGCCGCAAAGCCAAATGGTGGTCCCCAATCCTCATGGCCGTCCGGAACCCGGAAACCGGCATCCTCGAAGCAGTAACCAAATGCATGTCCGGCTTCACGGACAAATTCTACCAGGCCAACAAAGACAAGTACGCGCCGGGGAGTCACAACGTCATCTCTCGGCCTAGCTATGTGGATTACCACGGCGAACCGGACGTATGGTTCGAGCCGCAGGAGGTATGGGAGATGGCATTTGCGGATATCACACTTAGTCCAACGTATACGGCGGCGATTGGGCTGGTGAGTGAAGAGCGAGGGTTGAGTTTACGGTTTCCTCGGTTTTTGAAAGTTCGAGAGGATAAGTCAATTGATGAGGCCACTACGTCGGATTATTTGGCGTTGTTGTGGAGGAAGCAGGGGGAGAAAGCGAAGGCTCAAGGAGAGGGTGATGGCGGAGAGGAGGAACCGGGATGGCAGGAGGAGTGAATCCTCAAGAATATACACATATATACGGGATAATCTAATTGAATAGCATATCTATCTTTTCTGGGCCAACCAGGCTTATTGACCTAGTGCCGAGCTGAGAAAACCAGAGAAAGGTGCAGTCTACTATCTCGATGTTTCGCAGGTGGATCGATCCTTCCGTGGCCCAAGGACGAAGAAGCATTCAGGCATTGCTTAAAACCATAGTCTAAGCAAAAATTGCGCCTGATGACCGCCATGCCAGGGAAGGTGGGTATAGCGGGAATGGAATCCATAGCGGAATATGTCAAAGATACTTGACAAAAAAGGAGTGTAGATAGCATTACACAATAGGCCGATCTATCCCATGGGAACATGCCAATCGTGTACAAGGAGATAATGGTAGACCTGACATCATCGATTTATCAACACTATATACAAAGTGTTGTTCTAAATTCCTCGAAAGAAAACTCAGCATCATTCTCGGTATTGGCCCAAACACACGGCTTGGACTAGATTAGGAAGCCCGGTCATGAGAGGCAGTGAATAATAAAAATGGGCGCAGAGTATCCTCATAAGGCATGTTGGATGCAAAGAGAAGCACGGATGCAATGCTGGCAGAAAAGACGCCAATAAAAACACGAAACAAGCGCAAGGACCACGGACTCGAAGACGTATCATTCGTAGAGGTGAAAATAGGAATAGGTGGCTGGCGGCCGTGCAAAGAAAAAAAGACATTAAGAATAGGAAACGCCATGTATGCAGGATGGTAGTAGGTGCTGCGGAAGAGAGGCTAATTCGAGGACCGGCTCAATATGAGGATGAGATCCTCGGTCCTGACAAGAAGAGAATTACAAAGGAGACTGAACACCGCAAATGTGGAGTGGGAACATAACAAAATCGTGAAGCCGTCATAAAGGGGAGGTGGGGAAGAAGGAAACTTGAGGACGATGGCATAGGCGGAGGATGGAAGGGTGGAGAAGTAAAGTCCGTTGCTCCAACTTAAGGCCGCAGCTCGCCGCCAAGCTGCAGAGCCAGTCCGGTGCCCTTGCTTTGGATCCGGGGACTCGAGGTACTAGGTGGAACAAGAGCATCAAAGTTCAATCGCTTGCGGGCGTCCTTGGTAGAAAGAGGTGTGCGACCTGGATTGCCGGGAGTACGGCCGCCCCAAGCAGGCTGAGCAGGACTGGGGGTCACATTCACGAAATCAGCAAAGTTGAACTGCTGACCGGGGGTTCCCAGGTTGGGAGTCAGCGTCGGCAGGAGTGCATGTTGGCTGGGAGGAGTGGACGGTGGGAATGCATGCTGCGAGCCTGCTGCCACACGGGCCGGAGTCGGTGAATTGGCCAAGTACAGAAGCAGATCTGCCCCATCCTCATGTTGAGAGGGACGTTCAGTCCGGGGCAGCCGGGCATGCTTGGGAGGCGGAGTCCGAGGCGGCGAGGAGCCTACCACGGAGCCCACATGCTGGAAGCTGTGGATAGGCAAATCGGGGTCGTTTTCCTCATCGGAGGGGGCATGATATGCAGGAGAAGACAACTCCGGAATTGTAGCCTCGGACATGAAGGGGGCAGGGTTTCGGCGGGTTGTCATATGGCGATTGAGTCCCGGAGACGACGCAGGCAGTCGGTGAGAGCTCTTCCATGACACTCGAGGTGCCTTGGCTGGACGCTCGGTATTCGAATCAGACCGGACACGCTTGCGGCTGGCTGATAGCATGGGCTGCATCACGCGGGAATTGAAGGTGACGGCATGCTTGTTGCGGGCTGATCGAGGCAGTTCTTTGGAATAGGTTGCGGCTCGGAGAGGAGGGGAGGTCACGGGAGTCTCGCACCGACTGCGAGAGAAGTCGGATGAGGAGTCGGAGGGCTTGTCACTGCTGTCCATCGGCAGCATCAATCCATGAATCCGGCCATGTTGGTACTTGAGCTTGGCCAGGCCCAATCGGTCCTGTAGGCTCAAAGAAACCTATGAAAGGGAGCAATATGGGTTAGCTGGGGGGTGGTCCATAAGCTTGTACAGAGAGCATATTTGGAGCAGTGATTTGGATGTTTGCCCCTGCCGAGCCATTGCTTGGGGGTTGACAGACTGGATGCAATCTGCACCCCAGACACGGACGATCCACTCGGATACTCTCTGGGGATTTTGGTTTTTTTTTTTTTTCTGGTATATGTTGTTCTCCAGCAAAAAGGATTCTTACCTGGGCAATATCAAGCTTTCGAATGGCCTTCTCCGCCGAGCCAGGCTGCGACGACAGGGTCATGGTGGGCAATGGGGATCAAGGAAAACAAGTCGAAGGCAGGGAAGGAGATGGTCTTTGCTGAGAATTAGGCTTGGTCGTGGCTGCAAGGGCGGGTGAGAGAGAGAAAGCAGGGTGAGACCCAATTGGCGAGAATAAAAATGGGGCCACTTGGCCGAGAATCGACGGACAGATTGGGGGGCAAAGAAAGGGAAGAGGGGAAGATACGGTGCAGACTTGCACAAATGTCTGGGGAAGACAGAGAGATCGAGGCCGTAGCGCGTGGGAGGAGGGAGGGAGGGGAAGAAGTTGAGAGCTGAAAAGTGACGGGCAAAACGCGTGCCGCGCAGGTTTGCACGCGATCGTGTTTTCCCGCATTTGGAGTCGGAGTCTCCTAGGGCTGTAGTGTTTCAACATCTACTGTACTCCGTGGAGGATACTCCCACAATTACTACAGTCCATGTTTACCACCAATTTCTTTTGAGATAGCTAGTTTGAACATTATTTCTTCTCATTTGATCTGGCCCTTGACCCTGACACGATGTTGATTCGGAAAGAAAAATCAATCTCGCTCTCTAGCGGGACTAGCGGCGCCAGCCTCGTTCTTTGAGTTGTCCCCACATCTACCAAAACCGAGCTCCTCCAGCTCCGATATGAAATGAGATTTTCCAATGGCGGATTCCTGGGCCAACCTCGTTGCCTCCGTTCCTTTTACATGTGGGACTGGGCTTGCCCTAGAAACGATCTGGCATGCCAACCAAGATTCCACTCCACTCGGTGCTTGCGGCCCTCCCTCACGATTGGACAGCAACGTGTGTGAGCATCTTTGCACGATGTCATCGCTTAGAGATCTCCTAGTGAGAAAAAAAGGAGATGGAATCTTGTCCACGGAGACGTGTTTTCAGTCTGGTATGCTAGAGAAGTGCTTCGTGACGTTGGGGATCGCCGGTATGGTTGTGTCATCATCTAGTTCCTCAAAATTGGATCCCGATTGTTTGTTTTTGCTGCAAGATGTCACCGAGCAACAGGAGGTGGGATATAGGGGGGTAACCAGAGAAGAGAGGAAAGCTGTGCCGGTCAATAATTTTTAGAAGCAAAGCAAGCCCCCTGCTCTTGCGGCTCCGAATAGCGGGGTCGGCAATTCCAGCCTAGTCAAGAGAGAGCTTGCGACTTCGATCAAGTCGTCTTGATGGCCATCACGTACCCATGGGCCGTGCCCTTCGCAGTCCCGAAGATACATGTGCTGCGACAAGAGTATGTGCCCCAACAGGGGATTGAATATGCACAGATCGCGTGTCCTGCGGCACACTAATGCGAGTAGATGGCCACTTGGCTTGGATTTTCCAAGGCCCGCCGGACCAAGTCTGACCAATATGGGCCGGAGATGGACATGGAAGAAATCAAGGCTGGCGCGATGTACCAGAGTCGGACGGCCGAGGAAGTTGTGCGCTAAGAAGAGAGGTAAGCTCTCGGCAGGCCAAGCAGCTCCCTTCCACTGAAGATCTGAAAATGCAGCATAGCTGGGAAGTCAAGCAAGTTTTGGGTTATCGGGTTCGGAATCAAAGCTCCCCAGTGGAGAAAGCCGTGGGAACAAAGTATCACAACGGCGGCAATGGCGCAGGAGAGCCGGGCGGTTTTATCTTCTCGGCAGGAGGTTAGCCAGTGGACCAGTCTCCAGGTCGGGTATCAAATATGAGCATGATAGTGGATAAGACAGAGAGTGGTCGTGGTCCTTGGACGGCCATGAAGACTCGTCTGGACAAAAAGCAGCCAACTTGGCCAACAAAACAAGGAGCAGAGCAAAGGCCCGTCCACGGGCCTTGGGGGCCTTGGGGGCCTTGGGGGGGCCTTGGTATGCCTTGGTATGTGTTAATTAGCCCAATTCTAGCGTCCGAGCTAGGAGCGTTAGGGCGATCATTCACGATCCACCGGTGAAACATTGCGATTCCTACATGGGAGAAGCGCAATAGGCCTATCGTTTCTGCCTCTGACCGGGCTGAGAGGGGAGGAGAGGTACGTAATGGCTGATAAGAGCCCACCTTATAGGGGCGCGTGCTAAGTATAGCGTTGCCTGGGATTTGCTGGTGCATTGTCGAGGTTTTGCTGGCGAGTTGGGTTCCAAGCCTGTTTAGTTTCGTGTTGAAGACCGTTCAATAGATGAGGGCAGTCTCTTCGCACACCGTGGACTCTTCAGATTGATGATTTGGAGCTAGCTAGCCTACTAACTTCTACCTACCACCAAGCTTGTTCGTCCTCGTCGATTATTATTCTTGGTGGCTTTTTTTTCCCTCTTTCTCCCTCTCTCTCTCTCTCTCTCTCCTAAACCCTGATTTTCCACATTTTCGAATCTCGCTCCCTTTTCCATTGTCTACCTTGTTGATTGATCCCTCCTCCTTTGTCCTCAATAATTTCCTAGTTGCCCATCTCCGGTTCTTGCGGGGCAAGACCTCCAGCCGCGTCGTTACTCGCCGCAAACGGTCGCGCTCTCCCGTCCCTGACGCCCTCCCAAACTTCTCTTTCCTTCCCCCCACGCCAGTTAGCCTCCAATTACGGAAGCTACCTGGGAAGATTTGGTGGTTCTTCTCCTGGCGAGAAGTTCCTAGCGTTTACATCACTGCTGGTACCATCCGGGCATTCATCCTCCGTCCATCATGTCGTTCTTGAAGCAGCTACGCCGACGCTCTAAAGCTAGCTTCCATAGTACGGCCGAGTTGAAAACCCCCTCGCATCAAGTAGAGGTGGTGTCCGGAAAATCCTCCTCCACGATTGACACCTCGTCCCATGCCTCCATTACTCCGCCCTCGTCGATCAAACCGACCGTCTCCTCTCCCAATCTCCCCTCGTTGATCGAGTCCAATGACGGCAGCTCCATTAGCACGCCGTTGGCTCCCCCTCCACAACGGCTAGGACCTTTTGTGACCAATTCACAGCGGAACAGCGTCGTGGTATGCACCCGCCCCCCGTGGAAGCTTCGTGACGGAAGCTTGGAAAAGCTCCGAAAGCTGATGCCAGATTTCTATACACACAGGGAAGCTCATCTTCGTCGATCAATGGGGTCTACCGGTCCCCGAACCCAAGCTCGCCTTATGCGCCCAGAATAGTTTCGATCGCCGATAACTCGTGGGTCAGTAGCTTCGGAATGACCTCATCGAGCATCGCGGAAGCTCACAGCCTTATTCTTTAGGTCCACCAAAAAGTTCTACTTATTTATGGCCAGATTGGAGATCCTCGACACCATCTATTGGACGGAAATATCACCGTCTACCATCACCAAGATAATTTCCCGTCAATCGGCTGGCCCGTTACGGCATCCCATTTCAAAGCCCTCGTTCACCTTGTCCCCGGTCCCAATCGCCTGCGTTTCGATTTCGCGTCCCCGAAGCTGTCTTCTGGAAGCACTCAACCGGTAATCCACTCGACCTGGATTTGCATCAACTACCTCCCCCTGGTCAATTCCCCGCCATTACATCTGGTCGTACTACTCGGCAAGGATTCGGATGGAACGTATGACGCAGTGCCCGAGCGAGTGGAGCGCGAAGGAAATGGGTTGGAAACGGCACTTCGGAAGTATCGAACGGCGGCGTATCTATGGCAGGCATTTACGGGAGAGCAAATGTTTCGCAACAATCTGGGCCGGCGATGCTTTCGCTTTGAGGAGGAATGGCAGTCGGGCACTCTCAGCCGACGAGATTCGGCCATTCGACAGATGCGCAACGAGGCTAAGATTCACATCATCCGCACCGAGAAAACGGTAGCAGAGTTACGGGATCTCAACGTCGCGCAGCAGTATGATGCCGCGAAGAAAAAGGACGAGTTGTTCAACATCGCCAAGGATGCTGTGCGCAAGCATTTCAATCCGCAACCTGGTCAAAAACAATACGTTTCTGTCTTGTTGCTGGATTCCCACTGGGACACGCAAGCTCAGACGATTACCGGTCACGCTGCTTTAGGATCAGGAGATGACGATATCAAGATGGCGATATTCGGGTCTCACTGCCTGCAGAGCTACCCCTCCTGCCTTGAAGAGGTAGTTGATGCATTCTCAGATTGCACTCGGACGGACACCAATTACGTAGCCAACGACTGCGGCGAGGCTGGATCTAACTGGGAGTCCGCAAACCTCGGAATTGGAGCACACTTGCACGAAGTTGGACATCTGTTTGGGTGCCCTCACCAAGAATCCGGCGTCATGCTTCGCGACTACGTTCGTCTGAATCGCTCTTTCTTGATCAAAGAGCCGTTCTGCACTCGCACCAAAACACAGGGCATGAAGGTCTGTTTACCCAACGACGAGTGTGGGTGGCATCGCTTGGATGCGCTTCGTTTCCGATTCCATCCTTGCTTCCGACTTCCTAGCGATGCTTCGGTGAGCAACGATGAGAGCGTCCAAGTGTGGCCCGTGGAGAATGGAAAGATCGTATTTACGGCCTCTTCGGGCATTGCATTTGTGGAGCTGTACGCCGAAGACGACAATGTCTGCCATCATTTCATCGAATACATCAACAGCGAGTCCAGCGGCAACGGTTTGCCCAAGCAAGTGGCCATCACCGAGACCGAGTTGAGGCAACAAGTCTTTGGCTCTGAGAAGGAGAAGAAAAAGAAGATCAGAATGGTGGTCTTCTCTGGTAACTTGGGAAGTTACACTGTGGAAGATGTCAACGCTCTCAAGTCCAAAAACTCACTGGTCAAGCTTCCTAAGAACCAGTCCGGCTACAAGAGTGGCCAGCTTGGACGCTCTTCAATGGAGGGCAGTGAGCCGGAGCAATTACTTTTGGAATGTGCCTTTATCAAGACCAAGCTTTTGACGTCTATCAAGGTATATCATGGATCTGCGGTGGATGGTATTGAGTTCTGCTACGAAGACATGACCAGCCAACTCTTTGGCAAGCGTGGTGGAAAACCCGGGGGTGATGAGTTTGTACTCGGTATGCAGCTGCAAGACACGTTTAAAGAGAGCCGTTCCTAACTTGACTAGATACCCGCCGCGGGGAGATTTTGCTTGGTTTCTACGTCCGAGCTGGACTCTGGATTGATGGAATTGAGATTCTCACCAGCCTAGGGAGGAAATCTGGAATTTACGGAAATGCCAATGGTGGATCAGGGTAAGACAGTCCCCTTTCCATGACGATGTTGAGCAGATTCATTACCAGACGCAGACGCTAATCAACGCCCACTTCCACAGTCACACCTTAATTCCACCTCTGGGATATAAAATTGCTGGAGTCGCAGGCTCTAGCGGACCCTGGATCGACGGCTTCTCACTCATCGTTCAACACTGAACTGGATCCATTTATTGATATCCCAAGCGCGACTCGAAGACATACAATTTCTTCATTTTTCTCCCGCTTTTTTTTGGTCTCTCCAATGATAGGATCGGCATTTCCCAAAACAATGGCCGGCTCGGGGCCGGCCAGCACATATATACGCGGTTCTGTGGGGCTCCAGGTGCCTCTGTTTATATGCTTCTTTTCTCGTTTTGACGGGCGTTGTGGAGGACGGTGTTTGAACAGTTATTCGTTGTACCATTCATTTCCTTTCTCATTCTCTGTGGGATGAACACGCATTTGAGGACACTCCTTCATGATTTATTCGTCCCAGGGCCATGCTAACAGAATTGGAAGCATCTTGTATAAGGAAATATTCATATTATTGGGCTAGACAGGCTATACATAGTTAATATCAACGGAGAACGAGCATTACGCTCAGTTCTTGTCAAAGATACCTTGGTCGCGGAGCATAGAGCAGTGAGCTGTATACTGTTGTTATGTTGCTATGTTGCTATGTCGTCGCCACCTCCGGTTTGATCATCTCGCATACAGTACGAGTCGTCCCACGTGACTTTGTCCCGATCCTTCATTGACTGGCGTAATGCAATGCAAGACGGTAGTGAATGAAGGATGTTATTGAGATCATCTTACACATCACCAACACAGCCACAGCCACGCCCATGGATTGGTCACTCGATCACTCGATCATCGTCCGATCATGTTCCGATCATCGATCACTCGACCCTTCAGATCACTCAATAATAATAGCAACCTACAATAGAAAGTTTTCCCCATTAGGTGCCACGGCAAAACAGCAAAAGGTATCCGCTCCAAAATTTCGCCACCATTGCGTGGCTAACGCAAAAGGATCAATGACGGAGGCACGAGTATCAAAGCTCCCCCCGAGGCTGTGGGTGCAAGAGGGGTTGGCTCAATGATGATTTGTCGGGTTCGAGTCAAAGCACTGGGGACCAATCATATTAGATCGAGCTGTCGGGATAGAATTGTGGGGCGTTTCGGGATGCGGATCGACAGAGGTCGGGTCGCCTCCGCGGAGAGTTTTTGTTTTAAATTGTACTTCGGCATTCGTACCGCAGCTCTTCGAGGTGTTTGTTTTGGAGCCTTGTACTTATGTAAGGTGTGGTTCCTTCAGTGGAACTGAATAGACCGGGTGTCATCGACGGTAATTACAATCCGTTTATCCAGAATAGAATGCATGGTTCTCTTTTTTTCCCCCGGGCAGATTGTGAACCATTCAGTATCATATTGCAGATGCTGGAGTGCTCTCCGCGGCCATCCGCTCTTGCCTTTTCTCTACTCTCCATTAGGCAATCCCAACCCTTGTTTTTTCTTCTCGGGCTCCAGCTCTGAGATTTAATTTCAACTTTGGTGAGGAATATCGGATATGCAGGACCCTATTTTGATTTCTTTGCCACACCATCTTCCGCGACCCTCCTGCACACTCTCATTGGTGATTGCTCGCATTCCCTCCGTTCTGTTTAGCTTCTTTGCTCCTCCAAAGAAAACGTCAAGAAACGCCAGGTGGTTCCCGCAATGGTACGTTTTGTGGCTGATACCTTTCCTCCCCGACGAAGAATGGGGGATGATACCAAATTCCATACTTCGGGCGTCCAATGATGGTGAGCGAGTGACGGCCATAGCATCATATGTGGCGGTGGAGGACTACTTTTCTGGTACAAAGCTAACAACGTACTACTGTAAGTCAAATGTCACGGTCCGATGTGGCAAGGTCGTTATATATCATGACTGGCTATACGCCTTAGGGATCATAGTCGCGCATAGTCGAGTAGGTACGCAGCCTGCAGCTCGTTCTAGGATATTACTACCTATCGCCAGGATCTTGTAGATCGGAAGCGGAAAAGACAGCCACTCTGTTTGTTTTCCCATCTCTCCCGGGACTTCTGTTCCTATAATATCCAATGTACCCTGTCGCGGGCGCGGTTGTAGGAGGGATCAGCACGTCCGGCCTGGCCGTGACTGGATGCCTCTCTCAGGTGCTAACTTTCGTCGTCTCTATTTGGGGGAGTTATACTAAAGAGATACACCGATGATAAAGGGCCCGTGAACCGGATCGGGCCACGGACAAGGTGGATATGTTTTGCCAGCATGCCCATTTGTCTGATACTTGACCCGCGATATCGCCCCTCCCATCCGCTTCTTCCATCCGTCCAGCCAGGAGGCGCGCATCGTGGCTGATAGGCAAGCCAATGTGTCGATCGCCCCTCTGACAAGGGACCATCGACCAATCAGCGATGCCAGACTTAAGACCGCCTGGCTCGGTTGCGCTTGGTGCATAAGAACAAACGGTACGGAGGATGAGTACATAAGCTAAATGCCGCTGCCTAAGTAGTGGTGTCGATCTTGGAGTGTTCCTTTCTCACGTCTCTTTTCTCCACTATGTAGCATACTGTACCGTAGCAAAAATCCGTGTTGTGATTGTACACGCGACTCAGTCTACGGCGCAATTCCCCCCCCCCGGTGGTGTTTCTACCCCTTGCCCCACGGTCGAACGCCCATGACGTGATGGCTTCTATTTTGCCCGGACTACTCCGTATTTCGTATCTTTGGTTCTTTACAGCATACTCTGGTTCAGTCTCCAATTACAGTCGTCGTGTCACAATCTCCGACTGCTATCGGAAAAATAGTCCTGACGTCAGCGATTGGATGGTGGCTTGTTCGGGCTTTGGTGACCGTTGGTCCCGATGTGGGGAATAATCCGCCTAATCGGGCAACTCTGTAGGGCAGGCTCTTTCTCAGGCCGTACCAATCCTCGGAGAAAGGACGTTTTGTCCTTGTCCGAAATTAGGGTGTAAAGTGTAAAATGATATTCAATGTCACGTTAGATCGCTTAGCTGAATACTTACGCGTCGGTGGCGAGTGGAAAATCCTCCCAATAACAACGGCCCTGGAGGCTGTTGTAGAGCCGAGAGGTAATATACAATATCAGCAACCGTGTAGTTATGCAAAATTTTGTACCAAGTACCCTATGCTGCTGAAAGACCATGATTAGGTGCACGTCTTGCCCAACTTTCTAGTGACGTACCTGGTCACCATCTTATGTGGAGTACTCGGTAGTGTAGCTCGTAGCTTAAATTGCTATACCCTCTCGCGCTTTCCGCATGAACGCCCGTGCGTTCCCATGACTCTGTGGAGTCCTTTGTAGGGCATCACTAGGGAGGAAAGTATACGCATTGGGTTTCTCTCTGGCCGTTTTGTGTCTAATCGACATAGCTTCGAGAATATACGACACTTCTACATGCATTATTACTACAAGAATGACGTTCATATGGACCTCGAACACCCGTTTAATTGAGTTAAGCCCTGGGACGCCATCAAAATGCGGAAAATTAGGACGGTCAGGGATTATACTCGACATGCAGCAGTGTGCCACTGTAGTACTGTATGTACAGTATGTAGGATGTCTCGGACTTTACGCCTCTTGTCACAGTGGAAAAGGGAGAATATCCCTACCACGTTGGGACAAGTCCCCTTACCGTTGACTACTTAGATTCGGTATTTGTCTCCATCACGAGACCGGCGCGCTCTGCCGACCAATAAGAGACAAGATCAAAATACGATGGTAAGATTCGTCCAGATCTCCTTTCGGCAGTCTTGAGGAGGACCATTTCGTCATTGAAACGCGGCTCTCGGTGTGGGGGAACATATTACAACAGTTCGCGATATATTAATCCCAACAAGCAAATTCTGCAACCGAGGGATTCAGGGTACTTGAGAACGGCATCGGGTATATTTTGGTCCACTCTTGATCGTTTTAGACGCGAGGCCATCGCGGGGCTTCTCTAGGTTCCGTGCGTGTCGAGTATCCACTTGGTATCTGATTTGGTACCGTACCGTTTTCGGCACGTGCGCCGAGCCGCCCGGTCTACTGTGCCAGCATTCTGATTGGCGGCTTCTCATGCCAGCAATGAGCATCCCCAGGGTGGATAGGAGATGCGTACCGTAATAGCCAGGTACGTATTACCGTATTTACGGCGAAACGATACGGCCTTGAGGAACGATGGCCCCTACGATGTAAGTCAGAGGTGCCTTTCATATTTATGGTAGAGGCATTGAGACTTGACGATAGGGCAAAGATACTTCGATTGAACCTCTTCGCTGGGAATGTCCACCTGTAAATGACCCGGCCCAATGGTCGTGGACCCTGTCAGGTCAAAATAAATGATCAAGCAGTCACTGGCGCCAGGGCGATCCATGGAGTCCTCTGCCGATCGTACATCAAACCGTCTGGGAGTCCGTCCATTAGGCTTTCTGGGACCACCGCCACAAAATGACCGTGTGGCGTACTTTTCATTTATCAGTTTCTGTTCTTCGAATCTTCGAAAGCATGAGATGCCAAATGCCGGTGTCGAAAGTTAAATATCGCGAATGTCTAGTCACAAACCAAGGTTGCCAGTCATGCTCTTCCCAAGCAAAATCAGCAAACCAAAAGGGCACTGATTCGATGATCACAATGATCACGTTCTGTATTCCCTCGGCCCCAGCAACCGCCTATCAAACCGATTTCCCCGAGCACGGCCACAGGTGCGTTCGTTCCATGGACAGTAAAGCCACACATTCCAAATTTCATACTGTACCTTGACGTGGCCGTTCGAGCAATTTCGTTGCCTGCGGTTCATGCCGCCTTAACGTTTAATTAATCATGTGGTCAGGATGGAGGGAATACGTTTCCATCATCACTCTCATTTGCGTGGGAACGAGGTGCGTGCCCAACAGCCACCAACAGCCCACTAACAGCTATCAACAGCCACCAATGACCCCTGGTTCATTAGACACTTCGTGGTGTACTGTATGAGAAAGTTTAGGGCTATACCTTTCCTCAAGACCTTTCACTTTCTTTTCCCTAGCGACGTACTATCCTTAATGATTTCTATATCAATACCTTCGAGGCTATTTTCTATCCTCTGACCTGTCAAGCCTTACGGCACGGCCGTTGGTAAGGTGTGGCGGGAGTGGGGGAGAAGCTCGAACCCAGCGGTCTGGTTCTCCCTTTTACAATCGATAGACGGAGTGCATCCGGCTGGTCTAAATTGTCCCTGGGATCCTCAGATCCAAGAAATCAAAACTCTCCCCGAAAACCCAAATAGAGAGAGAGACAGACACAGAGAGAGAGAAATGCTATCATTGATGCGGCTGGCCGCGGTTAGAAGAGAAAGGTTCTATGATTTCCATCAAACAAATCGCTGTCCCTTTCCTTAGATTGCTGGCATCCTTCTCCTTTAATCGAATCTGTTGTATGCAATCTCGAGGTCGAGGGAAATACGCCGACAATACACTCCGTAACTTACGATCGTTCTCGTCTCATTGAATGCGACTTTTTATTTCCAACGGTCTCAGCTTCCATTTCCGTCATATTCGTCTTTGCACTTGCATTGTCCCAATTTCCTAATTTGATTCCTTCCTTTTTTTTCCATTTCCCCCTTCCCCCCCCGGGGCTGAATCCTTGGGTCTGGCTCCCAGTTCCTGACCAATGAGCCTCCATGAATCGCCCCGATCCATTCAGATCCATGATGCCGCCCATCTTCCCGCCGTTCATCATCCACCCCTGGTACCAATCATTTCTATTCAAAGGCACGGACGAGAGAAAAATTATAGATGGGAACGACCAAAAAAGAAACGGAAATTCAAATTCCTTGGGTCGGCTCTTATCGATTAGCTCGAAGTGGCAGTTACTTGTACATATCCATATTCCTAATATCTTAAATCCCGAATGTGTATTTACCGTACTGGACCCACGCTCTGGTCTCCTCTTTACGGTCTTCTTACTATTTTGCACTCGCTCTCTGACCATTCTCCATACTTCTCCATTCTCCATTCTCCGTGCCTCCGTACTACTATCTCCGTACTCTCCATACACAGTCCTTACCACTTTTGCTTATTATTTTTTCGGTTTACAAACCTTTTTTATTTTTTTATTTTTTTGCTCGACTCCATCCGTCTCCATTGTTACTCAACCACATCCCTCCTCTAGCCTTTTTACCCCCCCCCGAACTACACCTCCCCCCCTCTACTCTTCCACTCTTTCTCCCTTCCCCTACCACGTCTCCAACTACTGTGGCTTAGTTAATGTCAGTTGGTTCCTCAGGCCCCTTCCGATAGACCATCATTGGAGGGCTCCATGGACCGTACCGTCTTTACTATTTTTCTCTTTTCCCTTTCTTAGTTCCCTCGTCATACGTCTCCGCCCCTCCTTCCACCACCCCTCGCCTCTTTAACATTTCTCATCTTCAAATAAAAAAAAAGGGGCGCCCTGTCACGATTTGACCCAACTTTGGATTTAGTCTCTACGTCTCTCGAACTTCTTTGTCGATACAAATCAACCGTTGTACAAACCAAGACCGTCCATTACACTGTGATCTGGAGACCTCCCGTGAGCTACCTTTTACCCGTGGCGTCAACACCTCTTTTTTTTTGAGGCTCGCATCCCTCCCCCCCGAGACTCCAACAATATTTCGCGTCCGCTCCTCCGCCTGTCCTTATTGTAAATCCGTTTCAACCGATATACGATCGACCTGCCCTTGCTACTCGTTGCTGCCCTTGATCGTTCAAGTTCCAGATACCCATTTGCCGCTGAAGCTCGTTCGGTCGACCACCCCATCCTCGGAACCTCCGGTGTGTGTGTGAGAGAGAGAGAGAGATAACGGACGTTTTCTTCCGACCCTAAGTCGAACCACGCCGACACGGAGCTTGTGGTCTCCTAAAATCAGCTCACTCCGATGGTGTAAAAAAGACAGCATTCTACTTTTTCTCTTCCATCCGACACTTCTTCCAACTCCGGCGCATCCCTCGGCGCAAACCACTCGTAGAGTCATTCTCAATGTTCCGCAATCGGTACGTGCTCTCTCTATCTTGTGCATGTTTAGACGCCATTTTGCGCTTCTTTTCATTAAACGGAGAAGAAGAAATAGTTACTAACACGATTTTTTTCCCCTCATATCTAGCAATAATACCCAGAAGCCTGACGATGAGTTCATCAGTCGCTTCCAAAGCACATTTGCGGACATCGTTCCCCGACGAGCCAGTCATTCAAACGCCTCGCACAACACGTTTCCCGCCGGGACGGGAGATCCTTTGGTTTCGGATAGGTATGCAGCTCAAAGCTATGCTAGTCCGGGACTAGAGGCTGATTTGGTCAATCACGACTTTAGAGCAATGGAACATCATGAGATGAAAATGGACGAGCATGATCTGAAATTCCCCAATGAACGCACTCCCCGGAATCTCCACGACCTCAACTTCACCCCTACATGGATCGATCCGCAATCAATGACGATGATGTCTCTTGCCGGGCAGCACCCGGGATTCTATACGCCAAACTCGGGAGGAATGGGTGCTATTTTCCACAATCAAGCAGGCGACCTGCACACGCCTACCGCTGGATTGAACATGATTACGCCGCTCTCCCTCTCCAACCCGATCCCGATTGGGCCACATAATGCCCAGCCTCCAATCAATCACTTCAATCCGCAATACCTCGCCCAACACATGCCCGATATGGATTCCTATGTCCAACAACAAACATATGCGCCCAGTGCATTCATGCACCGAGACTCATTCGAAGCTATGGACGAGTCTGTGGACACTCCGTCAATTCACAGTCTCCCCATCGATCAAGCATCTAACATTTCCGTCTCCACGGAATATTCCAGTGCACTCCACGTCAGCTATGCCGAAGGTGAAAGGTACGTGACTACTGTTTCTCGGCTCACCCGTCACCCTACTAATGATAGCTTTCGCACCAGTTTCCGCTATAATGTCTCTTTGCGAGCTCCGACGGCAATGGTGAAGCATCCACGAGAAGTTCCCATCTCCTACCTCAACAAGGGTCAAGCGTACAACCTCTCGGTCTTGGACTCGAACCCGCCGATGGTCGGCTCCGAACCACTACGATACCGAACATTCGTGCGAGTTTCCTTTGAAGAGGAAGAACAGCGTTCGAAGCCGGCAGCGTGCTGGCAATTATGGAAGGAGGGCCGTGGTATGAGCGAGTCACATCAACGTGGAGGAAAGCTTCTGGCGGTAGAATACGTGGACCCGCACCAAGGTGGCGATGACCACAAGCACCGTCAAATTCAGGTTGAGCAAATGTCCTTCGATGGATTCTGCGTTACTTGGACTGCCAATCCCACGACTGGCACACCCGACTGTTCCATCCCCGTTCGATTTAATTTCTTGTCTACCGATTTCAGTCATTCCAAGGGTGTGAAGGGTATTCCTGTGCGACTTTGTGCAAAGACCGAGCTCTTGACGCCCACTGATGAGTCGGATAGCTCCCGTGAGCCGGAAGTGTGCTACTGCAAAGTCAAGCTTTTCCGTGACCACGGTGCCGAGCGCAAGCTATCCAACGATGTTGCGCATGTCAAGAAAACGATTGAGAAATTGAAGCAGCAGATTGCCCAGGCAGAGATGGGCGGTGGGTTCGGCAAGCGCAAGCGTGGAAGCAACGCTACGGCGAACTTGAAAACGGCAGACCGGTCCAAGATCCCGAAACATAAGCGCACATGGTCCATGAGCTCGCAGGACGGACAACCGGAGAAGTTGTCCCTCGAAGATGACCTACAAGCCAAGCTGGTTATGATGCAGGAGATGTTCTCATCGACTCGCACTATGAGTGTGCTTGCTTTGCGCGGTGACGAGGAAGATGACCCTGACTTGTTCCCGGTTCGGCTACCCACTGATGGAGAGACCATCAAGGTAAAACCTCTCAGCCGGCAGAACACGGGCGCCTCGCATTCGATGGAGTCTTTGATCCTATCTCCCACAGACAGCAATGTTTCCATGAACTCACCTCGAGTAAACGAGAGCAAATTGGCTGCCTTGAAGGACGCGAAGAATCCAACCACTATCCCGAGGATTGCAGCTGGTGATTCCATCTCCACTGGATTCATCGAGGCCGTTGATATTGACCCGACTTATCGCCCGCCAGCGGAGCGTCCACCAAAGCCAAGTATGTATCAATTTTCCCAGTAGTTTTATTCTATTTCACTAACCATTTCACAGTTGCATGCTTCTACGTCCGCTTTGCGGGCACTGACCAGCAGCCCGATTACTACCGTGCAATCTACCTTACTGAGCGTACTGTACGGGATTTGATGAAGAAAATCTCCGAGAAAAACCACCTCGACCCATCCCGCGTTGTGCGTATCTTGCATGTCAACCAGAACGGTCTTCGAATAATGGTTGATGACGATGTGGTCCGTGAGCTCCCAGAGGGACAGGACATGATTGTCGATATCTACGAGTCTCCGGCTACTACGAACGGAGGCGACGATTGGGCGCCCGGCACCCCGGTCGAAATCAAATTGACATACTGATCGGCCTTCGCCTCGCATTACCGTGATGCGCTATCTGGAACCGTCACGATGCCCTGTTCTACCTCACTACGCACATACATATCTATGCCACGTGGCCAATAGATTGTCTCGTTACTACCCCCCTTATCACTCCTCATCGTCTTGTCTTCTCTCTACTCAACCTCTTTCTTTGCCTTGGCATCGAGTTGCACCTGGTGTGTAATTGCACTTTTCGGGATATCCACTTTGCGGTCTTCCGATTTTCTTTATTTCATCTCTTGTTTTCTTTTTCCTATCTTCTTTCGTCATTGGGTTGGCAGCTATTGATCATTTACAGGGGAGTTGGATACGGAGGTAATACACGAGTCTCCGAACAATGATACCCTGTCGCCATATGTTATCTTTTTTTTGATTTATTGATCATCCGATTTACGGGTTTACCGCTATTGGTTTTACTCAAGGGCGTTGGTATCTATTCACATTCCCTCGCCGATGCTATCTTAATTGATGGGCGACGGTTCGAAGTCGCTGATATACATGCACTTTGCTTTTTGTCGATACCGCCACGGTCCGCTTTTCCAGTTCAGTCTTGTCTTTCGATTATTTTTCGTTCATCTGGTCTCGGTTCGACGCACACGATGTGGATACCCCGTTCCAAAGTTTCGAATCTCTCTTCATGTTTGTTGCGAGGACTCTCTGCATTCTTCTATCTCGTTCAGCGTTTGGTTTTTTTCCCCCTTAATCTCTGTGACGCTTGTTCTCTTCCCCTCTTTCCATTGGGCTAGTGTTTTGTCCGGGGCGCATATACACGGACTTGGATCTTTTCGATACCGATAGTTACTAGGGGTTGGGGTTTATAAATCAACATATTCGACGAATTAGGTACCAAATACGATCACCTACTGATTCATCAAAACCATCATCATTTCCGCCTTCTAAATTATGAGAAATATGTAGTAATTAGATATAAACTTACACCTGTCAAGCCCTAAATCCAAAAATCCGTCAAATTGCTTGGCAATCGGGTTCAATGGTTACTCGGGAAAGACGCGAGGCAAGTGGATTGGATTTAGAATTTCAGACTTGACCCAAATCAAAAGCTGCTCCGACACCAGACCACGGTTGTAAAGTATAAATTTTACCTCCTTCTACAAGTAGCTTTCCACCCCTTAGCTACTAGAGGATCAGAGGCACTATGCACGCGCACACGCACGACCTCCAAACCCGCCCAAGGATACCATAGACAATGGCTTTAGACAGAAGAAGATTTTGGCAACCCCACCCCCGGAGCCGCTCCCAGTAACCAGGTAAAAGTATTTTGTGCAGGGCTGCCAACTTCGTGTCCACCGGCTGGGCCGCGGTTAGAACCAGAACCTTACTTCCATCATGTTCGATTTGCATCTGTGGCCATGGGTCGAGGGTGTCCTAGCGTCTTGTAGCGTCGTGCCTGAAACGGCGGTATAGACACCGAAGTCCGGCGAATTTCATTGGCTGGGCTCTTGGCCCGTTTTATTCGCGCAGGATGGATTCGACGAATCCGAGGGTCGGGAAATGAAAGGCGTTTGGGCTTGGTTATCGAAGGTGGATATCGGCTTGGGATTTGGCGTTTTTTTTGGGTGTGGATATGTCATATGTTGAGGGTTTATCGGCGTATGGAGTACGATTTGATCGATCATGATGCCTTGAAGATTGTTTTCTGTCATGGCCTCAATGTTATTGGCTTCGTTTTTTTTTTTATTCGCCGCTATGGGGTAGGAGGGTACGGCAAAGTCTGGTGCCGTGGTTGATCTAGAATCGGGTCTTTGACTGACTATAGAGGATTGTTTTTCGGTCGAACTAGTTCGCTGGCTTGCTGTCCCATGGCTAGATTAGGATTTACCCCCAACGGCGCCAAACGGTTTGATGAACACGACTATAGTCCAGTCTATATGGAGATTCAAGGGGCTTATTCTTGACTATTACCTTTGATGGTCTCATTTCCTTGGAGATTATTGAAGCAGATCAATTTGTCCTCTCGAGTCCGGATCTTGTGAAAATCTCCGTTGTTACCATGCTAATAGACTGGTACGTTTCATCATTACCTTTGACCCTCTCTCAAAAAACAGTTCTTTACCCACACTTGTGACCCCAACGATTCTCCCTTCACTTCGCCGAGTAGAAAGTGTATGACGTCAAAAAAAGACCGTATCTTCCCCGAGTCATACCCCGGTATAGTAACACCCCCAGCAGCCGTCCATCCTGCATCGCAAACAGCTCGATCCAGAACATTCTCCCGGTACCTGTCGATCCAGTAGCACTCCCCCTTCCCTTTAGCTCGGTGGACCTTCGATCTAATGCCCATACACATCTCATGCATGCCGTTAGCGTCTTAGCGCTCATAATTACAACGGCTAGCTGCCCCTTCGAGGGCCAAATTTCTCCGGAAGCCTTCCCAGCAAATCCTATCACCGCTTACTCCCTCAAACAATCCTTATGACATCATTTCGAATTTCCCTTGGCAGTGGGGCTTCTCTGCAGTAAGTTACAACCGTACAGTATGCACGGTACGCCCCTCCACCGTATCCAGCTCGGAATTTCCGTACATTCCGTAAACTTTTCTAAGCGGCCAGGCACTTCCTGTAGAATCCACCTCGCTAGATCTCTTTTCCATGCGGGACGACCCGTTTTGAGACTTGATCCCATCCTTCTGCGAATTTTGACATACGCGTCTTTCTTTATACTCCATACCATATCTCGGATCACGACTGAGAGTCTAGGGTAATCCCATTTTTCAGTCGGAGGGCGCCGTTTGTATGGAAATACCGTACTCTACACGTATGCAGTAAGAATGTGGCTCTCTATCTCGCTGTTTGACCAGCACAGAGTTAAGCGATTTTTTGTAGCACGCTTCTACGTATGCCCCCGTCGAGAGATCATTCGCTTTTAATTCCCCCCTCGCCGTCGGTTGCCCACATTCGCTTACCGTTGTGATCTGGACAGCGTATTTTCGGATGGTTACTGTATATTACTTTTAATTAGGAAACTGTTTTCTGGTCTCCACGCTAAAAAGACCGAAAACGGCGGTGAGATGTGATCTAGATCCTCTGGCGTAGGTAGTGGTAGCGACGCCCTAGAAAGGCGCCGTTAGTGGTTTAAAGAGGCGCACCCGGCGTTTCTGTATTGGGTCTAGTGGGCTTGTTTGCGTTTTCCAGACTCTCCCCTCCTGAATTTGTGACCGGTCAGAATTAGCGACTGATGTAGCCTGGTGGCTGGTTACCTTCTATCTATTTGGCAAGGCTCGTCCTGGCTTGATGTTCACTAGTGACTCTACTTTGTAATATATTTCAGCCTCAAAGAAGTGGATATTCCCCTGACAGCATGACCATGGTGCTGGGGCTGGCTCGTATGTAGGGCTGGGGAAAATGACATGTGTGGCTGGGTAAGTTTTTAGTTTAGTGCGGGCTAACCATAGCATCGGGACTATATCTGATGTTTAGACCCTAGCACCTTATTTGGGCTTCATTAGTAGGGGGAATTCTTAGGAATTGACTAGATCGTACGTGTTTTTCATGGGTTTATTGGTCAGAAGGGTCGTTGAGTTGGACGCCAAAGCATTTTAAATAAGGATATAGTGTGTGTCCTTTACTAGGGTTCTCATAGCTTCTCTGAACGCTTCTGTCGCACCTCTTTCTCATCTGTCCGGGGTTTTCTGGATGCTTGCTTTCCAGGAACACACTCTTGGGGATTGACCAACATCATACACGTGTATATTCTACCGCTTTCATATACTCTTGTACCATTATGTATCAGGACACCGTCCTTCTATCCTACTTATCGGTAACGACAGCTCGGATTAGAATAGTTACTGCTGCTATACGTCATAGCGCAGATTGATCCCCTGATGCTACACAATAAGTTGGTATCCTGCTCATACTTTGCAAGAGTCTTATTCGTTGCTCTAAAATTGCATAGTCTCTCTCGGTGACTTTACTCCTGTGCTGTGCTCCCAAAGATGTAGTACATGTACGCCCAACAGTCCCAGCAAGCATTTTGGACAGCGTGCCTCTTGCTTAACGGGCAAGCCAATTTTGCGGGATATCACCGTTCAAGACTTCGGTATGAGGCAAGCCCGTCAACAACAACCTTCGGGGTCGCTCCTTCCTCTTCTTCGGAGTGACAGCTGGCTCGTGACCCCTGTGCTTTTTCATTTCCCTCCGGCCTTCTCGCTCCCTCATTTTCTTTTTCTCTTCCACCCCTCTCTCCCTCTCCGTTCCTCGCATTTTCCATCAAAACACATTCGTTTTCATCCACTACATTCGTTCAAACTCCTGCTATCACGTCGAGATGACTTTCCTCGCAAAGTTCCGCCTTGTGATCCTCTTGCTCGCCATGATCGTGGTGGGCAAGAGCGTCGCCCTCAGTAAGTTCACCGGTTGACTGCTCTGCCTTGGAGATCGTGGGCTCATATGCTTTGACAGACGTCGACGCCTTCGACGAGTTCCACAATGTTGTTGGTCGTGACGCTTACGGTGGTAAGTCTCACTCTCAACTCCTGCTACCCTAGTCTCGGACCCCGTCAACCTGATCCTGTTGATACAGTTCAACGCTACCCGGGTATGGCTGCTGATCGCTTCGTTCACGTTGTTCGTGGTAAGTCTTTGTGTTCCCTCAAGGATAATGTTGTTATTGAACGCGTCTTCTGATATTTTGATAGCTGTGGCCGAGGTTACTGGTGTTACCTTCACGGTTGGCGATGGCAAGACCTCTGAGACCTCTACCGGTCTCACTGATGTGACTCGCGTTACCTTCTCAGTCGAGCCCACCAGCACTGCGGAGGTCTCTTTCACTCCCACCGATGTGACTCGCATTACCATTTCTATCAAGCCCACCGGCACTTCCGAGGTTTCAACCACAGTGACGGAGACTGACACTGAGCCTTGCGGTGGTGAGGAGACTACCTGGACCTTCGACATCTCTCCTACCAGCACTGTTCCTGCCTCTACTACCGCTTCGGAGACTGGTACCAAGGTGACTTTCACCATCAACCCCACCAGCACTGCCACGGAGACTGAGACCGAAACCCAGACTGTGACCTGCTCTCACTCGTCCTCCCCTTGCCACACCCAGAGCACCACTTCCACCGGACTTGGTTTTACCATTTCTCTCACCAGCACAATCACCAGCACTTCTTCGGGAACCCAAACCCCTGTCACCTCTGGAAGCACCTTGGCCGTCAAGCCTTCGTCCACTCCCGGGGTCAAGGCCACAAGCACCAGCAGCTCCATTGAGACCACCCCGCACAAGACTGGTACTGGAGTACTCGGTACATCGACTGCTACTATCACTTTCAACGGTGCCCACAAGCCGGAGGCCTTCAATAAGCTGACCGTCAGCGGTCTGCTCCTCCTTGTCTTTGAGCTCATTCTGTGAGATTCCAGCAGCATGCCTATGCGGCGTCTGCGCCACGGCTACTTAGCGTGGTTGCTACGGCTCGTTCACGTTCCCCATGTGCTTATGAAACAGAACATACGGAGTCATGTTTTTCCTGAATGTGCTTGGGATGCAATATCGGCTCCCTTGATTTGATGTTATTTCCTTGGTTACGTTTTATGGCCATAGTGCGAGCTTAGTCTGCACCAGTTAGTCAATCAACACCTGAAATTCAAGGTAACTCGAGTTCCTCGTACTTGTCATCCGTTATATAACTCATAGTTATACATAGTCGTATAGCAGATTTATATCCAAGTCAGTCAGCGATGTGAAGATTGACACGTCGATATGTTGGCTTTAGTGAACGAGAAGAGGGAAATAATACCCTGTCGAGAGATCCAGATCTAAATCCTCTTGGAACATCTTCCGCCTATTGAGCTTGACCAACTTCATCCATCCATTCTTGACAGCACTCCCACTAGCAGTAGCAACAATCACCATTTCGTTGCCTGAGACGATGCTCTGAACGGTAAGAGCAGCTTCTCCCAGGACAAAATGCTCATTCGGAACCAACTTGTCCACCTCGTTTTCCATCGACGAATCCCTCATATGGCAGTCATGGTTTTCCGTACAAGTCGACGGAGGGTTGAGCAGGATTCGTGTATATAGCGTTGTCTTTTGACGAATGTGATGTCCCACTTGGCACGGCATTGTACACCTTCGTTCATGTCCATGATATACTTCCATGCACCGTTGACTAGCAACCGCAAACGTCGCAACGTCTCGGGAGTCTTTGATGACACGAATCCAGTTGTTGAACCCTCCAGAAACGGGCGATAGTTCAATGCGGTGAGTGCGAGCATTCTCTGTGAAGGGCCAGTATGCCTGTAGATTATTGTCGTGGTCGACGCCCGTGTCTTCGAGGGCGATTATCGAGTTCATGATTATGCGTCTCAGGTATTCTTTCCTTTTTGGGTCCCCTTCTGGTGGGATATTGACCGATGAGTCGATATCATCTGTGGAGAAGAGCCGGGTCCAGCAAGACTTGATACAATCCGGATCGGCGATTCGATGGCGACAAGGTGGTGACTCTTCATGTTGTGAGAACGGTTCTTGATCTGTTTTTGCCGTTGTCTGGGAGAGACGAAGGGCATCCCAGAGTGTTACTCGATGGGCATTGCCTGTGCAAGCACTGACTTCCAAGCCAATGTTGCTGGAGAGGAGGGATCGTAAATTAGGTTTTCCGTATTTACATTTTTCGATGATCGAGGTTTTCCATTTGCGTGCTGGATTGCGTTTCCATTTCAGCGCACCACCGGCCTGGACGTAACTTCCCAGGGTGGCTTGCATGGTGAGGTCCCACCCCTCGAGAGTGTGATAGGCATTATGTGCTCCGGAGGGTTGGAGTTGAGGTAGAATGCGTGCTTGCAGGAATTTGATTTGTGCTCGACATCCTTCGTTGACATTCAAGCCGGTTTTGGTGCATGGCTCCGTCCCAATCAGGATTCGAGATGAACTGCGCAATTGAATCGGGTGTTCGGTTTCGTAGCCTGTGTATGAACTTGACCAGTGACACTCGATCTCTTTTAGGGACTGATCGGCTTGCATGTGGCGTGGAAGGGGAACGATGTATCCTGCTTCCGTCCGGATGAAGACGCCTTCGTCTCCTGGCCCTCCCATTAGCCAGACCGGACCCCATAGTTGTTGGAGGTCTTTGACCGTGAGAGACACTTTCAGACCGGTGGTTGGTATTTCCGGTTGATCCTTCCCGAGGACCCATGCTGGTCCACCGACAAAGTCTTTTAGACAAGCCAAGTCTCGCAGAGCGAAGGAGTATCCACACCCAATAGATATTTTACTTTTGTCCTCCCCCCAAAGATCCTCGTCAAATCGGCAGACATGAGAACCGGAGAAAGAGACAAGACCAATTGACAAAGCCTCGGTGAAGAATTGCAAATCTTCGAGCCGAGCCACGGCCAATTCGGAACGAGCGCTACTATCAGGCAGAGGGCCAAGAAGATCCTGAAGTCGTAGCCACACAGGAATCATAGTGACTATACGAACGTTACTCCTCAAAGAGGACGTCGAGAACCAGGTGAGAATACTTTCGATGTCATCAAGAGATATTCGAACAGCTTTTGCCACATCAGGTCGAGATTGATCTCTGACCAGAATAGACATTGCGTTACCACAAAACCCCTCTTGCATCAGGTTTTGAAGCGCATCTCTGCTCTTCTGCAGAGACTCTTTGCATTCTTGTGCAGATTTTTGCTTTACTTCGGGTCCTGCAACACCACAGATCTCTGCCGTCCTTCGTTCGAGAAGATCCAGTTTTCTGTAATAGGCGCTTGGATTGAGGATATGTTCCATGTCCTCATTATCTGCGATACCAGTGTCGAGGTCAAACTCGTCTTCCTGGTCAGGGCGGGTGATATTCGTTTGCATTGAATGTGACTCATCATCATCAGATGGTTGAGATGATTTGCTTGTATTCGAATCAACTGGTTTCAGTACGGGTCGCTTCGGTTGCTGACTGCCAGAGTCCTTCCAGAGAGGCATGGATGGTGTTGTACTTGTACTCAGCTCCAGTTGTGTATCGTCCTCGAGGCTCTTTGGAAGGCTCTGTGAAGTTTCAAATCTCGTTGGAAGGCTCCGTAGAATTTCAAATCTCGTCGGAATAGGAGCTGTCACTTCAGGAAAGGATAAAGATTGTTGCGCCTCTCCATCCTCCAGAGGACTACGTGGCCGGTAATATCGATCGATGGGCTCCATGGCCCAAAGGGGCTCTATCTCTGCGCTATGTATTCCACTTGGCTCTGGTGGTGGCTCATTCTTATCTTCTTGCTGGGAAGTCGTTGGAAAAGGGTCGAAATCTTCATTTCGAAGACTAGATTCATTTCCACTGTGACTAGGCGATACTAAACAGTGCTCCATTACACACTGATAGAGTTTATCCCAGCCACGAACTGTGTTGGAACAGATAACACATCGGGGAGGACATCGCATTTGAACTCTACCTTGATTGAGCTTTCTTTGACGTAGAGTTCGATTGCATTCAAGGTAACTATCGTGGTTGAGGGCGAAATGCGTTGCCAATTCATCTGACGTCCGATAAATTGTGCTACACCCTATTTCGGGGCAGTGATACTCGTGAGAGCGTAAGTGCTGACTCAATAAATGAATCCTGAAGACTGGACGGGATTCATAAAAGGTAGACTCGACACCATCTTTGTCACATAACCAGCACCGGAATTTTTCTGGTTGATTCGAGGCCGTAGAAGTGACTGGCGCATAAATTTCACGCCGGGATTGAACGGAGCTTATATCAGGGCTCGTTACGTGAATGAGATTTTCAACCAGACCCAGCACCTCCTGCATTTCAAGCCTGAGGGTCTGAAGCCGAGGTGAAGACACTTGTCGTCCAAAGAGCAAGTCTGTGCCCATGAGCTGGAGGCTGTTACCCAGAGCGTAAAAGGGTTGAGAGCCTGCGGCATGCTCGAAACCCATCTCTGGGACTATGCCTAACTGGTGGGTTGGCATTTGATGATTGTCATCGTGAAGACTATCGAATGCAAGACTTGACAGCCTGCTGCTCGCGGAGTTAGGAGGACGAGACTTCTGATGGGCTCTGCGCGTTGAGATGCGATACGGCCCGCGGGCTGAGCTGGCACTCGACCTGGAACTTCCTGAAAACATGGACGGATTGCTGTTGGAACTGAGTGTTGGAACACCAGAGCTCCGAGATGGATAATCGGATATCAGCGAATAGGGTGTTTCCATGCCTTGCATGTGGTCATAGTCCAGGTGGTAATCCGCCAAGTGGCGAGGTAGTGGGGAGGGAATATCCATATGAAAGTCCTGTATTTCATCGTCTAGAGACGGGAAAGCAGAGTCCGATGGCTGCCATGGCCCTCCTGTCTCATCCTCGTCCATCTTGAGACGAACACATGCACAAAAGTCGAACACGATAGAGTCTGGTCCATTCCAAAGAATTCAAAGAGGATCCTCCACCTTTTGAATGTCGCTTATGGGTTGGGATTTCTCGATGACCCGGGTGCTGTCAGCTCTTTGTGGAGCTACTGGCATTGGTCCATCGTGTGACTCGGGGTGCATTAGCTGCCGATGAAGACCCAATGAAACCCACCAGCCACGACGCTTCGGGATGTCTGGATGGCAGTCAGCAGGGATATCCGATCATTCAGCCAATCCAAACGAATGACTCCAAGTCACCGACACGAGGCTGAGCCGCCTCGGGAGATCTCAAGAGGCCTCGAGGGTTTGCCTCAGAGAACGCCTCACACAGCCTCCTTTAAGACCAGAGGCTATGTTGGTTTGCAGGAGACATGTCACAATGTCACTCAATTCCAATTAGAGAGAGGCTGGCTAGGCTGTGGCCGTGCTCTATGACGTATAATATGCCTTGGTAGCTTTCGTAGCCACTTCTAGATCCTGGCTAGATATGGCTCATTTCATACGTCTCGTGGAACAGGGCTCACATCTCTGTTTATACAAAGGTACATTGCTTCTATCCAGTCACGAACTTCCAAGTATATGTACACATTAAAAATTGTTAAGAACAAGCTAGATTTCATGAAACCGAGACAAGGGCTTACCACCCCGCCTCTTGAATAACCAAAAAGGCTTGGAAGCTTGTTGATGGCTTGATAAGTACCTAGGATTGCTCTTTACACAGCATCGGCAGGTGACCCAAGCAAATTCACGGGGTATCTCAAAAAGAAACAAAGGGGATGCAAGAGCATTTACATGTAAACACGGGACTATGCAGAGGTCTTTCCAACTAGACTTCGCCTTCGCTGCCTAGGGATTCAATCTTCCTCGTCAGAGCACAGATTCGACACCCGTCGCCGATCTTGTCTCGCAAAAGACGTGCCGTGGTGACCTTCGGGCCTACTGTACGAGAGGCAGTTGACGTGATGGGATCCTCGGAAGGAGACGATGGACGCGGTGTGCGATCTGCGGACCGGTCTGGAGTACCAACACTGGATTGTTGTTGTGATCTTTCGGAGTGTAAATGTGAGAGGTGGAAAACATGTCCACAGGCAAATCCAATGAGAATCTCGCGTTCTGAGAAGAAAGAAAAAAGATCCGTTAGTCTCAATGAATTCACAAAGCGCGTCAACTAGCCGAGTCTGAACATACCGTTTGCTTGGAAGGGGGCGTTGCAGCCACCGCAACGCCCTTGGCCAGGACCTGCGCGCCGGGATGAGCCACTGGATACTGACATGCCATCATGACCTTGGCCATCAAGTTGGGTGATATTTGGTGGTTTCACCCCATCAACAGCCCCATCATCTTGGCTGATATCGAATTTGATTCCACGTCTTTGTCCTTTGCGCAGTGTATCCATTCCCAAGGCAACCTCGCTCTGCATGACTCGAGCAGCACCCTGGCTGATACTGGTCTGTAGATCATGTTCGCGGATCAACCGAGTAAGACCATCTCGTAGGCCCTCAATCTCTAATCCACTGGGAATTCGACGAACAAGTTTGATGGGATCAATTGATGTTCCAGCCTCGACAAGCAGCCCGTGAATGAACTTGGGTTTATCCATGGAATAATCGAGGAGATCTTCCCAGAGATCTGGGTCATCTTGTGACTTGGCGAATGAAATGGCCTGAGATACATCTTTCAAATCCGATAAGATCAGGTTCAAAGCCCGCTTTGTCTGGCCCATCTTCGACAAGAGATAAATCAACTCTTGAGTAAAGTGACGCTGTTCACAGATATGGGTGGCTGTCTCAAATGAATACGAGGTGCTAGTTTGCAAAAACTCCATCAACAGGGGACGGTCATAATCGGCAAAGACTTCGACAGCAGTGTCGGCAAAAGCATCAATGAGAGCTTTCCCTTCGTCGGCTGCGAGTTTGCTGGCTGCATCACGAGCATGAGCCCCGCGGCCTCGTCGAGGTTTTGAAGCGTCTTGTGGCAAGGCTTCACCGCGCCAAAGAGCACGAAGATAAAAGTAAAGGAACAAGATCCGGTTTGCAGCCCTGAGCTGGGATACGACCGTCTCAGGCCGGACAATGCCCGTGTAGGCTTCACTGACCAAGAGCTGTATTGGCTCTGCGGCCAGCTCTTCCAGTTCCGACTTTGGAGCTGACTTCATTTGCTCCTTGGTCACCCGAATCATGATGAAAGCAGGGATATCATCCGACACTGCGTCCACTAGATGGTGCTCCTTTACCAAGGCCATTGCTGCTTCCGCATCTTGAAGTCGAATGTAGCAGTGCAAAGCCTCGCGGTAATGACCCCCCATAAGATACAGCTTCGCAAGACAATCGGTCAGGATGACCCAATCTTCCGACTGGACTAGTATTGAATTCGACTTGAGTTGATCATCGATGGATAGAATCACGTTGTCCGGTTCGAATAGATCCGAAGGCCAGGAGTCAACTAGATCCTTAAATCTGCCAAGGTCCCGGGAGACATAGTGGTTGAGGATGAACTCATAGATCTCCGCAGGTAAGGAAGGGTGCAGGTCAGTGGGGATATGCGGGGTGATCTCATCCACCTTGTCTTTCTTGACGAAGACCCATGCCCAATGTTCCCAGCGGGGTGTATTGCGTAGGACTTTCCCACAAACTTCAGCGGCTTCTGACCACTTGCCTTGATCGACGAGTTGTTCAACCCAACGTTCCCCGATTTGAGCCTTTTCTTGATCAGAAGCAGAAGCTTTCGCCCGTCCAGCAGTAATGATGGAAGATCGATCATCAGCAAAGAAGTCTCCCAAACTACTATGCGATCTCAGACCAGGAGGAATGTCGGCCAAGTCTGAGACTGATCCTGCGGCTTCAGGGTGTTCATCAATGAGGTTCCATGCTTGCTCGTACTGGCCACGGGAATTCAACCAGGCAAGTCGGTCCGAAAGATCCCTCTTCATCGCAACAACACAGTCATACGGACTGTGGACGAATATCTTTGCACCCGGTGCTCCTGAGACATCTTGCACTTCCTTGGGAGGTGGCTCATCAATGGAGAGTTGTCTTGAAAGGAATGACGGCGGGGCTCTGGCGGAAACCCTGTCCCCGCTGCTAGTTGTACTGCGAATGCTAGCACCAGAGCTGAAGAGCCTGGCAGAATACATGGTAGCATCGAGAAGCCCATGCCCAATAGTGCCCAAGGCACCACGTTGGACAACTTGTCCCTCCGGCGTCTTCCATGGCGGTAAGACACTCAGATGATAGTCTGAGGATGTAAGGCCTTCGAATCGGCTGACAGACAGTGTGTCTGCACTAAGCTCTTCCTTTGTCTCGATATCGATGATCCGAAGTTCGGGCTCTAGGCTTCTCTGTCGGTGACGTCTCCCAGAAGTCTTGCCAGCACTCTCTGCAGAATCACCTTCCGCTTCAATGTGTGCAAGTACAACAAGAAGACGGGGGCTATACAAGGAGATGCCAGAAATCACACAGTCCGTTCGTAATCTAGATTTGGTAAGCTGAGAACTGAACTCCAAGAGCTCGTCGACTGTGCAACTTACATCGTAGAAACCTCTGCAGAGCCGTATCGTTGACCTTTTGACGACTTGCATGCTCGGTCAGGAAAGACGTCAATGACCCACACAGTACCTCCCCAGCCGACGACGAGCGTTTCGGACTTTTCTGCTGGCACCGTCGAAGCTGTCTGTTTTCCCGCGGTTGGGCTGCCGGGGTCTAAGTGATCATCATCATCTAAAGCGGATTCATCGATCCACTCTACCCGCGCTTTCCATACACTAGCCATTTCTTCCCATCCAGGCCCATTTGGACGATCAATGTGACTGATTCGCTTCCACGCAAATTCCGATTCGGACGAGTCGAGATGCAGATTGGATCGCATGATCTTGATACCTTCTTCATTCACCCAAGTGACATACTTTCCGGACAGAGACCATCGGACCGTACTAATGGCGCCTTCTCCGCTGTGCAAGATAGTATCTTTCCCACTGCTTGTACCCAGGCCCATAGATCCCAACCAGTTCGAAGCTGCGGCAGTTGCACCTCCCATGGTAGTCGCGTTGGAGCTCACACCAATACGGCCACCTGTAGTAAGAATCAATTCACCAGCTCGACCACCCGAAATGAACGACCGGTCATTCTTGTAGTCCGGAGAAAGCGCAACCGCTTGGACTGGCCGGCCAAAGTTCCGCTTGAGGATATCTTTGGGGTCGACTAGCGAGGCAATGCATACATTCCCATCAATTGAGGACGATGCAATGTGTATTGAGTTTGAAGGCGTTGCTGGTATGGGTACCTGCTGGCCCGACTTGGGATTCCCACGAATACTACCCGAGTTTGTTGATGTCCGTGTCGGGGGTCGTACATCTTCTGCAATGACTCTATTGGAGGCATCGACCTTGGTTTTTGGTAGAGGAGGGGGGAATGGCGATATAGATATGGATGTGACACTTGCTGAATGTGCATGGTATACGCGGAGGGGCTGCAGAAGAGGTAAAGAGAGGACATGCTGGACACGATGTATGAGCGCGTGCTTTAAGAGGGGTGCGACTGGGAGTTAACCACTTACAATAACGCCATTATGAGTCCCAACGATCTAGCGATGATTGTTAGTCAAGTTCTCTCAGGGTACCAAAAGACCGACTGACCATCTTATCTCCTGCGACTAGAAATGTGCTGGTCGCATCCCCGCTGCGATATACTGATCCCAGGTGCTTGGTGAGGTAAGCGTATTTGAGTCGTGGCTCCTCGTTCTCCTCGTCGGAATCCTCCTCTTCTTCGTCATCCTCTTCATCTACGTCGAGGTCATCACTCGCTGCACTATCGTGGTCGTCATCGCGATAGTCCTTCTCGTGTTCGTCAGGGTTGGCGCCCGAAGAGGATCGGCTTCGTGCAGGGGACGCATCAAGCTCCAGAGCGCCCTTTGCAGCGCCCTGGTTCACCGTTTTCACACCAGGCGCATCCATGGCGAGTCCTCGTAGCGCCTGGGAGCTCCAGGCGGGTTAGAATGAAGGTGCGACGAGCATAGAGCAGCTGGCGGGACCTGAATGGCTGCTTGGAGCTGGGGTTCAGGGTGGAGCAGAGATGACTAAGCGGCTGAGGCCCTCGGCTCCTGGAGGCGATGACATCGTCACAATCCCTGTCGCTCGACATTGCGCCCGCCATGTTTGCGAAAACATCACTCTGCTCTGCTTGCAAGCGACCAGTGGCTGCCCGCCTGCTGTGGTCTCCACAGACCCCATACCTACGTGCATCACCGGCATTGGGTCTCCCGCGCCGCAGGAACTTCTTCTCCTCCAAATCTTTCCTGGCGCAGAACCAGGTGAAAGAGAACGACGGGCCATTGGACAATCCAGATTCCCAGAAGCAGCGACGGCACAGCGGGAGACTACCTGCTGCTCCAACGTCACTGCGACGAGTTGCAGTAGAAGCGCAAAGATCGAAAGATGGTATTCTTTCGAAAGCCCAGCTCAAGGAGCAGGGCATTGACCAATCCAAGGTAAAGTCGCCCTTCGAGATCCATAATTACCAATACTGATACTTTGCTTTGTCTCTTTATAGACAGTCACTGCCTACGCCATAGCCGAACAATTCAATATACGCAAAGTACGAGAAATTCTACAAGAAAAGGGCTATGAGCCTGATCCGTTAGCCACGGGACTCTATCCGCACGTGGTTCACGTACAGATACCTATCGATTCCATCCGTCGGGTAGGAAACCCTTCAACTACCGATCTACCATCGGATGAGGTTGGCGATGTCTTTGTCTTTCCGTCTGGAACAGTAGTGGCATGGTCACTCCCGGATAGGTTCACCTCGTTCTTGGCGACGAGAACTCTACTTCCGGCTGCTGAAGGTGCTCATGTCGACAATTTGGAAACGGAAGATCTCGAATTTGTTGAGGATCCCCAGCGAGAAAACAGCAGCATCAAGGGCGACACCATCATTCTAGGCACTAGGTCGGGCGATCACGGACCGGAGAGACCGCGTGCAAATCAACAATCGGTTGACACGGTTCTAACCAAAGTCGCATTCTCGTCCGGCCTGGCACGAAGTACCAAGCTTGCAGTGCTGGAGAGTCTTTTATCAAACTATTTCGAATCCACCCGCACCATTCCCACTCTTCTCTCCCAGGGCTCGCGCCTTCCCTTTACTCGAGATTTTGTCCTTCGCAAGACGGGCCAGCTGCTCAGTTTTCGTGCACAGCTCAACCTTTACTCGGAGCTTACCGACTCTCTCCCGGACCTCTTTTGGGACAGTCGACATGAGCTCGGCTTGGAGGGATACTATGAGCAAGTGGGTCGAGCTCTCGACGTGGGAATCCGCATCAAGCTTCTGAATGAGAAGATGGATTATGCACAAGAGATCGCAAGTGTCCTCCGCGAGCGTCTGAGTGAAACCCATGGACTGCGGCTTGAATGGATCATTATTCTGCTCATTGCTGTTGAGGTGGGCTTCGAGGTGCTACGGTTGTGGAAGGAGAGGGTTCACGAGGAAGAAGAAAAAGTGCGCAAGCGATCATCTGAAGCTGAAAATGTGTAATGTTTCACATAAGTTCCGGTCATTCTGTACAATAGCATAGAAAATAAGATACCCCCCCTTCACTCTGTCTCCGATTTTGACTCTCGTCTCCACTGCGGAGCCTCCCATGGATCGTGACCAGATCACGGGGATGGGGCCGACGATCGCCTTAGTCATCGAAGCATGACCCATGGAGGCGATAACAACCTCAACCTCCATTCTACTCGCCTTCAACTTGTATTAAACCCAATAAACTCTATCTACAACCGCTTCGATATTGCTGGTTGAATCTCCAAGGTCTCAACAATTTCCAACTATGTGGAACCCGGCCCAGCAAGTCCTGGGGTTCCCAGGACCCCAGAAGATCCTCAAGACGTTGGGTACCTGGTGGATCTCGTCGGCTACAGATGAAAAGAAGCCGACCTTCGGAGCTTCTACGTCTTGTCCCCTCTCTGAAGTCAGCTGTCAAACAAAGTATCATGGCCAGGATACCTGTTGTTTTAATTACCCGGGTGGACAGATGCTGCAGACGCAGTTCTGGGATGCGGACCCCGCGGTTGGTCCCGATGACTCTTGGACTATCCACGGCTTGTGGTAAGCCCCCATCCTAGAGCATATCAAGAAGAGCTCTAACAAGCGGTAGGCCTGATCATTGCACCGGTGGTTTTGATCAATTCTGTGATTCCAAGCGGAGATATAGCAACATTTCGCTGATTCTAGTCGACTCTGGCCGCGGAGATTTGCTCGAGTACATGACCGAGTACTGGAAGGACTACCGCGGCGATGATGCTCACCTATGGCAACATGAATGGGAAAAGCACGGGACATGTGTCAGCACCCTGGAGACGCACTGCTACGAGGACTATATCCCCCAACAGGAGGTAGTAGACTATTTCGACAAATCCGTCGAGCTCTTCAAGGAGGTCCCTTCATACGAGGTTTGTTAACTTCACACTTTAACACATGATCATTGCTTAATTTGTGCGCAGTTCCTTGCAGCGGCTGGGATTCTTCCATCCCACAGCCAAACCTACGCACTTGCAGATGTCGAAGATGCGCTGGAGCGTGCGCACGGTGCTCCCGTCACGGTGCACTGTCGGCAGGGATCCCTTAGTGAAATCTGGTACCATTTCAACATTGCAGGAAGCCTACAAACTGGACGATTTGTTTCCGCACCTCCAGGTTCGATGGACTATTGTTCACATCTGTCACAGAAAAGCACTAACATTCCCGTAGATGGACAAACTTCCAACTGCCCCAGGCGAGGCATTCGTTATCCGCCCAAACGATCCGCACCTGAGCCGACAAAGACTACTACTCGTGGGTCGGAACCTACGCAAACAGGGGTTCCCTTTTCAGGAAAAGGAAACCTGATGGTATCCACCCTTAACCAGCAACGAGGCTGTATCATCAGCTACGGAACCTGGTACGCATCAGGAACATGCGCTACTTTCCGGGTGCAGAAGGCATCAGGTTCGTCTAGTTCACCTTTTTTGGTGTGGCAGTGGTTATTTCCTCGTTTAGTGCTAACTCAGACTTCACAGATGATTCGTTTACTCTGAAGTCTAGCAAGGGCCTCTGCGCATTTGAAGATGATTCATTGAAGTGTGACAGCCAGGTCAGCAAGCCAAGCGAGTTTACGGTATGCTTAGGACCCCAAGATGCTGCCCTTTGGTTACCATTGATCGCTAATCAAGTATCATAAAATAGGTTAAAGATGACAGGCTCGCATACCTTGGCAACACAACTTTTTACGCGGACAAGGCGCCTAAAGGTCATGTTCAAAGCGCCGTTTTTGCTTCTGAGGCAGAGCATCTCATCGAAATAGAGATTACCTGGAAGTCGAAGGCTGGGTCCTGATCGCATCTTCTGCGACTAACCCTGCCTATCACGGGCTTACATACCATAGCATTATCCCAACTATTTTGTGACATTATTAGATCCAGAGCTTGGACGGAGGTACACGTCTTATGTTTAGCTATATGCAGACAATACTCCTTAAAGAAGACCAACAGTCCCTCAAGTAGAATCGAGTAATTTAGTAATTTCAGATGGTACACAACATGGGTAGCGATTCTACATATCCCGCCAATAATTGATCCCGCGTGAGTTTTGGACCAGTACGTAGTGGATAGGGGTACCTCCTGCCTCGCTCCTCTTCCCTTCTCGAATTGGGGGATGTGTTTAAATGTTTGCTGGTTGTTGACAGTGGCAAGTCTGCGGTTGCCCTTCACTTTCTCCACTACGAAGCATCAATTCGAGCTAATACAATTATTTTCAATGTTAGTGGCGACTTCACAAAGGACAGGATATGAAGATAAAACTTACCAACTCAAGGTCTGCCAATGCCTGGCTGGGGCTCTGTTCAGGGTTAACCTTGCTAGCTGCAAGAGCCTGCCCCCATTGTCGAACTTCCGGCGGAACGCCCGTTCGCTCGTCCTCGATGTTATGAACATCTTCCTTACCGTCCGATGTTCGCACGGTGATCTTGGAATTCTCAACGCTGACACTGCCGTTTTCACATCCAATGGTCCATTCGGGGCCGACCAGGGTAGTTCCATTCGACAACTGGAAGGTACCTTGAATTCCAGTGTTGGCTTTGAGAATCGCATCAACCGTATCAACAGGAGGCAGATGCTCCTTGAGCAAAGTAGTGAAGGCGGACAATCGAGTGATGAAGGTATCAGGTCCAAGCAGGTAGCGTAATCCGGCTGTGTAGTGCACTCCCCCGTCGAGCAGGAAGCCACCCTGGTGTGTGGGAACCTTTCTCCAGTCAGTGTCTAGATCGACAAATATTAGCTTATCATAGACGTGAGGACCAGTCCAGGCAGTCTTACTGAAGAACTTTCCGTCTTGCTGGATATTTCCGTATACCTTGACGCGGAATCCAATAATCTTCCCCAGGCCCTGAACTTTCTCCCGAGCGTAGGTAAAGCTATTGAGGTAGCGGAAATTCTCTGCTACACTCCAAGTAGCTTTCTTCTGAGGCTCAATTTCCTCACGATACCACTTGATCAATGCCTCCGCCTCTGCGACGTTCTCGGCCACGGGCTTCTCCGACAATACATGTTTTCCTGCGGAAAGGGCCGCGCGGATATAAGATGCCTGAGAAGCGATGGGAAGTCTGAAGAATCTGTGAGCTCAGACCAGAACTTGTTGGCTGAAGGGGCACTCACGCTATAATGACTGCGTCGACATCCTCCCGGTTCAACACATCATTGTATCCCTGCTTCGAGTCCTCGGAATATAGCTCAATCTGCTTCCCCGAGGCCTTGGCAGTATCTTCTGCAGATCTCAGCGACCGAGAATAAACAGCCTTCAGGTCCAAGTGCTCCGAGGCCAGTACTGCGGGCTATAAAAGACGAATGAGTCGCCGTCTTCCACCATGATTTCCGGTCCAACATACCAAGTGCTCTTCTTTCGCCCAGATTCCTCCTCCGATCAATGCCACACCGAATGCCATTTTTGCTCCGCTGGGGATGACTGAATCAATTAGTAGGTCTTTTTCACCTTTAAGAGGGATACGAGAGGTTCTCAAGTGGGATGTTGCACGGTAGATAAACTCGTCTTTGAGTGCGGGGAAGGTTGTACGGCCAAAACGGAGATGCTCCGACGGCAAGCATCGGCGAACTCTTTCGACACGGAAGATCGATTCAGCCAAAAGTTTTTAGCCTAAACCGCTCACCGTTTGTGCAATTGATAGATACCAAGGCTGGCCAGAGCTCTGTAGCTAAAGTTTATATTGCAAGTCACTAGAACCAGACACGTCATTGAAGCCGTTAGAATGCTCATACTCTAGCCCCTGTTCAATGTTCGGCACGAAGGATCTGGTGAGTGTGAAAAGGGTCGATTCGGTACCACCGCTTGGGATGATGCCACTGTATCGGAAACAAAGGCGTGTCAAGGGTCCTATGCAAAAAAACCAACTGGCGAGTCCAAGTCCACCAAGAGCCGATCGCTACCCGAAGTGGGGACCTGCATTTCACCATCTGAACTCCCTCTACTCCGGAGTCGGCCACATCTAAGGAATCCTCACGGATTGATACAGTTCGCAACAGGACACTTTAATTGCAAAGATATCACACCCTCATTGTGTGCGTCATTGGAGCTCCCGAGATCCTGGTCTTCGAGACAAATTTCCCCGCCGCACAGTCAAGGCATACCTCCAAAGCAGAGTCAAATGCATGCCAATTCCTCAGTATCAAGGTCACCCGCATATTGATCTCAACAATGGCTGCAACCAATTCATCGCTCCTACCATCAGACATCATAGAGTCTCAATTGGCAACAATTGATCTCATAGCCGCAATGTACCCGTCTCCCGGAGAGCTGGAAATCCCTGAATCCACATCCGAGTGCATCGAAAAGCTGCGCGACTGGTGTCAGGACCCAACATCCACACCATCCAAGATCCCCACAAGCATATCTCTTACTGTCTGCCTACCCATCACAGATGGAGACAAGACGATACAAGTCAACATCTCAGTCCCACTACAATCGGAGAGTCAACGGCCCATCGACCAGCCCCCGCCATTAGGATATTCCCTTCGACAGCCGGACTGGATGTCCAAAGCCGAAGTGGCAGAACTTGCCTCCTCAATGCCAAAAGATGATGCACTAGAAGCTTTCGAATACATTCAAGCGGAATCCGCCCGCTTTCTCGAGCTCAAGCAAAGCCAAGCTCTGGCATCAGAGGGAATGAACACGGATGCCCGCTCCCGCGGCCCACTTGTAAGAGTGTGGTTCTACTTCCCTTCTCTCTCCACTCGGAAAAAGAGAGACGACATGGTCAATCTTGCACCCGGGTATTCCCTGACGGGCTTCGTACTTGCGGGAAAACCGGGTGTACTATGTCTCGAGGGTCTGTCACCGGATATCGATGCTTATATGAGTTTCATCAAGACACATTCCTGGGGTGATATTCCGAGTCATCAAAAGAAAGTCAGTGAACGGTTCCGGGAGACGGAGGGGGTTCAAAGGGTATTCCCGGGGATGGAAGAGATTACAGACTCGTTGGGGGAACGAGGTGGGCAACAGGCTAATCGGGGGGATATGCAAGCATTGGAGGCCTGGCTTGGGAGTAAAGGGTTGCAAAATGCATTTGAGAAGGTCATATTCTAGATACTTTGGCACGGTGGAGAGTTATGAATTCAATCCGAGGCTCCTAATCCTGATCGATTCTTTTATAACGATTTCTTTAATGTAGTGGGTAGATGGCTGCGTTGGCACTATTCTCAATTGAAGATTTGCCAGGGGGGGAAATGGAAGACAAGTCTTCACAGCAATCTACGAGGAGATTGAATATGGATGAGGAGTGACAGTAAACTGTAATTGGTCGCACATTTGCCAACAGGAAAAACAAAAAGTCTAAGATACAAGCTAACAATATCAAGCACGCTTCGCTACAGCAACTGAAAAAATACGCCGGGGAAGTCTGCCCGCATATAGCTAGCTACAGGCAATTCCATTCAGAACCCATGAAGTACAAATCAAATGGTAAGGAGGGGAAGGGCATTAAGGGAGAGCGAAACAAAAAGAAGCGTGCCGTAAGGCAATCTAACAATCCCAGCAGTCCCAAAAGTAGCAAGAAAGCCACCGGGGAAGAAGAAGAAAAAAAACACCATGTTCGAAAATAGGAATGTGAAACGGAAGAGGGAATACAAATAATTCAGGTGGGTAAGTGGGCAAACAGATATGGGGGGGATGAGAAAAAGCAATGGTCAGTACTCCCAGGACCCAAGTTACACCAGAAAGATTCCCGAACCCCTTCCTGAGAAGGGATATTGTCATGTGCGCTAAAGTTTGAATGTGCAGGGGAAGAATATCGTATCCCGAGAGAACCAGCAAAGAAAGCCGAGTCGGTGGGCGTCCCGAAAAGGAGGAGTCGCGTGTTTAATCGTGCATCGTGAGATCGTACAAGCTCGTATCGTGTCATCGCAGAATTGCGCCGCGCCAGAAAGAAGAAAAAAAGGTAGTCACATCGTCTAAGTCATGCTTTTGGTCGAGAACATAAAACGTCGCAGCGGAGGATTATAGGCCACCATCAAGGATCAACCAGGAACTCATTGGAGAGCGAGTCAATTTCCGAATAGGGATCGTCCAGGGGGTTGAGGATAGAGAAACTCTTCTCGGGCATGTCGGTGTAGAATGATGAGGTGGGGAAATCGGACGAATCCACGTAAGAGTAAGTGTTGGAGAAACTGGACAGAGCCTGGGTGGTGATGTTACCGAACTCTTCCTGCACTTGCTCCGAAGGATCTTGAGTCATAAAGAAATCAACCTCTGAGCCTACAGAGGACTCGGCCAGGGTAGGTGGGCTGTGCGGCGAAGACATATCGTGAGGAGAAAGGGCAGGGTCACTGTAGAGATACTCCTGAGAAGAGGATGTTCCCATCATATTTGGGTTGAACTGAGCGATGGCTTGCTCATATCGGGCGTGAGCCATTTGTGGAGGCGACAGAGGTGGAAGCAGATCGTCTTCGAATTGGGACGTGAAGGAGTTTCCAGCTGGCAGTGGCGACGGGGCATCATTGAGACTAGCACCGGGGGAGGTAGGCGGCGTGAACGAGGACAGGCTGTTGGATGGAGCATAGTTGGGCGATGCAAAAACGGGGGCCTCCTGAAGAAGAGCGCCCTCGGTCTTGATTGGTGTGAAGGACTCGGTCTTCTGGGCAACGCGTTGACGGGTACGGGTGGACTTGGTCTGACGGGTTTCGATATCGGGTCGGTTCTTCTTGGGTGGCCGACCACGTCTGGTGGTCTTCAAGGTATGCCCATTGTAACCTCCAACGCACATATCACGCTGGCGGTGGCGGGTCAAAGCATCTTGACGAGCGAAACTAGCACCACAGCGGCAGGCAAACGGCTTCTTGCCAGTGTGAGTCTTCAGGTGGCGCTTAAGATCGTGACCTCGAACAAACTTCTTATCGCAAACGTCACACTTGTAGGGCCGGTCATCGAGATGGGTCTGCACATGGGACTTGATGTTCTCTTTGCGACCGAAGCGACAATTCTCGCAATCGTGCCACAAGCAAACCCACTTTCCGTCCTTGGGGTCGGGGCCGGAGATGTACTTGTTGATCTCGTCATTAGAGACACCCGTCTCTCGAACCGATGCCTTGACACGAGCATCTAGGTCGAAATCATCAATAGGCTCGGCCTCGAAGTCGGATCCTGATGGCATGAGCGAGGACTCGATCGAGTCGGCGCGCTCTTGACGGCCACCCAGAGAAGGGGTCTCGGCGACATCAGAAAGGCCACAGGAGCCAGGGGAGGGCATCGCGGCCAGTTCGGCGAAGGCGACAGAGGGCGATTCAGCGGGGGAAGGGATATGATGCTTGAGCTGCACGGGACTAGCCAGAGAGGCGCCCTGGTAGGACTGGGCTCTCTGCATTTCGGAGCTAACTGGGGTACGGGGGATTGAAAAGCTTTGGGACTTGGTGGGGGTCTGGTCATTGCTGTACATGGTAAAATCAAAGGATCCCTTCATCGGGGTAGACTCGGGGGTAAGGGGGGAAGTGTCTGTCAAACGAAATTAGTTGCCAATTCACGTATTGAATAGTGAGGATCTTACAAGAAAGATAAGGGTTCATCTTGGGGGAAATACCCTCTGGTTGAACAGAGAGTGGCTGCATCACTCGAGGGTATCCGGTGGCCTGCTCCCTTTGCATCATTGAGAGATTACGCTCCTGGCGCATACGATGGAGGGCGCTCTGTAACGAAGCATTCTTGTCGGAGCTTTCACTAGCGGATCTCGAAAGAGCGGGGGCGATTGTTGTTGCTGAGGTACTTGAGGCAGCGGACGCCGAGTATAGACCCTGCAGTTCCTCTTGGCTCCACATTGGTGATGACTGATATTGATAGTGTTGTTGCGGCACAGGGAATCCGTTTTGGATGAAAGACTGTTCTGATCGTGAAATGTAGGCGGGGAACTGTTGCGCATTCCGTGCCTGTTGAGGAAGACCTGCTGATTTTGCGTTAAAGAAGTCTCGAAGCTCCGGGACTGTTTTTGAGGCATGTCGTCGGTCAACTGCGGGAATCTGTTGACCGTACGAGCCGTAATCCATGGTCTGTCCCCGGCGATGCGTTCGGCGGGTTGGGATTGCAGACATGGCTTGCGGTGCGATTGCAGCGTCAAAGGGTGCTGGAGTCGAGAGTTGACGGCGGTGGTGACCGGGTCGCAGCGACGTTGAGTTGGTGGAAATCATGGCTATCCAGCCTCTCGGTGATCACGGCCCTGTCACGGTGTTAGTCTGTGAACACGACTTAATCAACGCAACAACTAAAACAAAGAAGCCGAAAGGGAAATTGACGCTAGAGCCTCAAGCAGAGAACTTCAGCTGTCAATAGCGATATGTTTTTTAAGTAGATTTGTGTATGCTTTTTGTAGTGTAAGAGTATCACCGACGCCCTGCAAGCAGTAATGGCAGTCTCGTCAAAGGTCCAAAGTTGCTGAACTTGAAGGGTTGAAGAGAAGAGCAGGAATGAAACTCAATAAGTGTAAAGGTCCGGACCTTGAAGCGGGCCAGTGAGCGCATTGGCGATCTATCAATTACACCCACGGTTCCATCAACAAGCGGCGTGTTGGCATGGCAACGCGCTGTGATGGGAGTCTGGGAAACCAGCCGCAGGACTAAATGTGACCAAGGGCGGGCCCACTTCTGCCCACTTGAACGATCATCCTATCTTTCGTATCTCAGATCCAGGTCTCGCAGATAGACTCGCTGTTTGAAGGTGTCCCTGGCTTCCCATCATCTCCCTACCCGCCGGCTCTGCAAGGGCTCTCCATCGTACTGTGAGGAGAGCGGTCATCGCCTCGTCCCTGGAGTAGGGGTGAGGCCTCCTAGTATAGTCGCCATGGAGATATCCCTTCTTGGCCAATAGTAAAGAGCCGATCTGAGCTGAAATTTAGCTTCTCGGGCTTTTTAGGCGCTGATTCCTTGTTGTGGCCGTGATGCGGAACGATGTCATCTGTGGCCTGAGGCTGTAAGGCTCTAAGGCCATGGGGCTGGCCATCGGCTTTCTGATCATGTGATTTGGTGCTTCTTTCATCCGTTCGGATCTCGGGCTATCTTTAATCCACGTTGCCCGCGCTAGTCCTCAGATGGTCATATTAGACGACACGTGACCACACAACGATTTTAACCGTCAACCGAGTTCCACCCACACAGAATTTCTTCCATCTTGCAAGGTTAAGGAAGACAACTTGTCGAGGTGAGTTGGACGCCCCAACACCCATGCGCTTCAGCACTAGAGATGTCGAAAGAAAATGCCACCATTATGCGCTCACTTCGGCCGACGTTCTCTTTTGCTCGCGCGCACTGAAATTTCAAATTCCAGCTGCTAACCTCCCACCGCCAGGCCTTCATCAAGATGCAGATCTTCGTCAAGACCCTTACGGGTAAGACTATCACCCTTGAGGTGGAGTCCTCGGACACCATCGACAACGTCAAGTCCAAGATCCAGGGTAAGAACAACCTTCTCTCCGATACCAGAAATTCCAACATCGAGACTAATCAGAACGTCCCCCGCATAGATAAGGAGGGTATCCCCCCTGACCAGCAGCGCCTGATCTTCGCTGGCAAGCAGCTCGAGGATGGCCGCACTCTTTCGGACTACAACATCCAGAAGGAGTCCACCCTTCACCTCGTGCTCCGCCTGCGTGGTGGTGGCAAGAAGCGCAAGAAGAAGGTCTACACCACCCCTAAGAAGATCAAGCACAAGCACAAGAAGACCAAGTTGGCCATCCTGAAGTACTACAAGGTTGACGGCGATGGCAAGATTGAGCGTCTGCGCCGCGAGTGCCCCTCCCCCGAGGTATGTTACAAATCCGACGGAAGACTTTGGAAAGACGAGCGCAATGACTAATACTTTTCCTAGTGCGGTGCCGGTATCTTCATGGCTGCCATGCACAACCGTCAGTACTGCGGCAAGTGCCACCTCACCTACGTCTTCGACGAGTCCAAGTAAATGGACCCCGTCTAACCGGGAGGTTTCTGTTATCGAGTTCGGGCATGGGTTATTCTAGGCATGATACGAGTTATGGAAATCTCACGATAGATGATACGGTTGAAGGGCACCTACCTTAGGAACCTTGACTACTGTGAATACAAAAAAAACTCACACCAAAACCTGGCTTCTGCCAATCTTGATTGTTCTGCTGTAATATGTAAACGATAGACTGCATGCACTATGCCTTTGTGTAAGGGGACGAAAGCCCAGAGCCACCACGGACCAGTTGGCCACGGTCCGGACCGCTTTCATGCATGACTCCTCGCCGTCATACATCGATCGCCGGATGGATCTCATCTACTTCATCTACTTACTGGCCGGGAAACCCAGCCCGCAAGTTATCATACTTACTCTCGGGATAATCGAGAGCATTTTCCGTATGCTCCAATGCGCCGACGCCACCGACGCCGTCCACGAAAGTGCCGATCAGACTGCCCTGTGCAGGATCGCCCTCCTTGCCTCCCTTGTCACCGCTACTCTCCCACCACATACCACCTCCGAGCTGCCGGTGCTTGACAAATGCAGCCTTTCTCTGGCTCATCTCGACAGTATCGTACGAGACCATGGTGCGCGAGTTATGATCGTAGCTCCAGGATGCGTCCGTCTCCGTATCATTATGCTCCGTAGCGCCGGGACGTGGCAGGGCCTTGTAATCCCAGACCCCGTTCTCCCAGCTACCCTGGCCCACGCCGTTGTATGGCGCGCCCGGGCCGTCGGTATTCTCAAATGCACGACCGTACAGCGGCATGCCTAGAACCATCTTCTGGGGTGGCACCCCATCCACATTGATGTAGTGCTCGAGCGCAGTGATGGTCGAGAATGGCGTCGAGGTTGGGTTCGACTTTGACGGGAAGACATTGGCCTGGTGGCCGGCATTGCGGTCCCAGCTGCCGGCATAGTCGTATGCCATGAGGTTGTAGAAGTCCAGCAGGGGCGTCATGTCACGCAGCTTGAGCTTGGAGAAATTGCTGGGCCCTGCAGGGCAAGCAATGGAAAGATAGAACTTGCGGTGTGGACCGGCGGCTCTATCGAGACTCTATTGCGTGGAAATCAGTCATGAAGCCCATGAAAGAATGGGAAGGGATAAGAATAATACCTCGCGGCATGCTCGCAACAGTTCGACCAGGTTTTGAGCTTGATGCTCATCTAGGCATTGTGTAAGGGATCAGCTTTTTCCGTTGAGAGAAGTGTTTTGTTTCCGTTGAGCCTACCTTGGGGGTACTCCCAATCAATATCAATCCCTGCATGTATCAGTGAGTCAAAGTCCCATTTCACTGTCTTTGAGTACATGTAACATACCATCAAGGCCAAGATCAAGAACGAGTTGGGTAGCGGACTCGGCAAACTTCGCCCGGCCTTCCGGGGTGCTCGCAGGGACAGCAAAGTTGGCAGAGTATGTCCAGCCACCAATGGAGACTAGGACCTTCAGCTTGCGATGTTGCTTCTTCAGCAGGAATAGTTGCTTGATGCAACCGTAGACATTGTTGCCGGTATCATTCCACGAATCACTTGGGTAGTGCTTCTCGACATCAGACCAGCTGTCGGTCAAGTAACTGCAAACACGCCATCAGCTCTGTGTTTTGATACGGAATAATTGAATGGCCCACGTACACTTCCCCAGTCTCCGCATTGATATTGGCAAATGCGTAGAGCACATGCGTCAGCTTGTCGGCGGGCAGATCTTGTGGATTGTAGTTGCGCCCGTAGATGGCCTGCATCGTGGGGTTAGCACAGATCATCCTTCAGCGTGGCGACGGAGGCGTTCGGGCGTAGTATCAAAAATAGTGGGGTAATATATCGAGAAATGACAAGTAGCCTTGGATAATAAGCCAAGTATTCAAAGAGAACATACCCAGTTAACAAAGTAAGCAACAGATTTCAATCCAGTCGACATGGTCGGTTCAGGAATGGTTGCAGAGGGAAAAGATAAATATTGCACAAGGACAGCCACAAATACCACAAAAGCAGCGAGCAATACAATGGGCCGGAGATGGAAAGCCACAATCAACGATGGCTGCAGTAATCAAGTTCCCAAGGGTTGTCAAATCCGAGGCAAGCAGGTCCTGGATCTGATAAATGATAAAATGGAGGGTACCTAATGTCGTGGCCTAACTGTTAGCGGGGCTTTGTACCTGCCTGGTTAAAAATAACGGACCCCGACGACGTCATTGGTCAGAGCGCAGTGGCTGTGTTACCAAATGTGGCTAGGGACTCGGCGCTTCCGTACCTGTGGCTGAAGAATGTATAAATTTAGAGATCAACAAACTACAGTTGACAACGTATTTGGGGGCTTGACTGAGATCTCAGACAGCTTGCAACAAGGATCAATCAAATCAAGGCCCCCAGATTGCCATTCTTATAGACACTCACACAAACTCATGGAACTGTGCAGCGTGACATCTCCACCTGCGTAAGGGTTTCCGTACGACATGAGAGATCAGTCATGCTGGCTGCAGATCTTTCAAAATACCCTCAAGCTAGCACTCTCGTTGGTAGAAATATGTCTCTCTAATTTCTAGAGTATGCAGTTGAGGAGACCCAATCGATTGTGATAGCTCGGCATTTTAATGCCGAGAGAGTGTTTCGAGCAACTTCTTTTGCATTCAGCATAGAGTTTATTAAGGCCACGAGAGCTATCATTCTTGAGCCTGTAACTCTGGAGTCTGACTTATTGGAATGATCACGAGGGTACAAGATGTATGACCTCAATGAAAGACCTTTTTCCCCTCGATTTTCGAGTAGAACACCCTGAACAAATAATCCGTTTGGGCTGTGAATCTGCATAAGCTCGCAGTCTAAAGAACTATTATTGACGGTCTATTTCAACACCACCGGGCAGCTAATCAGGTGACAGCAATCACACTAAGCAAGTGACTGTTTGGGCAACGTGTTAGAGTATTCTCGCATTCAATCTCGAGGGCGACATTTTGAAGATGGGCGTGCGGAGAGAAGCGCAAATGACTAGATGAAGGCTATCGGAGTGAATCAAATTTGACAGATTCAAAAGAGGACATATCTCATGTAACAACTTCAGTAGAAAGACTGACGGCCACATGTCGAATTGTGACCTCGGCCGTGAGCTATCGCCCTGCAAGAAGCGAGACCCGCGAGATTTGGCAATCGGCACTTAGTCCCAAGAATCATGTATACACTGCCGATAGGGAGAAAAGAAAGATACAGGGAAACAAGTCAAACAAGTCCACTCGATGGTCGACCACGAAGTACGACCTTTCTTCAGTCCAAAGTAGGAAATACCCAAAGACGATACCACCGGTGGTGGAGCATAGTCGGACTCGATGATGGAAGGCACATTTTAATCATACAATAGTCACTCAACAAAAAGAAACAAAAAAAAAAACTACAAAATTAAAGGAGACCCGCTTAACAAAAGAACTAGTACACACTACACACCGTTGAGACGATCTAATAACCTCAGGCAACACATCCCAGCTGAAACGGCCCCATCCACAAGCGAAGACAAAGGCTTGACAGGGTAGGAATCAATCCGAGCACCTAATGACGAGTCTCCACAAAGTCGTTATAAGGTTAAACGGGGACAGAAGGAAGAAAGAAAATTTTATTCCTTGAAAATCAGGAAACCAAAAAGAATAAAGGGGAAAATAAAAATAAATAAAAATAAAAAGGCGAAGACAAGCGACCAACACCAGCTGAACCTGAGCCGACAGACGCCCAATCTCGACATTCATTGGCAAAGCGCCCGGCAGACTAACATCTTAGCCTCCCCGGAAATCCTCCACCCAGATCCAACCCAACCCGGTCTGGGTTTCCCACAATGCATCGGCCCCTCAGTGGTTCCTGCTCCCTTCTTTCCAATTTCTGGTTATTGTTCGCTGTCAAAGTCGCCATAACGGTTTGTTTGAGATATTCGCCACGATGGAGTCTGGTCTCCTAGATCTTGTGCAGAACCCCCAAATCTCCATCGAATCCACTCCACGCTAGTCCCATGCAACCCATCCTATCTTCGGGAACCGACGAACCTACCTAGACTGGCTCAATGCAGCAAGTCGTAACCCCCCAATATCGTCATAGTCTGGACTATCTGGCCGTCGCTAACCCTCATCGGTCAATCTAATTGGATACCTTCGGGCCCGTTGGACTGTTGGAGACCGTAGTATGTAGTCAGTGGCTGGACTCCATTACTTACACCGAGACACAACTGCCGTATCGACTGCACGGTTACCTGCACAGACATCATTGTGGTCCCTAGTGCTCTCCGCTGGCTCCTCCTGGCTCCTCCTGGCTCCTCCCTCTCAGCTGGTATGTCTGCCTCGGGACCCAGGTGTCTGGATCTCGGTCTGTGTGAATTGTCCAATTGTAGTTCAACGCAGCTGGATGCAAGGGTCCTGGGTTTCCCCAATACTCCTCTACGTTCCTAGCGCCTTGCCCTCGGCTTCTATCTCTATTTCGAAGCATGTACAGAGTATCACTGCGGTTGAGCTCGGTGGTGTCACGGTGGAGCCTGTTAGGGTTGTAGCTCGCTCCTCCCATTCTTGACCCCGTTCCCGTCGGAAGAGGCAGTGAGTGACCCTCCCACGCTGGACCTTAAGGTATAGTTGGGTAGTAAATAGGTTTAGTGGCCCCGTGCATACATTGAGCCCGTTTCAGGATGTGACAAGCGGCTATGCATTGGGATTGCGCCCTAGGGATGGATGAAGCAAGAGATCTGCTCTTTACACATACACAATAATATTAAAAATGCAAACTCAATAGCCCGAACGCCCAAGCAAATGTATCAGAGATGAAAATGGTTCCAATGAAACGGGGTAGAAACATAGAACATCATAGACAAAAACAAAAACATGCCCATAAACAAGACATCAGGGTATATTGTCGCCATGCTCAACAAGTTCAACAAAAACCCAAACTTGCTTTTTTTTTCAATTCTTCTCTGGCCGGGCTTGCGACCTGCGCCATGCCCGCCAAAGCAATGTTAATCCGAAGAAACAAGGATAGAAGGTCTCGCATGCCCTTCAACATAGAGAGAATCGTACAATTGTCCCAGACACCAGCCAGCTAGGAGCTGAATAATTAGCAGCTCAATTATATGCCGGTTCCAAGTCCCTACCGACCCGAAATCCAGCGCAGCATCGTAGCCAAGGACGGATCGTCATCAAGCCAATGACCTGCTCGCAGGTCGGCAGCTCGAAGATCAGCGACAACGTGCTGGTCGGTGACACGACCCAATTCCTGTTGGAGCGTAACGTGTGCGGCTTTCAAGGCTGGCGCATGTGCCGACGTTGGTCGTTGGCCGCGGAGGATATTCGCCCGAGTCATGGTCCATCGTCGTGCTGCCGCAGCTCGGAGGTAGATCTTATGTGCCTGGAATCGGCGAGCGCTGCTATCGGTGATAACCCTAGAGAGAAGGGGTTTGCATAAGTATCTGGGCTATTCAGGCGAGCAATTGGGGTGCAATTGATTTCCATTACACCGTGGGAAAGGCGGATGTGTACCTTTGAAGCTCTGCTTTCTCCGTTTCTGCGTTCCCTCTCCCTGTCATCGGGCATGGCTGATAGTTGGCGCTGAGTAGACGTTGAGCGGCCGCGTGACACTCTCGGAGTACAGTGAATCCTTCTTCGTAGTATTCCTCGGGAGAAGCGTCGACTTGCTGCTGAGAGATGTGCAACAGCAATGTTCGATAGTCGTTGATCAGTTCGGCCACTCGCACTGCGCGGGCCTGGTTGACTGTGTTCCAATTGCATAGTAAGTACCCGAGGTCGTGGCATTGAGTCAATTGGAGAATGTGGGAGATCAGTAACTGCTTACGTCCGTCTGCCATTGAGTATCGAGTGGTTGTGGAGCGTCTTGTAGTTCGTTATTAGAGGGAGAGTATAGAGCGATGAAGAGAGCGTAAGGCGTCAATTTAACCCCGTGAGAACGATATCAAGAAAGACCAATTAGATGATTGAACGTTGGAACTTCAGGTAAGAGCTTAAGAAGAGAGGCGCTCAACGTGCTGTAACGGCTGTGGGGGAGGAAAAGGAAGAAACGAAGCGAACTTTATAATGTAGAAATAAAGAAGGAGAAATAGAAGAAGAGAGCTCCGAGTCTCCTCCCTATTCCATACATGACAATGTACCATTTCTGGAATAGGAAGTCCCAGTCAAGCAAGCGCGAAGGCCTGTAAAAAGAAAAATAAATTAAAAATCAATCATCACGGAAAACCAATCAGAGTCAGAACTTAGAATTCACTACTCTAGTCAATGAAGTAGCGGGGGACAAAAATTAATCGCAAAATTGTAAAGAGCAAGCATTAGTAAAATAAAACAAATAATAATAAAGATCCAAAAGAGGATGGTCTGCCCGTGACAGCGTGGATTGAACGACAGGAGGATCATCGGCCATGCATGACAGGAAGCGCCAATAGAAGATCAAATCTAGGGATTTAGGAACGTCAGTCCAGGAGCCAGCTAGAACCTCATGCACAGGTGGATCGGGCCTAGCTCCCGAGAAACCGTCCCACCGGCAGAGATACGAGTAGACTACTGTACGCTGTACGCTGTATGGAGACCGTCCCCATTACTTGGTCTGAAGTGGAGTATACATTACTGGATGGGTACAGTGGTCCGACCAACTTGAATTGATCGTGGTTCCCACAAGAATCATACTCGTACACAACTAGCTTGATGCAATCGTGGGTTTGAGATTTATCATCGAGTTAGTACAGTATAATCAGTAGCTTGGATACATACAGAATTGGACATTATGACGACTGCGGGACCGAGTAGCACGGAGTAGACCGAATCGATTTAGATTGTCGTCATAAACACTAACTCAGTTACTCTGTACCGGGTATATCTCATATCTCATATCTCATATTTCATATTTCATATTCCATGAAAATCCCGGGCAAAGAGAAAAGAGAAAGACCTCGTTCCAAGGACTGATTGGGTGCGCACTGGGCGAAACCCCCCAGTGGAGACGAAAAGAACTTTGAAACTTTGACAGGGAAAGCGGACGTGCACCATGGACCTCATGGCTCGTGGGACCCCTGTCAGCTATCGTGAACCTGGCCCGGTAGTTGATCTGGACCTATAATTGACCAGAATAGAGGGAATCGTTATCCACTGCCCCAAAGAAAAGGACGGACCTGCATGATCGGATCCCCCGAGCGGATGTGGGCTACAGTAAGTAAAAATAACCACACGCACGACGACTCACCCCGACCAAAGCCGAGGATTCCCAGGCAAAAGATTGGCGCAGTCCCGGCTCGTCATTTTTCATGGGCCATGCACTAGGTTCATTTAGATCCCGATTTACTACTAGTTCGATGCCTCAGCTCGATATGCCAACTTAACTATCAAGATTAATAGATTAATAGTTCGGACCCTGCCTCCCCAGCCACGGCCCGTGCTGAGCCACATATGGCGTCCTGTGGCGCTTACACGACACAGCTGAAGCGTACGTCTCTCCTTGCCGACCGAACAATAAACGAGATACTGTCGTGTTTCTGTATAGATTCGATGGATCCGGTGAACGTGGGCATGTGTGATCCATCATGCCCTCTCCTCCCTCCCTCTTTCTCTCTCCACACCGGTGGCGATAAATCGTGCCCCACCTGGCTTGCTGAAGCTGAGGTGATCCCTAGCCGGGCGATTTACTGAGGTCCCCTCGCTACTGGACTAGGAAAACGCCAAGCATATACCGAGTTGGCGTCCCAGCGTCTCCCAGTTACACATTTACAATGTAGCTCTGCAGCATAACAGCAGCACGACAGCATCGTTGGCCGGCTCTGGAAGCATTGTGCATATGAAGTATGGGCCAAAACTCGAGATTGTTGCAGGGAAAGGGAGAGAAAAGAGGCAAATTGGGGGCCATTCCAGTTGTCATTCACAGATTCATTGGATCTTTCTCGAGAACAAGTAGGGAAAAGGGTGAAAAATAGAATAATCACCATCATCATTACTGAAGCAGATCCTCTACCCCTGCCGGACTCATTCGGTCAATGTCTTGACCCATCTGTATGTCGCCTTCCATCAACCAGTCCGTCCATGCTACAGGACAAGGTCCGTTCAGTCCTTCTCTGCTATGGCCTGCAGCCGTTCGTCAATCTCCTCCTCCGTCAGGGCCCGGAACTCTGTGGTGGTGCCCTCCTTGCCATCCGTCCGGGGGCCACCAACAATGCCAACCTCCAGCTCGTGTTTTTTAAAGTCAACACTCAGCACGTTGCTCAACGCCGTGATACCCAGCTCCACAACTTCCTCCCAGCTGCCGGGTGCCGCATCCTTGTTCTTCAGCTTCTTCTCCAGGTAGTTCTGCGCCTCCTGCTGTTTGGGGCCCGAGGAAGTCGCCTTGTATCCAACGAAGTAACCAGCCGGGTCACACTTGTAGAGCTGAGGGCCGTTCTCATCGTCGACCGAGATCAGGGTCATGGCCACACCGAGTGGTCGCATATAGGCCTAGCAAGCAAAAGAGAGAGAGGATTGTTAGCCAACGCAGTTCCCCGAGTGAGTCCCAGAAGAAAGAACGGAATGTCCTGAGGTTCATTGCGTGGGTGGTGTCTTGGGTTACATACTCGTTGTGTGTAGACCTGGTTGATATTTGCCAATCGCTTCGCCAGCACATCGCAGGGCATCTCATAACCGAACTTGTAACGGAACTCGGCAGCCTCGCCACGAGCCCGGTCGACGGAGGCACGGGCATCTGCTATCGAGCCAGTCATCACGCAGCCGACGGAGGGCGAGATCTTGAAGACATGTGAGACGGAGGAAGGGTCGATGAGTTTGTCCTTTCGAGTCCAGTAGGTTAGTCTCTAACAGGGACCGGAAGGGGCCATCATATCGATTGCGGGTATCATCCTTACAGCCACTTTCTTCTGGGAGACGACGATAGCACAGTCCTTCCCCCTCACACCGATGGAGGTGATGTTCGCAGAGGTGATAGCCTTGAAGGCATATTCTGGCGGCAGGTTGGTCAGCGGTCATGATGATGGGAACGCCGAGCAGTCGACGAGTGACCACGACTGGGAATTCGAATGGGAGGGCTCATATTACGTACCAACTTGGTACAAACGACCCTGGTCGGAGAAGATAGTGATATGTCTGTCGTAGCCTGCGCTTCCTAGTGCGGAGAAGATGGGAGGTTAGTCGGTGTTGAGGTCATGGGGGTTGACCGACATGGCCAGCATCGAGATCGCCGTGACAGCTCATACCGGACATTATGGCGGTATCTGAATTCTTCTATATGGAAATGGGTGAGATGTCAGGATTGAGGGAAATGGCGGCGTATGGAAGGATGATGGGACGTGCAAATGCTAGTGACGCGTGCCAGCGGTGCCTAAGCCGAAGCTCGAGCTTGAGCTTCAGCGCTCTTCACCGCCTTTGTCAATGATCAACCCGCCTCAGGTACAAAGTAGGCCCTAGAGTTAGATACGGAATCTGAGTGAGAGTCTTAACGTAATTTCAACTCTGTGTATCATGTATTTCTATTCAGTGTGATTCTTCAGCCGGGCGTCATATGTAAACGACGACACACTTTAGCAACTTGGGGAAAGATACCATATACAACCAGGATGGCCATCCGAAACCGAATCTTCAATTGACTGCAAGTGTCACCCAATATGGTGAACTTCTACTGGCTAGGTGTCAACAACCTCACATTAGCTGCTTCATGTCCAGAGGCACCTCGTACTCAATACAAAATCGATAAGATACACTGTCAGAACTATCATCATATGCCAATTCCCGTCTAGACACTAGAGTATGATACATCATCATGGTATAAGGTTGGTAATATGCAAGGAAAACGATAACACCCAAGTAATAAACACTCATGCAAGCCACACACCCAAGTCAAGCATCAACAGTAAGCCCTCATTCACTATCACTCTCACTGCTGCTCGAGATCTCAATCTGCGCAGTCCGCAACTTGCGCTTTTGCTTCTTCTTGTTCTTGCTAGGCGCTGGCGGAGTAGGTTCTTCCTCCACGGGAGCAACAGGTTTGGGGACAGCCTTCTTCTTTACGGCGGATTTGGTCGGTGAAGGTTTCTTCGCGGAGGGTGCTTCTTTCTCGCTGTCACTGCTCGATGAATCGCTGCCGCTGCTGCTGGTGCTCTCGTCGCTGTCGCTGTCACTGCCACTGCTGCTGGTATAATCGTCGCTGCTCTCCGCCTTGGCAGTAGAATTCTTCGCCTTAGAAGGCTTCTCTTCATCGCTATCGCTCTCGCTGCTGGAAATATCCACGACGACAGTCCGGTTCTTTCTCTTCTTGATTTTCTGCGCCTCCGCCTTGGCAGCTTCTTTTTGCTTGCGCACGACCTCCTCCCGATCAAACAGCTCACCCGTGACGGCGAAGAAAACCAGCTCTGCCCGCTGTCTCTTCCGGAGAAGCTTGGTCGCTTCCACGTCCAGTCCGTCCACAGAGTTTACGGCATTCAACTCTTCTCCGCTGTCGGACAACAATGACCGGAATGTGTTCACAGCCTCTGCGTACTCGGCGGGGCGTTCGGCGCTGTCACTCTTGAGAACAGCCACCGCACCGTCGCTCAGCCGTGTCTTGGCGGCGTCACCCTTCAGGCCTTGCAGGTAGGTCAAGAGAGGGACGTTGTATTGCACGGGAACGTGCTCGATCGAGTAAAGGTGTTTGAAAAGGTTCGTTTCGCGGTTCTTTTGGAACTTCCACGAGGCACGGTCACGGTAGTACCAGCTCAGATAGCCGAGGATGGGGGTTTCATGAACCTTTTCGGTAGAGGTAGACGAAGCTGTAGGTGTAGCACCGGCCTTGCGCGCCTTTTTCTTCTCACGCTTGCGCTTCTTCATTTCCTCGATCAACTTGTTCTCGGCTTCCTTGGCTTCGGCCTCGGCGTCCTTCACGGTCTCAGAGGTATCGTTGTAGTCGTCGTCGTCGTCGTCGTCGTGTTCGTCGTCAGCGGGACTGTCGCTATCGCTGTCTGCGTCCTTGGTCTTTGTGCCTGGTCCGAAGGAGACTCGCTTCTTCTTTTTCTTCGGCTTGTCGTCCTCTTTATCCTGCTTGTCGTCCGTGCTTTGCCGCCGCTTTTTCTTGCTCGTCACGTCGCCATCGGTCTCGCTGGATGAATTCTTGCGCTTCTTCTTATCTTTGGCTTCGGACTTGTGTGTCTTTTCGGGAGAGGTAGCTTGTTGCATTTCAACATCGGTATCCTCTTTGGCGTGTTTCGGCTTCAGGCCAACTTTCAATGTGTCTTTGGCCATTGTTGCTGCTGTGTATAATTGAATGGCACTACAACCGAGATGTGAATCCTGCAAGGTACAGGGACTCAATTGCACAAGAGTCCTGTCTTCTGTGTCCTAGGAGAGTTCACGAGGCCGACTGTCGTTGCTGGGCATGTCAAGGGCGGAGTCAAATTATTTTTTTCTGCCAAATCCACGTGAGGGCGGGTCCGCGATAAGCTTAGACCATTGATAGCTCAGATGGAGTACAGTATCTAGTTCTAGAAATCTAAATCCAATTGTCTTTCCTACAAAGTACGGGACAAGTACAATCGTGGATTCATCTCACATTATGGCTGCATCTATACGGTATCAACCAGCCCTTTCTCAAAGATCGACAAAGAATACCAACTATGCCGCAGCGCCACCCCCATTCCCATTTCCAGACTCAGGACCACCACCAGCACTCCGTTCTCGCCGCATCTCTCTTGATGATTCCGTGCCCGAGCCAGTACCAGCATTCGCCGTCGCAGCACTAGCTGCTGCCTTGCGCTTCGCGCGCTCCTTTTCTCTATCTCTATCACGCACGCCGGAAGTCGGCTTGGGCCGCCTCCTGGGTTTGTAGACATCGTTAAAGTTCATCACGACGGCGAGGAAGCGCATGTCTACATCTGGTTGGTAAGATAGATCGCTCAGCAAGATAGTAAGGCGGGATTTGAAATCGCCAGAGAGATCACGCAGTCGGACTCGTAGCGAGGCGAGCATGTTGTCGTCTGCAGCCAGGTCCTGTGCTGAGAGTGAGAAGGGTGTGTCAATGCCATCGGGTCCGGCACTCGCGGGCCGAATGTCTGGTGTTGATGCCATGGAGACACCGCCGCGGCTATTTGCACGGCGTGGTAACATATCGCGATCCGTGATGCCCCAGCGGCCCTGCGCTGTGCGAGTTTCAATCTTGGCGCTGAGTTCCTGGCGACGGGTGAATTCGGCGACGGAGAAGGAGTATAGGCCATCCACGGCATCCTTGTACGATAGCATGATCTTGAGGATATGGTGGAGCTGGCTGAGGAAACTTTCCTCGGGCTGTTTGGCAGAGACAGAGGTAGACGCGCCATATCGAGATGTAGTCGCCGAGCCCAATAGGCCCTTGTGCGTGATAGAGTTGAGGTATTTGGTGTGTGCTTCAATCAGGTCGTCGAGTGTGCATCCCGGCTTTGAGACTTCAGCCTGCAACTGGTCCCAGCTGGATTCAATCACTTCGAAGAGGATGTAGTATTGTAGCTGACAGACAAAATGGATCATCTCGGCGATGACGCAGCGCGCCCGTTTCCAGTCTGGTCCGACCTTGTCTTCCACACTGCCCAGGACGCCTCGTGCACCGGTCATGCAGCGGCGCCAGGTGCTGTTGAGAGCAAACTCCACGCGCTTTACACGCCAGAGGAAGTTGAATACTTTCAAGTACTGCGTTGATCCCCACGGAGTAATGACCACGTCGACTGGGGCGTCGATCTTGTACTCCAAAGTGAAGCAGTCCCAACCAATCTCGCCATGACTTAGCTCAAGCATACGTGCATCCAGCCGGCGGAGCACATCGGGGGAATCGTACTGCGCATTGGAAGCACGGATAGCATGTTCCAATTGCGCAGTGAGCGTGTGGCGGTACTGCGAGTTTGCAGGGCGGTCCAGGTTGGATGCCAGTGACTCCATGAGGAGAGCGATAAAGTCACCCTGTCCCAGCAAGAGATACTTCTTTAACGCCCGCAGATGATCGAAAAGCTTGAATTTGTCGTCCATAAGGTAGATCAACCGCGCCATGGTCGTCTTATAGGCCTCATCAATAGAGGTTTCTAGCGTGGCCGTATCACCGTATCGCAGCTCTTTCGAAGCTTCTTTGGAATAAGCCTCCACCCATCCCGAATCACCGCAGCCATATCGGATGAAGTTGAGAGACTTTCCGATCAAAAATACTTTTTTGGCAAAGTCCTGGGTGATAATAGACGGGACCATATCATCATCCAGCTTATACTTGTCTTCCCAGACGCTGGATGCAGTGCGTCTGGGGTCTGTGGTAGTCCGGAGATCAGATTCTGCAACAAAGAACTCCTTGTATGGATCAGATAGCTCGCCATCGTAGATCCATAACCGGAGCATGTCGTAGAATGGACGAGTGACGTGGGCCAGGAGCTTCTCTGCGAAAGCGCACACGAACGGATCTCCATGAGACGATGAGAAACCATGTATCAAAGAGATCAACTGACCGCCCTTTTTATCTGCATCCGATATCAATGTCTGCAACGCAGTTCAAAGCGAGGTTATCATCGCTTACCTCTCGCCTCCTCCACAATCAAACTCATCAGCCTCAGCGCCATCGTAGCATCCCTCGTCCACACCAAACACCTCTTCAAAGTAACACCACCCTTTCTTACCCCCTGCGACGTACTCCCATCCCCGATCGCAGCCAAGGCCTGCCGAATCTCGGCCTCTAGCGTCGCAACCAAGCCCAAGTACGAACGCAACTCATTCGAGACAGCAGCTCTCAAGCTCTGATTCACAAGCCCGCCTTCCGCACTCTCCACAAACCCAGCCAACTCCTTGTAAAGCAGACATGGCTCAGCCAACGCATTCAACAGCGATACTATCGGAGCTGGTAGATTCAAGGGTAATTTCAAGACCGAGGGCGACTGAAACTGTAGATTTGTCGATGACAACCCCTGCAGGTTAAATGGAAGATCTCGTAAAAGCCCATTCTCTACAGACTCTGCCGAGCGAGCATGGCTCGCCGGCGTCTCCGTCGGCGACGCCGTATTATCGCGCTCATCGCCAGTCTCGTAGTGACTAGCACGACTCGCACTCGCCCGTTCTGTAGACTCCTCCCAGTCCCTGCGCAGTGAACTCGGGCGCTGTGGCCTAGACTCACGAGTTACGCGCGGCGGCTGCGACGCAGACGAACTCACAGCAGGCCCCTCGTCATCCTCAGACTCAACGACCGTTCCACGCCGCGGACGCCCCGCGCCTCGACCAAGCATATGATGCAAATTACCCTCATCCATCAACGGACTGCGGCTTCGCTCGACAGGCTGTTCCTCGTCCGTCTCGCCTAGCTTATACAGCAGGTACAAGATACCCCATTTCTGCGAAAGCACGGGCTGCGTGAGAAGACGGGTGTATAGATTTGAAAAGCGCACAATCTTCTCTGGGCTGGCATTCTCGCGCCGCAACTTGCGCTTGATCAGATCCGGGGCGTGATTGACGTCCTCGCTGACGAAACTGCCGCGGCGGCCGGCTGGAGAGCTTGGTTCTGTGCCGCTACCGCGGTGCGTTTCAAGGGTGCGCCAGGCGCGCTCGAGATGTGCATGGTGGTGGTGTTCCTCGGCGGCGGTGATGGCTTGGTCATCATCGGAGAAATCGTGGTCTTGGGGAAGCGCGGAGAGTGGGATCTCGGGGAGGAGAGAGTCGACTAATTGGGAAAGGGCGTCATCGATCCGGCGCGGGCGTGTGGTTGGGCGGGTTGAAGTCGACATGGTCCTGCCCTTCCCCCGCCGGTTGGGCAATGTCGAAGAGTGTTTAGGGGGCGTGAGTTCTTTGAGGTTCGGGGCCAATTGGTTGCGGAGATGGTGGTGGCAGTGGGATGTTTTCCGCAGAGGATTGGGCGACGAGATTCGCGGGTTGGGCGGGAGGTTGCTTCAAGTAACGACAGCTTACTCGATTCCGATTATATGCCAATGTAAAGATCCAGAAATGTGATTGGGAATTTCTTTGAATGCTTATCGGTCATGCTTCAGATGGAGTTCATGCAGGTGGGTTCGTGTTTGCGATGTTTGGGTTGTTTGGTTCAGGACGCGTCGAGGCTCTTATCAAGCTTATCACCTACCTCCCTTTCTAGAACCAAAGCCCTAGAGCCGCCAAGTCATGGTTACTATACCATATACTACAAAAAATGCAAAAGATCAACTTTGGAGCAACATTTCTGATTTGCTCAAGCATCCTGTTCAAGGAAACTAGTCAGACATGAAACGAAAGCACAAACCCGCCCGTAACGCCGCCTTGAAATCATGTATCTCAAACACGAAAGCAACCCGGATCAAAAAAGAAGAAGAAAAAATGCACCCGCGAGTCCTCCAAGTATTAAACAAGCGAAAGGGAGAAAGGAAAAAAATTCAATCTCTCGAGACCATGAACAGAGAGAGGGGAAATTAGAAGATGGACGAATGGGCGAGGGGGAGCGTAGAAAATACAACATGGGGGAAGAAGAGGGTAGCAACAAAATCAACATGAGCCATGGCAAGCAGAACAACCTTAAGAAAAGCCAGTAATAATACTCTCAAAAGACGCCGAAATTGACGCGCCCTCCAAAGACTATAACGAAATTCATCCGTTTCCAGATCACCGGAATCATCTCGTCGGGAATTTTTGAGTCGTGTGGATCGTAAACACCTGACCATGCCAGAGGTTCGACAAAAGCCGCAGCCTAAGCCGAAACAAAAAGAAATTTTGGGGGTAATAGAGAAAAGGGGGAATCAATGCCCCGGCCCCAAAGAAGAGAAAAGTTGACCGCCGAGTCTAAGCATCAATGGACCGTGAAATCCTCGTTGCTAGGCGGTGAGAGCAAGGAAAAAGACTTTATATCGCCAGAGGCAGGATGAAAAGCGACTTTTGAATGCTAACTTCCTTTTATGCTCACATTCATGCTCGGCGCATACCCTGGGCAGGGATCGGTGCACCCGGCGGCATACCCATTTGGGCGGGCATACCGTAGGCGTGCGGGTCAAATCCAGTAGACATGCTGTTCATCATCAGAGGACCCAAACCTTGAGCTTGAGAAACGGGGCAGTCTTTGTGAGCCAACAGAAGGGTCTTGAGGTTCACAATCTCCTCACGAAGCTGGGTCACCGTGGCGGTAAGTGCATCATTTTCTGTCGTGAAGAGCTCAACCTTGGCTTGAAGATTGGCAAGCCACTGCTTCTTGCGTTGACGACACTTGAGAGCCGCGACACTGATATTATATTAGTTAAGTGGATCATTGGGGAAATTAGTAGTCAATGTTCGAAAAAAGACATACCGGTTCCGTTCCAGGAAGTTTCGCCGCTTCTCCTCATCGGTCATCTTCTTCGGATCCATACCGGAGTTCTTCATCTCCTCATCCTCCGAATCGTCCGACGGCGACTCGGTCATCTTCAACTTCTTGTTGGGGCCCTTGGCAGCAGCTTCGTCCGCCTTGCGCCGGTTGTTGACGGCGTTTGCCTTGGGGGCATTCTTCTTGCCCTTGCCTTTGGCATTGGGCTTGGAAAGCTCCTGCTCTGATCCATCGCCACTCATCTCGCGAGCACTATGGCCGTTGTTATTTTGCGACACGCGTCGGGCGGCCGACGAACGCGTCTCGTTTTGCATGACGGGGCCTTGGTTCATTTGCATGCTGTTTGCCTGACCACCTTTGGCAAGCATGAACAGGCCATTGGCCGCATCGGCCGCATCATGTTGAGTAAAGTCCGTGGTGGTAGCTTGAGGTTTCGAGTCCATGGTCGGGTTGGAGGTTGGTTCTGGATCGTGCGCATTGGAGGTGGGACCGTTCCCGCTATTCTTCTTGGCGGCCAGCGCGGTGCGGTGGAATTCGATGGTAGACGGCGTAGCCCCACCGCTTTGAAGTTGTTGCAGCAATGCCTGGGAGTTAGGGCTTGGGGCGGGGAACATGGAGCCACCGCCACCGGGGGTCAAGCCTGTCCGGAGCGATGACTCGTTGGGGGTTGGAAAGCCTCTTCCAATGCTGTCAAAGTAGTCATTAGAGCCAGTTGGGCCAGGGAGCATTGCCGGGCTAAGGGGCCCTGAGCGCAGGGAGTTGGACCAGTTGTAGCCGCCGCTGGAGGATGCGCCAGGCAGGGCCGGAGAGGTGAGGGCAGCGACGGGAGGCAGCAGCGACTTTCCGGGGGTTTCGCCCGAGTTGCCAGTGCCAAAGGACTGCTCGAAGGGATTGGGCTCGAGCGAGAACGGATTATGAACGGAATTGAAGTAGTCGGGAGTATCGCTAGCGGTGGTGGCAGCAGGGCGTGGAGGTGGCGCCAGTGAAGTGGACGCCTCTACATCCGATCTTTGATTATTGGCGTCTGAAGACACGGCCTGCGAGTCTGTCGAAGGAATTGAATTAGCATTTACGAGGGTTGGTTGGGATGATGCGACAGCGTAAAGGTACCGGCAGGACGAGAACGAGGACCCTTCATTGTGGAGGTGGAGGGTATGGAGAAGTGGTGGTGGAGGGAGGAGTGACGGAAGATCGATGACGCCAGTTCTGAGATCATCCCAACGGCAGAGGGGCTTTAAAGTATGGGCAACCCCCCAGGTGGCGTATTACCAAGCCGAAAGGGGGGGGGAGAGGAAAGGGAAAAGAGTAGGTTGTATTATCAAACACCACTGATTTTTCCGGCGGCGAAAAGATAATACAACTTTTCTTTTCTTCGGGGGTCATGAATGCGACCGCGACCGTATTAAGAGAAGGTCGCGACGAAAGGGGGGGGGAAGTAGGAAGGGGAGAAAAAAAATAACAAGCCAGAGGGTGTTTCGTAGGAGTGCTTGGTATGTAGTAGACAGTATGGTAGGGTAAATGGTCGATGGACTCGAACAGCATCACGCGATATTTTTTTTTTACGAACCTTCGTTGGCAATCTTCTTGGAGTCCATGGAGGTCAGAGTGTTCGAAAGAGTCGACACACTGGGAGCGACTGCGGCAGACATCACCAGTCGCGTGGGAAAGGTTCAAAAGAGTGGCGAGCGCACAACTAACGTGGCTTGCAGCAGCAGAAGAAGGATAGATGGGAAGGAAGAAAGTGACGTAGAGGAAAAGGAAGATGACGACAATTTTAGGGGAAGGAAAAACATTAAGTAAGGTGGCCCGTCCGAACGCCTTCGGCTGATTCGATTCTTCGGTATCTGTGATACAATACACACGGACGGTCGAGTACGGTGCTGCAACATCGGGGCCACACATGGCTCCCATAGTAAACCTATGTACCGTCCCAACCGGGGAGGGAAACGCTTACGATGCCGATACAAGCTGACCCACGCGACACTCCCCTCCTACGGTACTACACTACACCAGCCGTTACGGATGGCCCTGATCAGGCCTTTCGGAACGGTTATAGCAAAATGTAACTGGGTCCAAAACCGTTGATCCAACTCGAATCAGGGAACGGGCGAAGAAAAAAATGTTATATGGGGGGTGGCCAGCCATCGTGGTTGGCTCCGGCCTCGTCTATGCGAAGGTCGGCCTAGATCCTGATCGCGTCTCGCAGTCTGGGCTACTATCTCAGGGCAGACCTTTCTGCCCTTTGTACGTTCCCTTTTGGCCTGTTTCTTGTGTGTTCTACTTTCCATGCAGAATTCTTTAAGGGGGACTACTTCCTGCCTGTCCAGACTGAGCATGGACTATTTGCGATAACAACCCTTCTCTCGCGATCTTGAAAAAAATCCTAGAATCCTTGAGCAGGGATGGGACCCTCGCATGTCGATGTCGAATCTGAAGAGCGCTAGTGGGCCCCGGTATTGACTCTGAACCAATCATGGTAACATAGGAAAGAAGCGGGGACTCGAACAACTACTCGGACGGATTGGCCACTCGCCCCCCTTGAAAAAAAAAAAAAATTGCGTAATAATCTGTTTCTTTTGGTCAATCGAAAAGAGCGTCATAAATGATCGGAAAGGGTCTCGAGATAGAAACACGATTGCTCAAGGATATCAACAATCGGCAGAAAAGGGTGGATACTTTTGCTGCATATGATAGCTCGCGGAGCACTGATAGGACATATCGAGTATAACGCGACCTCCCATATCCTGGTCGATGAATGATTTCACGATGACGACGACAGGAATGTGTCCCGGCTGTCGGTCCAGTATGGGTGGGGTAAGTGACAGGGGATGTTAACCACTCACATTGCAGATAAAGGGGAGGATTGTTCAGATGGAAAGTCTGAGGGTCGATATGATTCGTCTACACGACCAGTGTGGGTCCCTGATGGAATTGAACGAAGCAATTGACTGGTTGCGGTGTGGGCAAGAAAATTTGAAGAGGTTGGGCCCATGACGCAATCCACGTGAGACAGCATCCGTTGCTGACTGATCAGGGACAGGAACTACCACTAGGGCCTCAATGACGTGCGTGGCCCTGGGAATGGGCCGAATGCGGGAAGGACATTGTATGTAGTCAAGTGCGGAGCGGAGTACGTGAACGACCATCCTCGGAGAGGGTAGTAAAGTATATGGTTAGGTTAGAATAAACTCTTTGAGGATTATCCTAAAAGAAATCTGATATGATCTACGGAGTTCTTCACATTTCGGGCCTATCCATCTCGTAGCAGCGATCAGCTTCAACCCTGAAACTGTATCTTCATACTAAACTGTGCCTTCATCGCTCCCATACGGTAGGATAATGAGTAGATGAGCTAACCACTTTACTTGCCTTTATACAGTCTGCGGCTTATCTTGCTGAGAATCACATTGTTTCTCACGATAACTGAATACACAAAATGCAGAGGATGTTACCTATATCGTGTCCACAGCTCCACTAGATCGGCGCTTCTACTATCCCATTTCTACACAAAAGTATCGGAAGGGGATGACATGTCGAGCTATCGTGGCTCAAAGGATGCTTCGCCAATGGATGTCCCCTCAATACATACAGAGCTCCACCCCTTCCCCCTATGCAAGAGCACCCTTCTAGCAGCCGAGAGCCGTTTCACGACAACAAAATTGACACTGACATCTTTGTCTACATGGTGGATCAACATACTCTGGGACCAACATCGTGGAGTAGCCTACGTGTTTTGTAAAATTGTCGCACCGAGCTCAGCTTGCCAATGTCGGCCCTGCGCAAGGAGTCGACCAGGGTCAGGTTCTCGCATCACCGGCATGATAACTGACGACATTGATAGCAATTGACAACGCCCGCGCATTAAGAGCACATCCGATTTCGAAACCACAAACGGATCCAAAACTTCTGGACGACGATATTGATATCTATATTTCGGTCAGTAACAAAGCTTGGCAGTGTTACGACACGTACCCGGGTGCACTGGCTGAACAGGCTAAAAAGACTAAATATGCTAGATCGCTATATTCTAGCATGCCCGGGACCGATATAAGTAGCGCGCATCGTTAAGCTTAGGGGGACCAGTGCCTAAGCCCTAACAGGCAGGTGGTACCTCCTGACATAGACTAGTATTGAAACACTAGCAAACAAACTAATGCCGGGGCATGAGAAAGGTTGTTGATGCTCCGGCCAGGATTGGGATTTTATATTCCACTCGACTACTCGCGACATCTGAATGACTTACACCGGGGGTGGTTTTGATAGTATGGTGGAGAACCTTTTCAACCAAATTCTGCTAGTTCAGACTCTTGAGATGTCACTAGAGCGGTCTTCACCGTCGGTATCCCGTCGCCGACCAAGTCACCCTTGTGTACAAAGCCTAGGAAAGAAATGCGTGCTACACTCTCGTCGCCAGTATTGCCATAGAAGTCAGTTACAATAAGCAACCAATTGGTGCATTTATATTCCCCGATTCATCTCACAATCGGCAGGGCGGCGTTGCCAATATGCCGATCTTCCTGCGCACCTGACTGGGAACGGTACGGCACGAAACCTTCCTTTTAATTTTCCCTGAATAGAGAGCCAATCTACTTGAAGGCTGTGGCTTTGACACAGTTTCATCAGCCGGCACCTTCGAGCATCAAACTTTCATTATAGGAAAAACTAATGTCTACGCAACAGTCTAGTGCTTATATGCTGGCTCACCTTTAATGTATATCCGCCACGGAAAAGGCAAGGGAGTTTTTTATTCTCCCCGGTTAACATAAATAGAAAGATTTTGGCAGATGCTGGCGCTTCGTTCTCTGTCTCACAGATTGTAAAGTTGATCGTCACTCCAGGTGATTCAAGCAATTGCCAATATCATAGGCACTATGCATGCCAAGATACTTCTACTCGGCCTTGGCTGCGCCTCCGTGGCTTGGGCACAGCTTGCGGACACCTCCGACTACCCTAGTGGGCCATTGACTTCGTCAAGTACTAAATGGGCCACGAAAGTTTGCGACATCACCAAGTACGGCGCTGTGGCGGACGGAGCGACAGATGCCGGGGCCGCTATCCTGGCTGCCTTCGATACATGCGCTTCGGGTGGAGTTGTGAATATTCCGTCGGGAACATTTGCTCTGAAAACATGGGCCACACTCAGTGGAGGAAGTGCGTGGGCTATCAATCTCGAAGGCATCATCGTTCGAACTGGAACGGCGGGGGGTAATATAATCTACATTGAGCATAGTACCGACTTTGAGCTCTATTCTTCCAATAGTGAAGGTGCGATGCAGGGCTATGGCTATGAGTTCCATTCTAAAGGAGAGTATGGCCCCCGTCTCCTGCGTCTTTACGATGATAAGTACTACAGCCTCCTCCTCCGAGAGCCAGGTGCCCGTACTAACTATGTAAAGTGACAAACTCTGCTATCCACGACATTGCTCTCGTCGACTCCCCGGCCTTCCATCTAACTCTCGACACTTACAACCAAGGCGAAGTTTACAATATGATCATACGAGGCGGGAATAAAGGAGGTCTTAATAGCATTAACCTTTGGGGCTTTGACCTCTGGATTCACGATGTCGAGGTTACCAACAAAGATAAATACGTCACGGTCAAGAGTCCGGCAAACCATATCCTCGTTGAGAATATCTAACAACTAGTCTGGTGGCTGTGCATGGGCTCCCTAGGAATAGACACTAGTAAATCTCCGTTCTGTATTAGCTTTCGTATTCAGCGCAGAGAGGCTAGCAAATCTATCGAGAAAGGATAAGAAGCTAACTTTAAGGATTCAGATATCTCGAAGGTTATTTACAAGAACATCTACACCGTCAACTCGAACCAAATATTCATGTTCAAGTTAGCTCTAAAATTGAAATCCTAAGCGCTCGTACCTATAGACCGATCTGACTTTGGTTTATAGGAGCAATAGAGGGAACGGTACAGGTAAGGGCTCTCCTGTTCTCGGATTTACCTTACTGAGTGATCTCAACTAACGCTGCCATAATAGTGACCGAAGTAACTCTGCAGAACTTCATCGGCCATAAAAACGCCTACTCTCTCCACATCGACGCATACTAGTCATCAGTAAGCGCAGCTGCAGGAGATGGAGTCCTATACAATTCCATCACCTTCAGCAATTAGAAAGGAACTTGCGCTAATAGAGCCACTCGCGCCCCACTATACGTCTTATGTCCTTCTACTCAACCGTGCACTAACATCAAAATTGAAGACTTCGCCATGTGGACAGAGTCTGGTAGCACAGAGTACTACAAGTGTGCAGATGCTTAGGGCTCTGGTTACTGTCTGCATTCAGGATCTACACATACCGAGTACGGTACAGTCACCTCGAAGTTGACAGCCGCCCCATCAGGATATTCGGCGAACACGATGCCTAACCAGCTGACCACTGGATTCGGACTTAGCACGTCCATTCCAATCCCAACTGTTCCGAATACATTCTTCCCTGGCGCTACGCCAGCCACCGCTAGGGTGTACGGTAGCTAGCTTAGCTACTTCAATGCTAATGGGCGCGGACGATTGGCCGTTATGCAATTGATAGTTATCACACTTGTATCGTTCCATGGTAAAGAACGTAAATTGTATGCATACGCCATTGGAAAGAGTGGGTCATGAAGTGGTCTTGAGTCTTACTCGGTTCGAAGATCACGGAGTTCGTCTGGGAAACTATGCCTCCCAGTGCGGTGCAAAAATGGAATAATGTCCTATTCACTATCATCCTTTACCCATTCCATCAAGACGATGGACTTTTTCCCCCCTCCTCTGCTTTCAGATACCGATGCCCAGTTTTTCAACGTATGCCCTCGCACAAAACTATTCTTTTCAAATACCCGAAGGCTGCCTGGATTGTCTTCGAATGCCCAGCTCTTCAATTGTCGGACGTTCATTCGAGGTACCACCCAATCATGAATGATAGTTCTCACAGCTAGTGTCATGATCCCCCTTCCATGGTGGCTTGAAGCTAGAAAGTCTACAATTGTATGCGTTAGTACAGCTTACATCGGGGTATCTTCGTTCAAGTTTCATCATACCGGCCAAGCTCCAGACAACATTTTCGTCTCCAGCAAGTAACTCATCGTTCTGTTTCTGGGCTAGGCATCTTTCTTCGCTCCCTTCGGGATATTCGTCGAAACTTGAGCGAGCCAACCGCACATCGCCAATGAGAATATCTTCAAGGGGATTCACAGTCAGAGAATCTGTCTTGAGCACTTCCCGAATGCAAGTGAACGGACAAATGTCAGAAAACTCTCTTTTTCGGGGCAGAACGTTGCTGGAATTGTTTTGGACTACCGAGTTCCCCAGTTTTTCAAAGTCCTCCCGCAAGGCAGATAGAATACCTTCCTGATCTTTGCAGTTCGCTTTAACCCATTGTTTGCCGTCGGATGCCGAATATGGATATGGGGTACTTTGTAGACGAAGAGCAACTCGTGGGTCATTGAGGATCTTGACCAGGGCTGAAGTCGTTTCGTTGAGGCTGTTAGAACGGTGTGGTGTGATAATAATGTTTGTATGTGGTTCTGGGAGCCTCAGATAAGGCTCCTTTGTCTTGAAATTATAGCAGATATCCATTGTGTTGTCGCTAACAGAGATTGCTTCATTCAGTAAATTATCTATCAAATATGGACTGTTTCTCTCTTACCCCTCAATCCGCTATATAATTAACTAACGGAAAAGAATAGGTGAGTCATACCTTCAAGGGCATCAGCAGCGCTTGTACTGATTCCCTGAGAGGCTTATTGGAGAGCAAGCCTGATGGTTGGAGCAAATTCTTCACCTCTCATTTAATGGAGAGGCAACCAATCTGATTATCAGCTTGATGGTCGAACGAAATTTGAAAAGACCTCAACGCTGCAGCATACTTTGCCTCACTGATATACTATGGGATCATATATCCAAAGTTTGCGGAACCTTCCATCAAGCAAGGCAAGATGGCCGAGTTGGTCTATGGCGCACGGTTCAGGTTTACCTGATCCACACTTCCGTGTCTCGAAAGGGGCGTGGGTTCGAATCCCACTCTTGTCAATGCATTATCTTTTTGTCTTTCCACCTTCTTAAGGTGGATAAGTTAAGCTCAGCTCGCTTTACTAATTGCCTTTTCTGTTCTTGTCTTCCTTTTTTAACTAATGTGAGCGATATAGCTAGTGCTACAGATTGAACGGTTCTGTTTACTATGGCGGGATCCGCTGATCTCTTCGTGTAGGTATTCGGTTGCTGGATTTTGTCTGGGTTCTATAACTTTAAGAACCCTGTTGGTATTGGTTTACACTGCAACACTATTCTGTCACGGGCATTTGGACCATAGGGTGGTCCGACTCGAAATCTTGGAGCCTTATAGTTCGGGCGGCGCAGGAGGCTGTCCCAGTTTAGTGTCTGCCTGGGAACGTATAGATAAAGTTGGTCCTTTATAACGGGCTCATCATAGCCCTGGAGACCGACCTCCTGGATATATAACCACAATTTTGCAAGAGCCTTTCTCAACCCCAGCTTCCGCCGGTCCCCATCGTACCTGATCGACAGAGTGGCAGTTCCGTGTGGCTTCCGCTTTGTTTTGGTTGCGTTTCAACGTTTATTGACCGCCCGGCATTCTGGCTAATCAGCCGCGTGTACAACTTTCTCTTTTGACCACTTCACCTCCAAACTTTTGGCCTCCCACGTCACAAGTGATTCCAGGTTGAGTCGTTCTTGGTCGCTATTACTGTTCTATTTTCTTCTTGCCCATCATGACGCTTGCTGAGGAGTTCCGATCGAGAAATTTCAGTACGTACCCCTCGCGCTGATGGGGCGGCAAACGTCGATCAGTCCCATTGATTAACAGCTTCGCTAACATTGCACTCTCTTAGGCATCTACGGTCAATGGTCAGTTTCTTGAATATTGTTACTTTCCCTTTCTTTCAAATATATCCGCCGAGTGCCTTCCGAGCTTTGAGCAACGCTGCAGAATAGATGCAGTGGCGAGATGTCGGATGGGAGCCTGACCTTCATGGGAGGCCTCTCCTCGGGTTACTCGGAATCTTGCTTCTAACGGTTTTCTTGTAGGACCGGAGTGTTGTGCATGGTTCTGTGCTTTGCCCTCGGCATTGCAAACATCTTTTCCCCCGTCCTTCGCATCATCTTCTCCGTCATTTGCCTGTAAGTTCGGCCACTTCTGCGCCGTGATGATACACCGTTCTGACCTTTGCAGTGCTTGCTCGTTCGTCATCCTCTTCATTGAGGTACCATTCCTACTTCGAATTTGCCCTACGTCCTCCAAGTTCGATGCCTTCATCCGCCGCTTCACCACCAACTGGATGCGCGCCGCCATGTATGCCGTCATGTGTGGTGTCCAGTGGGCCAGTCTCTGCACTGGTGCCTCGAGTCTGATTGCCGCCGCCGTCTTTCTCAGCATCGCTGCTATCTTCTATGCGCTAGCCGGTCTGAAGAGCCAGGAGTTTGTTGGCAGTAAGACCCTCGGTGGTCAGGGTGTTGCGCAGATGATCGTTTAAATATCCCTTACCTCCAGACAGGTCTCTTGCTTCCTCTCGCGTCGGGTTTTACATGCGGGGAAGCCTGTCCCCTGGCTGGTCCAATGTCTGGGTGGAATGATGGAATGTTCGATGCGAAATCCTGGATAAAGACTCTCGGGTCAAAACATATTGGAATGCGCCACGACCCTAATTGTTGCTGCTTTTTTGTCATCCTGTACTTGTATGTCTCTTATCATTTTGGAGACGGCCTGCTGGGCACCTCTTCGTTGCGGACATAGTGGACATTCTCTTTTAAGGTTCAGGTCTGCGTTATTCGGTTCTGCTGCGCTTTTCAGAGCGAACTAGGTTCGATATCAATGCATACTTATGCTTAACTCGATATGGCCCACCTTTAGTCACGGGCAGATTTGAAGATTGATGTTGCTGCTTGGTCTTCGTAAATAAGTCATCGTTGTATGTTTGGTACTGTTGTGTACGTGCGCATATATCTCTGGTTGTCTCTCTAGTTAAAAAGTGCTCGGCTTCTGCTGCTGGTTGTCATGCCTGGGGTTTTCTTTGTGGTTTATTGGCTTTTGCTGGGATTTCATGCCAGTGGAGAGTTTATCGACATGCAATGGTTGCAAATATATATTCCTTCACCCTAGGAATAACCACGCCTTCGCAGACAGCCTATATCATGTAAATAAGGAAGCACAGAACAATTCAAACCGTTCCCATGCAGACAGAAAATGAGAGCACCCATATGGATACTTCGGAAATGAATATGACCTACCTTGAGGATGTCAACACCTCCCACATTGAGGGGTACCAGCCTCAATTCCCTTATGATATCAAAAGATGAATAATGAGACATGAAGCTGGTAAGATGGCCGAGTTGGTCTAAGGCGTCAGGTTAAGGTCCACCTTAACATAAAATCCTGATCTCGTTTACGGGGCGTGAGTTCGAATCTCACTCTTATCACTCATTCATTTCTTTTTGTCTTTTTGTCTGTTTGAACTATCTAGCCGCCTTTACCCTACTCATTAATATTAGGAGTCGAAATGGGAATGCACCGACCCTGATTACTCCGCCATGACACTCAAAGATAATATAACGTGGTCGGTACTAAAGCGACCTTGATAATAACTTCCCGGAAACAGTTGCCAATTTCACGAGCTCATGGATAGGCACAACAGCGACTGTCGTACACGCCAATTCCTATTGATTCCATCTGCAGTGGGATGATACGAGCTCCTCGTCGCATGACCGTTTCTTCCATCTGACCTGGCTTCACAGGTCTTAGTATGATCGTCACCCCGCAATCCCAGGAACCGTTCAGGTAAAACGGGGAAGCTCCATCGGCTAGAAAATCTCAGTAATCCACATGACCACCTTCCCCCTCTTAACCCCTTTCATCCTTTACAGTTTAGCCATTCCAGAGCATAGTGTACAATCAGCGTTCATTAGTATTTGGAACATGGTACCTGCACCAAATGTCTTCTTGCCAGTGGGCGGAAGTACCGTGTTTCAAATACCAGTGAACGGCCACTAGAGGTCTGTCCATGAACAACGTCTGAATTTCCGGGTATTTACTCTTGATTTTCATGCGTCATACATCCGATCTGGTGATGGTAATTTTTACAGGGCTTACTGTATGAACGAGAGCGAGGATCACGGTAGGTGGGGATCTACTGTACATAGCTGCATGCCTTGAGTTTGATGTAAAGTTCTCACACTGTCATTGATGTCGAGTTTGATCCTTTAAAGAGATAAGAACAAGCTCCTTCTGGAAGGAAGATAACATCAACTACCAATTATCAGTACTCTATTATTGATTCCGACGGAAGGTTTAGGATGCGTTTATCAGGGTCGACGCTAGATGATGCAATCCCATGGGATGCGGAGAGTCCTTCTTTTCTTCACTCACCGCCTCGGTTATAGTGGCCAATCCCAAGACAAGGAAATAAGCGGGGACAGCCGATACAAGTCTTGCCTTATCACTCGAGGCTTGAGAGAGAGAAAGAAAGACAATGTCCTTACTCCTAGAACACTTTATTAGATTCAGTCGAAGAGCGTGTAATACAACCAGGAATGGTACTATGACTCTTATCCCCCTATATCTCTGAACAGCACAGCCACTCGAAACCGAGACGGTAATACCAGCGCTATTAATATACTTTGGACCCACGGTCTAGCCACCAGGGATTGTCGGTCTAATGTCCTCATACGAAACGAGGAGACGCCTATGCCTGCACGCGATACCCAGAAAGCGGTGGTTGGACAAACTGCACGAGGCATGATTTGCCCCCCCAAGCTGAACGATCTCGACCACTCCACTTGGCGACCAGATATGAGGTATTTGCTCGAAAAATGCCGCAAAAGCAATGTACTGGCTCAAATTCAGGACGTGGGACAAATTCCCTCGAGAATCATAATCCAGTCGATGATTTGAACGTTTTATAGCTCTTTGGGATAAGATCAAGAAAGGGGTATTACCGAGGATCGAGACGAGTATCACAAACTGGTTTAAATATACAGTACCACTGTAAATACTGCGGTACAAATTCAACTGTCGGCGTCACCGTGGCCGAGAGAAGTAACCGTACCGTAATCTGACGGTAAACTGGGCTTTGGCTGGACTGGATGCGGTCAGAGCACGTCACGCGCTCGGTGGGTCGTGGCAGATCGAGGCATACATCATCCTCTTCGCTCGCCGGATTGCTTCATTCTCTGCCAGTTTTTACCTCCCTGTACTCCCCGTACTCATTGATCACTACCTTGACTTTTGAATTCTGATCCAATTGGGAATTTTCCCCTCCTCGATATCAGGTATATCAATCTGGGTAAGCAAATCATCCTGCATCCTCTTATCAGCTGCAGCCCTCTTTCCCCTCCTCCTTGGCTATAGCCCAGTTATGGGGCCCAATCTTCCTTGCATCAATGCAGGTCCTTTGAATGGCCAACCCCAGAATTCTCCGCTGGAGTATTAGCCTGGTGCTACTTGGCTTCAACGGTCAGCAGGAGAAAAAAAAGGGCCTTAGCTGACCCCGCCAGCCCATCGTTGTTGGGCTGAAATTGCTAGACATTTAGCTAATCCTCACCCACCCCGATAGCTTCAGAACCTTCTCCATCATGTCTACTCAAACCGCTCCGGTCATCCCACCTCGACCGGCCCGATCTCCGCAACCACCCGCCTCAATAGATATGCCGAAGATCCCCCCGCGCCCGTCCAACCGCCGCCTGGACCGCTCCGTCTCCCCAATGCGAGACAGCTATGCGCCATCTCCCTTCAATGAGTGGAATGGACCAAGCATGGTCCGTACCACGTCAAATGATCTCCCTCCACGTCCGCCGAGCGTCACGATACCGTCCCTAGGTGAAGAGGGCATTGAGTATGCCGACCTGGACGTTGGAAATGTGCCAGACGGTCACCACCAGGCACCAGCAGAGATGCGCAACGTTAACACCAACCTCAAAATTCATGCACCGCGACCCTCCTTGCCCACTTCAAGCGCTAAGGCGAAAGTGCAGGCGGTCACTCGCACGGATTCCCGGCAGGCTGCGGCCGCGGGTCTAGGCCGTGAAAGCTCCAAATCTCCAGCTCTAGAGGAACCAGATCGTACTCGCCGCCTGTCAAACTCCCGGGCGAGTGGCTCGCGGGCCGAGTCCAATGCCTCCTCAGACCGCCGACTCTCTGCACAACTTGGAGAGGAGCACGGCTTCCGAGTCCCCATGTACCCGAATGCCGGTGACGTACAGGCACCTTCTCCAAGTCCTTTCCTTGAGCAGGGCTCGCAGCGACAAGGCCGCAACCATCACCGCAGCCGTAGTGCTCGGGACTCCTCCTTGCCCCCAGGCAGTTACGGACTCCATGGCCACGGTGTTCCGCACTCTGATAAGTTTGAAAAGGCCTGGTATGAAAAGCACCCGGATGAATTTGCCAAGGAGGAGGGTCAGTATGGCCCTGGTGTGGGCACTCCTCGACCGGATTGGGCTCTGAGTAGCGATGACTTGAACAAGATCGTTCGTGGTCCCAGCCGTAGTGGTTCAGGAATTGGTAAGAAGATTAACTACAGCTCACCTTCTCGACATGGGAGCTTACTTTTTTGTTTTCCCTAGGTACATCTCCCGCTGTCACTGGCACCCCGGAGGAAGAAGTGGGGTACCTGGCCTCGGATGAATACATGCATCGTATGGCCTCTCCGCCACCCGAGACCCGCCATGAGTCCCAGCCAGTTGCAGAATCGCCGCTTCGACAGATGAGTTTCCCAGCATCCGAGATTGAGCCCAAAGTGCCAGCCTCCCCCCTGCGCCATGGCCGGAGTAGCTCTCACGGACACCGCGCGGAGGGCGACGTGATCCATGTCGATGACCCAAAGCACCCTCTTCACCACCCAGATGGATTTGCTCCAACTCCAGCGCCCTACGAGTCCACGCCTGATGTACAGCAACCTCTCGACTACGAGGAGCCTATTTTGGCCGCTGATGAAGTTCGCCCCGAGTCCGCCTATCTGCACCCTGCAATTTCACCCACATTTGAGCACCGAGGAAGCTTTGACGAGGAGCGCAGCCGCACCCCAAGTGTCTCGCATAGTCGCTCTCATAGTCGATCTGCAAGTGCTCAGGGTGCTCCTATGCTCACTCGCTACGATTCCCGTGAGCCGCATGAGGACCTGTCTACTCCTCTGGAGGACGTCGAAGAATATGAGCCTCTTTTCCCCGAGGAGGGTGATTCCAAGAAGCCGCGCTCTCTTTCGGCTACCGAGCGTTTCAAGAAGCGTCCGGATATGCTCAAGCACAGATTCCCAAGTGAAGATATCTGGGAAGATACTCCAAACAGTCTGCAGCTTCACGCTACAGTGACGACCCCCGACCTCCCCAAGCGAGACTCGTCGGAACTCTTTGAGACCCCGGAACAAGAGGCCGCGCGGAAAAGTCAGACTTCCAAGGTTGATTCCAATCAGGTCGCGAATCAAATCCTTCAAGGGGAAGGTGCACGTGATAAGGTCAAGCTGCCTGCCCGGCCCGAAACCATTAAGCAACGGTTCCCCAGCCGGGATATTTGGGAGGATGCTCCTGATAGTCAGCAACTAGTGACGACAGTCGAGCCAGCTGCGGATGAAGTCAAGAGCCCCGAAGTCCCTTCGAGACCCTCAATTCCCCCGCGCCCGCAAAGACAAGCGCAGGCAACATCTCCCACTGACAAGCGTCAAGCACCTGTCATCCCGGACCGTCCGAAGCCTCAAATTCCAGCCCGACCCGTTAAGCCTGGCTCTCAGGTCTCAGTCGAGGGTGCCCCTGCTCCCAAGGCGAAGCCTGCAATTCCCGCTCGCCCAGGCGGTAGTAAGATCGCAGCTCTGAAAGCCGGATTCCTCACAGATCTGAACTCACGTCTCCAGCTGGGTCCCCAACAACCTAAGCCCCAGGAGAAGGAACCTGAACCACCTGCGGAGAAGCAACCTCTTAGTGATGCTCGTAAGGGAAGAGCCCGTGGCCCGGCCCGGCGAAAGCCTGCCGCGGAGAACGCCAACGCTAGACTGCCCACGATCCCAGAGATCAAAATCACTGAGACTTTGAATGTGTGGTCGGTTGGCGAGGACGGTAACTTGACTGTGGGTACTGAGGATATCAAGCCTTCTGTCCCCTCCACTAAGTCTTCCATCCTGGCTGAGCCCCCAATGGCGCCGGAGCTGGCAAAGAATACAGCTGGAGAATCGGTTGATCCCACTCCGCACGCTAGACCTGCGGCAGAGGTGGTTTCTCCCAGCACTGCCGCAGCTCCAGACGCCGGAGCAGCCAGACCCGAAGTTTCGACAGAGGTCCCGACTGCAATTGAACCCCCTACAGCAGCTACCGAGCTCACTTCTAAGCAAGAGGAGCCCGAGTCTGTCGCAGCAGGAGCTCAGCCCCTCATCGACCGTGGTTCAATCTCGACCAAAATGGATGAAACTCTCGAGGACATGGCTGCATCAGCCGATGGCAAGAAGTCTTCTGATGGTGATATTCATCTCGCCGAGTCTCTTGAATAAGCTTTCTGTTTCATTACTTCATAATATATCTTCTTCACTCGTTTGTTACTGACGAAGCTCCATGCCCGACCAGAATTGGTTACATGTGTCTCACCGACAGTAGACCTTGCCAACCTTGATTACCATCTTTAGTTTCAATGCGTTTTAATGAGTGCTGGTCCTTTAGACCTTGAATCTATTCTCCTTGTGGTATCTGTGCAAGATGCACAAGCCCCAATTTTGCCTGCTTTTCCCTTTTCTTCTTTCGAACCGACACTCGGGTTCCGTACACGTGCCAAACAGGTAAGAAGTAAGGGTTCAGTTTGACTATTTCAGGACTCATGATATCCGTCTCCTCAAATCAAAATTCCGGCCGCATTGAGGATGGTAGTTGCCTCTCAACGTGCCCGTCGGTGGCAGGGGCCCTGGATGTCAGTCATAGATCTGGGGTATTGCGTAGTCAGAGTGCCTGATCTTACCCGTATCTTCTCGGAGCTAATTTACCTCTTCAGTGCTAATAACTCAAAATTATTCCACGTATGCCTTATTATATTCAAAGTATACGAGAGTTGTGATGCATTCTTGAGGATATACGGGTGTTTGACATCGTAAGTTACTTGTGCTTGTTTATGCCGCACTTGCGGGCTCGGTAGTCTTATCCTACTGGGGTCCGCATCAGTCCAAGAAGACCTTATCATTGCATGTCCAGAGAGCAGACGGGCCTATAAGATGTCACAATCCAGTTTGTAGAAGAACATCTGGAAGCCATAAGTGGCATATATTGCATATGGTTGTTTCGCTGATAAACATAACTCCGGCATCGGAAGATGATGGGTTCGCCTGTCTATAAGAAAATGAGAATCAAAACATGGACACTTGGATTTTAAATTAAAGAGACCTACAAATATGCTACGCTGGTTTCTCGATCTTCTCCTCCTGAAAGGCTTTCTTAACAAGCAGGTCAAAGGGTTGTTCTATATTTGAACCTTGTCCTTGGTAGCACCACATTGATAATTATTGCGTGGCGTGAGGAAAGAGGATTGGCTCCAGAACAAAGGGAAAGAAATTCAACATTTCAAAGGTGGTCTAATTTACAAGCTTCAGGACCTGAGGAGGCGGCCAAACTAGTGGTGCCGGATGCATACACAACCGTCCCCTCATATTTCCCCAGACCTTGCTAAAAGAAAGGAGAGAGAGAGACGGAGCATTTAGTGGGCGGCAGCAGCCTCTTCCTCATCCTCCTCGAACCAGCTCTCCTCGGCGGGGGCGGCCTCGCCGGTAGCAGCCTGGCCCTCGACCTCGACCTGCTGGGCCTCGTAGGCAGACAGCTCGCTGGCGAGGTTAGCCTCCTCGGGGGAAGCGGGAGCCTTGGGGAGGTTGAAAATGTGGACGTGGCCCTCGGAGTCGCTGGGCTTGATGGGGGTGGGCTTGTAGGCCTTGAGCTCACGGAGGTAGAGGTCCTGGACCTGGTCGGCTAGAGAAGGGATATGCGAGTTAGTGACGGGTCGATAATATATTGATGTAGGTTCCGCTGGAACAGCCTAGAAGAATCTGGGGAGTAGCGACATACCCCGGCGAACGGCGGAGGTCAGGAAGGTGCGGCGAGCAGCGACAGGGACCTGTTGCCGAGAGGCACGGGTGAAGAGGGAGCGCTGGGTATACTGCGTTAGCCGGGCGTGACGGCGCATTCGATAGTCAGTATCACTCACCGAGGCCCGGAGAGACTGGGACATCATCTTGACGGGTGGGCGTTGAAGATGAGGGGGGATGAGGGAGGGGTTGGTGGTCTCAACAAGATGGATCTGATCCGTTCTCCGTGCAAGTCGAGGTTGGAAACGACTTCTCTTCGGAATCTCGGCTTGGCGCTGAGTCATCAGACCCGCCACCCCACCACGTGACCCAGCTCACCTGGTAGCCTCACTTCTTCCTTGTCGCCTCAATCGTTGCCTTGGCCTGATCACCTCACTCTCTCCCTCTCCATCCCTCCCTCACTTCCGCCGTCTCGATCCCACCCCCGTTTCTCTTCCTCAGCCTGTCTCCCTGGAACTTCGACTTCTTGTTGCTCCGTGCCCCCACAGCATTTGCAGCGATCCGTCAGGTTCTACGACCCTTTTTCGTGAGATATCTCTCTTACGGAGACCTTGACTGGTTCATCGTGGTCAGACACAGCCGAGGCTTGAAGAAATCTCTCTTTTCGCCCGAGAAAGCGCAGACACCCTGGTGACAGTTCTTTCACGTCTTCAAGAGGGGGGTGATCTATCGATCTCCGACTGGTCCTGGTCTGGAAAAAGGTAATACCAGCTTCACTTCAGAGCTTGCTGAAGCCAGTGGCGTCGCGGATGATTCTTTCACCCAGGAGAGGACGCCCTCGGTGGAGGTATCCTTTGTGAATGTGTCTTGCCTTTGAATATCTGGGGGTAACAGAGCTGAGCTAACCACGACTGCGCAAGTAGTGGCCCGCGATTAAAGAGATAGCCTCGTGCCATTCCTTTGCCCCACAGTCCATCTCCCTGCCTAGTCAGGGGCCCTTCATCTTCCCTGCGATTTTCTGTCGCAAGCCGCCAAGACGTATTCGCCTCTGTTCCTTCGCTATTATACACGCAAATACCGCATTCCTGTCTCCCACAAGAACATCACCAAGCGACGCCAGGCCCGTATCCAAGAGTTTGGCAAAATAACAAAGATGGCGACCATGTCCCCGGCATTGAAAGCGGAGGTGGCCGCAGTTCCGTTTAGGAAGAACCTCTCTGCGCATGTCATCTGCAGTGAATGCAAGGAAGTGCCACCCAACCTGGAGTTCGACTCCCACCAGACAACCTGCGGCAGTTGCGGCTTGGTCCTTGGAGATCGTGGAATCGACATGGGCTCCGAATGGCGCACTTTCTCGAATGACGACCAGAACTCGGATGACCCGTCTCGTGTCGGAGATGCCAACAACCCGTTGCTGAACGGCGACCAACTGGAGACCACAATCGCCAGCGGTGCTACCGGCCGATCTCGCGACCTTTATCGTGCCCAGAACAAGCAGTCTAGCGACAAGCAGAACAAGGCTTTGATGCAGGCTTACAAGGAGATTGGCGCCATGTGCGAGGGATTCAATATCCAGAAGAACGTGGCCGACACCGCCAAGTACCTGTTCAAGACCGTCGACGATGCCAAGGCCTTCAAGGGCAAGTCACAGGATGTCCTTATCGCTGGTTGCATTTTCATCGCCTGCCGCAAGTGCAAGGTCCCTCGTTCGTTCTCCGAGATCTTCGCCGTCACCAAGGTTAGTCGAAAGGAGATCGGCCGGATCTACAAGTCTTTGGAGAAATTCTTCACCCAGAACGACGAGGCCCGCAAAGCTGCCGTGGTGGCAAGTGGCGGTACCCCCGACAACGCGGTCTACGAGACAACCACCTCGACCAAGCCCAGTGACATGTGCAACCGTTTCTGCAATCTGCTCCGTCTCGAATACCCCCTCCCCCGCGTTTCTGTGCAATTGTCGGACCGAGTCACTGCCTCTGGGATTTTGGCTGGTCGCTCGCCGCTGTCCATCGTGGCAGCCTGTATCTACATGGCTTCCCACCTGATGGGACAGGGAAAGAGCCCCAAGGAGATCTCCCAGATCGTCCACGTTAGTGACGGGACAATTCGCGGCGCCTACAAGCACTTGTATGCGGCGCGGGAGCGCCTGATCGACCCGTCCTGGATTGAAAAGGACAAGGGTGATATGAGCAAGCTGCCAGTAGCTTGAAGAGGTGGCTGCTGTGATGGAGGATCGATGGCGGAACTGACCCGTGCTGATTCGTTTCCCCCGGGTCTTGAGCCCAGAAATGGACCTCAATGATATCAATGACGGAGCTGACCTTTGCTGATGTTTTTTTAACCCCCACCCAATACTAAATGGATATCGCCGTAATAGGCTTGATAGGACATGCTCATGCACAGTTATCACACAGGTCTTGCAGTCTTGGCAACTGTTTTCTTTATCAGGTTTTATTCCCCCGTTAGATATTAACCAAAATATTGTGATTCATGCTTTAGTACTGCTTTTCTGGCTCAGATAGCTCTTTGTATATTGTCATTTCTCATATCTAAATTGTGATCATGGAGCTTTTGATTTGCTTAGTTTTGATGAGTTTTCAAGCCGGTCTACACGTTGTGGAATCCGTGCATATCAGATTGATCATACTAAAATGCAATTTCTGCGTCTACATATTTGTCCAGCATGCCGATTGATAAGAAACCCAAAACTGCTTTTTGGTGTAGACCAAAAAGATTATCCTGCGTACGCAGGAGAATCTCGAAATAACAAAAGATGAAAAAGAAATGAATGAGTGATAAGAGTGAGATTCGAACTCACGCCCCGTAAACGAGATCAGGATTTTATGTTAAGGTGGACCTTAACCTGACGCCTTAGACCAACTCGGCCATCTTACCAACTTCGTTGAAGAGATACATGTATTTTGGCTATATAAGCCAATTCCTCATCGTTTTCCGATGAGGCTCCCTCGTTACTCATTCCCTTATCTGTCGACGGCATGGCCGATGCAAGGCGTCGTAAAGGTGGATCCGGGCTGAACACCACCGCATCTCGCGCGCGGCGACGTGGTCTCCTTCCGGTGGAGCATTCGCACAAGCTTATTTCTCGTTTGCCCTCTGGTGCCTCGCGTTGAACACTGTCTATTTCAGGTTCCGTCAGGCAGATATTGAATTTTGCTTTTTGCGTTCGCAGCCCACCGATACGGCAGACGGGTAATTCGGGCTTCGTCCCTCGCAGCCGAGCTATTGACATTCGTGCCGATGCTGCTCTCGTAGGGATTAGTGGACTATTAGCGTTCCCTGCATCCCCGACGTGGCATCTGCGGGGCTAAGCTAATGGCACCGGCAGCGTGAGCATGAATCGGTGTCTGTTAAGTCAAAGTTGAGCGGTTGGTGGGCTGGTCTTGAGGAGGCCGGAAGGGGTCGTTTGCTGCACACCTTGCACGAGACCCTTGGCGTTCGGGGGGCGTCTAGATTACCGATGTTGGGCGCTGGGGGCAAGCTAGATATACCGACACGATAGAGACCCAAGTCGAAACTAGCTTCTAGCCTTCTGGGCCTGGTCTATCTATGGTCAGCCACCGAAGCAGTTGCTGGCGATGAGTGTTGCACTGCTTGGATCGAGACGTCTTACTATAAGTGGAGAATGAAAGCCCGAGCACAGTATGTAGCCGTCATACAGTACGAATCATTGCTACATAAGGTGATTCGGTAGTTTTCCCTATCTCTCTTCGCACCTTGGCTTGTTTGTTGCCTCTTCTATGAGGAATGCGGGGCAACACCATCACGGCCTCGGAGTTCAGGGTTTCTTCTCTCCTGTCGGCCGGACTATGTATCTTTTTTTGTTGAATGCAAGCTAGTGATTGTGTGTCGAGCTATGCTATGTCGAGCCATGATAGACAGGGTGACTGGAATTGGATTATTGCCCATCACCAGCCGCTGCTGTCAAGGCCGATGATAATGGTGTCATCCGTTTGGACCGGAAGCGACATTCTCGAGCAAAAGGCTATCCGGAATGTGCTTTTCCAGTGCCTTTAGGAGGGTGAGGGGCAAATCATAGTCCATCATCCATGACGGGGGGCTCCATGATATGCCTTGGTGAGTTATCGGGGTACCTGGACGTGTGCAAAGAATGGGGGGGGTTGGGAAGGTATCCAGGGCTCAACAAGGCGCTTGGATGTCAGCGGAAGTGGCGGATCGGGTCATTGGTCCACAGAGGAGATGTAAATAGTACCGTACATGATCTATATCTATTGTACAGTACGCACGAAGCGAGGCTGCTCGACTGTATTTCCCTCCTTCTCTAATCTTCCGGAGTGGATACGATTGGATATAAGGCTTGACAATGGGGCTGAGAGGCCTGTGAGAGAGGGCAGTGCCAATCAAACCCGTTCATGCAGGGCAGAGCGCGGGCGAAGGGGGTGGTACAGAACGCAGCCCTTTCTCGGATTACGAGAGAATGACAGCTATCGCCTATGGATCCATGGAAGGGCCGTAACGGTCTTGAAATCTGTGGAAGAACAAGAGCTCTGTTGACGTTGGCCCATCGCAAAGCTTTTATAAGTAGGCAACAGGCCGGGTTCCAAGTAGAGATAGTGGAGCGGATAAGGTGGATAGGCCAAGGTGGATTGGATGTCTCAGATGTGGAGGGGGATGGGTGGAAAGGTGAATCAGATTTCGCATTATTCCATGTTATCGAGGATCAAGTTCAGGTTGAGAGGGAGGAAATCAATATTACTGTCAAAGTCATCGAATCATGTACGATTCATGTACGAGGGCCCTGGCCAAGAAACTGTAATTCTTGTCCCAGAAGCCGAGCAAATAACAAAGTCAATCAGAATAATAGTCGTAGTAATAGTGTTTCTTCCCCCTGTCATCATTTCATCGCATCATTTCTTTTCCCGTGAGCTTTATCCTTTGTCTATTTCTTTTTTTTTTCCTCCTTTGAAAGTCATTATTGATCCCAACTCTCTCTAACACTCTCTCTCTCTCTCTCTCTGTGACCTAATCTTTCGCTCAACTGGGTCCTCCGAGAGATCCTCCCCCCCCCCTTCCCTCCACGCCTCAATTATTTCCACCCGATTGATACACGCCCTCGCTTCCAAGCCGTGTTCTTGCTTCCATTCCGCCTTCCCCGCCTACTCTCCCACTTGAGAGATCACCCCCAGTCCCACGACCCTCTCAAAGCTGCCCTTGTTCAGACTCTATCGAACTGCCCGGCTTGAGAGTTCTCCCCAACCCTGTCGATCAGTTGCTACTTCGGTGTCCGTGGCGCCCTTTTTCAGCGGGTGTGCAGCTGCATTGACGATCGATCTATCGTTCCCTAGACCGACTTCTCTTGCTGGATGCGCCTCTCAGCTAGCTGA